GGTCTTACTGGCTCTGTGGTCCCTGTAATGTCAGAGTGAAAGTGGAGAGCTTCTGATTTGACCAGAGATACCTCTCTTGGTCAGCTTGTGTGTGTGTGTGTGTGTGTGTGTGTGTGTGTGTGTGTGTGTGTGTGTGTGTGTGTGTGTGTGTGTGTGTGTGTTTTAAGAGCACGCCCCAACCTAATGCAATTAGTGTGAACCCACTTAAGACACACGTTGCTGTTAATATACCCAGAGAGACAATAAAACCTCCATAGGGGAAATTGAGACCAGAGAAAAGACCAAAAAAAAGAAGAATCTGAACTGCAAAGAAATCATGAGAAGCATGATAATGACATTAACAGTGTCACTAATGGTCACTGTAATCCCTTAAAAGTACAGTTACTGAATATGGCCTATATATCACTGTTAGTCAAGCATTCTCCTTTCCACTCCTCTCTGATTATCAAGTCCTGACATTTCTTCCAATCCGGGCAGCCGGCTGATTAGTCCGACGCACTAAAGCAGAACCAGGCGAGCAGGGAGCAGTGTATTGATTGTCACTGTGACCTTTTACTTTGCCACTGTTCCAGAGATGTGGGGGGTTGCCGTTCCTTTAAGGGTCTGGCTCACCGGCAGCCGGCGAGGCTGAAGAAGGGAGCGCTGCTCTGCGGAACAAATGACGTGGATTTCATGTACTAAATTGTAATCATTGTGGTCTCAGCGGGATGGCACCACCAAACAACACCCTTCAGCTAACAACCTCATAAGTGGGTGGGGTGGATTGGTAACCAGTATAACTCACCTTAGTAAATGACTGCTCATGGTCACGAAGGCAACAGCGTGTTGTTATTTTGGTGACATAGAATTATGGACGTAACTCCAATAGTGTAACCATTTTGTCCACGATTATAGTCTTAAAATGTTTAATATGATTCATTAGAGCTACATATAATCTTTAGTGGTTGTGTGTACTGTTTTATAGTATTGATAGTGGTGCTATGTTGCTGTGATAGCACTTCAGAAGCAGCTAAATGGAGATACTGGCTGCGTTTATGTGTCTGAGTGAGTGAGGAAGGGGGCAGGAGACCCATACATTAGATATGTAGGGTGGGGGGTGGGGCAGTGGTGGTGGAGATTTCACTGTGAAACCACTTCTGGAGTCTGAAGCATGGTATGGATGGAGATGGCAAAAAGGAGAGGGGTCTGTGGTTGAGGCATGTGCCAACAATGGCGGTTTGCTGGATCTATATTTGAAACAGATCATAAAAGGCCCGTCAATTCCTTTAAGTGAAGTGGTGGAGAGAAAATGAGTAGGATGTGGAGGAGGGAGGTAGTAGGGCTGACAGGGGAATAGACATTATTGGCAGTTAGGACTGGTTAAAGACATCTGTGGAGGGAGTGGGTAACCACATGAAGCCATGCAATCCAGATGGGGCAGAAGCAGGTAGGGGAAATGTGTTGATCTCAGTGATGAAAAGGGATAAAAGAAGAGAGAATGAGGAGAAAGTTGGGAATTCAAACACTGATTGTTTTACCTATGAGTGATTATAACCCTGGGGGAGTGGCAGTAATCATGGACACAGCTCCCTGACCTCTGACAAACATCCAGCGAAGCAGACACAATCACGCTCACACAGCCTACACACAGTTAGCATGTGTAGAGCAGTGAGTGATCAGAGCTTCAGAAAAGACAAATAAATAAATAAAAAATCACCAACACACACATCATACACAGCACATGGCAGGGCCTGCCAGCAGGGGGAAGACCAACACAGCAGTGTGACCTTTGTAGAAAGGAAAAAAAAGGGGGGCGGGGGTGGTATTTCAAGTGCCTATCTGGGATTGGATGTTTGTTGCATGATGCATACACACACACTCATACACACAGACACACAGACACACACACACACGTGCACTGAACAAGACCAGTGCAAACACTACTACATTCCTAGTTGCGGTACTCTAAGCTGCAAACATGCAAACATGAAGTTCACAACCTGCCTGGGAAAATGCAGCGTTGGTAACACTCTGCTCTACCTCAGCTGCTGTCAGAGGGCCTTTTAGGGAAGTGTCCCAGAGAAGTTGTGTATAAATGTATCCGTATGAAGCAGTTTCCTTGTGTAAAGTGTAGATAAACACTTAGGACATGATTTTTCCTTTTTTCTTTTTTTTTTTTGCAGTGAGCAAAATCTCTCCTGGGTAAAAAACAGAATCGACCCACATTCATATTAACTGTCAGTCTTAGAGTTTAGTTTATTCCCTGTGCTATTGTGCCTGTTTACCGTATGAAAGCTGAGATTGAAAATAAATATGTAGTCGACCCTGATGTAATCAAATGATCCCTGGACTGGGAAGCCCCTCTATTTCCCCCCTTAGATCCAGTTGCACAAACCACCTCAAATGGTTTTTTTGTTTTTTTTTTTATATTGGAGTGAATTATCTCATCCTGGGGAACAGAAGGTTGAGATAAAGAGAGGTCTGTTAGCAACTTCCTGGATCAACATCAGAGATCAGGCTATTGGTGATGTGATGTGGTGTGGCGCAGATGATCGTATTGCTGACTCAGCTACTTTGGAAACCAGAAACCAAAGACCCTCAATTCTCTCTCCTCCATGCTCCACCATACTCATGTCAAACTTCCCTTTAATCCTCAACGACCCCATACACGCCAGACACACACACACACACACACACACACACATACACATGCACAAGCCACCACCACGACTGTCTCCCCCCTTACCCCTGGGAAAAAAAACAGTCTCCTGGCTTGCGAAACCATCGTCACTGCTCACCACACCTCCATCTCTAATTCAACCAGAAACCTCACGTTTGGTGCCAAGCAAGCCCTGCCTCAGATGATCCCTCGAGTAACCTCCAGCGCCCCGAGCTTAATTCAGACTCAGTGTCAGCATTACCTTACAATCAAGCTGCAGTCACGGTTCTCAAGACTTGAGGATGGAAATCAAATAACTGCACATTATGATCAGACGTCATTTGGGTTTCCGTGGATGAAGCCAATTCAAACTGACGTGCCATGTATAAATTTTTTAAAAAAAAAGGGGGGAAAAAAGGAAATTACACACACTTCCACTGGCATGTTTCTGCTTCAACAATTTTCAAAAGCAACAAGATTTTATTTTTCTCATAGGTGCGAGGAGGTCTGCCACATGTTCTCACACTGAAGCGCCATCTTAAATAAGCATATCCAAGTTGTTTGTCTTACTTTTTTTTTTTTTTTTACAGAGTAAATGGCTGCCTATTCCATTTTCATGAAGGTTTCCCATCCTCCCTAAGTCACATCTCTCAGCACAGTTTAACAGATCAATATGCAGACTACTCATCCCACCAATACCCGACCCAATTTAAAGCTGACGCGATAGCTATACCCTGTGATGCATCGTGTGTAGGTCTAATCTGATTATATGTGGCATATTCGGCGCAGATTCACGTGATCTCATTCATCTTTTGTAGTGTCAGGCGTTGGTTACATGCTTCTCTGTTTCCACACTAACCCACTGTTCAAGTAACTACACAGCCATGCAATCTGATGGGATCCCCGCCAGTATTTCAGATGTCCATTCATCTTCCATAAGACGCACATCGTTTGCATGCTTACATACTTTCCTTGAATCTCACTTTTTTTTTTTTTCTACCAGACACAGCGCAAGAAAAGCAGATTCACACACATGCATGCAGGAACACTGATGACCCGTCTATGTAGAGGACAAAGGCAGGTGGTGGGAAAATCAACAAAACAAGTCTGACCTGAAGAATTGTGCTGAAAAAAACTGTTAAGAGCACATAGGTCATTCATTTTGACTTTAATCAACATTAATTGATCACCTACATAATTTCCAGTATATTAATTGCACTAGGGGATTTATATCCTGCTCAGAAATGTTACTTTTCTTTTATTGCAGAGCACAACATTATGTGGATACAATTCTTAAGTGGTTATCAGACCATTAAATTAAACTGCAGCTGCACTGACAGGATAATAAAGTTTGTTATGGTTGAACGTGAAGTCATCAATAGTTCTTTTGTAACCGAAGAAAAACCAGAGAATCTACAGAGCAGAGCAGTAAAACTGCTTTATCTTTACAATCTGCACTTCAGCATGTATAATGAAAAGGAATGTATAGGCTTCATATAGGGGGCTTCTACTTACAGGGAAACATTGTGACGTTTTAGAAATTTCATGATTTAAATCACAACATAAAAAAGAGCAACACTGGTGATATACATTATACCCTGAAGTCTAGGGTATTGGCTGTTGATGATGTCGGTGTGCAGCGTGCCTGTGTGTCAGTTTGCCTGGATCAAGAGTGACATCTAGTGGTGAATAAAGAAAAGACAGCAATCATTTAAACAGTTCTGTTCCTAACCTGCATGGGAATTTGAATCAGTCTATTTTATTCCTTGGATACAGACCTATTAAAACACACTAGTGTGAAAATAGGAGCCTGTAACTTTACAGACAACCTAAGAAAATGGGCACAAATTGTTGTCAAATGGTCTATAGTAACATGTCGTCCCCAGCCAAGCAGGATGACAGGTGCATCTAGAGAAAAACAAAAAAATCTCCTTCATTAAGGTAAAAATATTTTGTTCCAGTATGTGACTACTTGCAACCGAATAGACACAGAGCGATTTAGGCACAGTGAGAATAATCAGACTGAACTTCCATTTTCTTCAGTCAAGTTGAATCAAGTGAAACAAATCAGAGATATAGACACAATTCAGAGGTCTAGAACTAGGCTGAGACCACTTTTGTCTGTGATTGTGAACTCGATTGTGTCCCTGGTTTCACAAACGCCGGCTTGTTGGGATTTTTATACCTACTTTTGAAAGGTTGACAAGTATTTAAGATTCATTTCCAACCCTTAAGTTTATGGTTTAATTTGTTAAATTTCCTTCCCTGATGGTATTCTCTTCTTCAACATTAGACTTGATGTTTTGTTTTTGTACTTACACAAATACATAGTAACAAGATACCACAGGAAAAAAACAAAACAAACATTTGTCATTTGATTTATTATATTATTTGCACTTCAGAGAAATATATACATATAAAAAAAACACCAACAATCCCTGTTTTTCCAATCATACTTCTATGATACAACATTTGTAACCGAGTCCCAAGACAGCTTTGCACTCAGATTTTTACCATCTGTGTGGTTACTTAAGTAAAAATAGATCAAAATGCCCCCAAAAAACAAACAAACTTTACTTAATTTTGGCACAGAAAAGGCTGGATATACAGGAATTAATATTCCCATCCAATTTAATAAATTATTCACTCTTTTTCATGTTATATTTAACTTCATCTCTCACCCAGGCTTAGAGTAGGTGGTTCCTTTTAAAAACCCTTTCCTCCCTCTGTGGTTTACTTGCTTCACAGTTTTGATTAGTTTCACATTCATATGTATGTGATAACTTTCTTTATTTTTTACATTATTTTTTTTAACGTGGGTTTTAGTGAATAAAATGCATCAAAACTGTAGCTTTGTTTCACAGATAAAAGCAACTTTATATAGTAAACGGGACTCGTGTTATGTTGCGTCGTTGGTGCCAGTGGAGCTCTTTGCAAAGGCAATAACTAACATTGCACTAAAAAAGGAATGACAGAGCGACAAAGACCTGAATCAGTTCATAACTGGAAATCTGAATGCAAATATTTTTAAAACTGCAAATCATATCACTGTGTAAAACTTTATCAAAACACTTTAAATCCTTTTGAATATATGAGTAATGTCAAAGTCAGGCCATTTTGAGGTATAGATAATGTCTGAGAATGCTAACCCACAACTCTTTGTGGAAGACCTGTTACCTCTGATGTACATCACTTATTATCCCTTCACTGAAATACGTCACATCCTATTTATGCTACCGTCTTGAAGTGTATCTAATCCAACAATGTTCTTGTAAAAGAAAAAAATCACTGCTTCAGGAGATAGCACAAACTACCACAGCAACAAAACCTAAGAGATGAATCAGTAACCTGTATTGTCATATATAACAGTCATTGAGGTACCTTGGGAAAAAGTATCTTAAACTAAATGACTGAAAGACAGAAAACGAACAAAGTGCTGATGAGGTTTTGGCAGTTCAGTGTGACTCAGCTGATAAGAGGACTGTTGTCGTTCTGATCTTCAACAGCATCCTCCTCTGGCTTTTTGACCTCTTCTGCCACATCCACTCCGATCACACCCACCACCCTGGAACATGGACAAACAGGTACAGGAGAGGCATATACATTACTGTCTCTACAGATTCCAACTACACTGGGCAACTGTCGAGACATTTCAAAGTCAATAACATGTTACAACCGGACATAAGGCTCAACTGGAACATGTTGTAATAATATAAATATCACCTGGTGCATACACGAACAGTACAAGATGTATGTCAATTTGTGGAATCATATTACTGGTAGTCCCCCATAGCAAACAAACGTAACTAAGGAAGTTAAAAGTAAAAAGAGAATTCAAAAACAAAACAAAACAAACAAAAAAAAAGAGGCTGAAACACACAGGAGCTGTCATCAAAACCTGTTGTGCATTTGCATCTGTTGGGAAAAAGGTTCTCTACTGCCGTTTGCCTCAGAGCCGAGGTGGCGTTTAACAGAAGGGTGTACAAAGAAAAGTTTTTTGTTAAAGGAAAAAGTTACTATAAGATCAAGTACTTACTTGATCTTATGCATTCTATGTAATCATTCTATGTAATCTACTTTTAACTTATTTTATCTATTTATTTCAATTTTTTATTTCTATGTTATTATCATTCCATCTAATTTTACATTCATGTTTTTCAACATATTTTACTTTCATTTTACATTTTCAAAGTTTATTATTATTATTATTATCATTATTATCATTCACCATATCAATATCTTGATTCCTGAGCGTAGATGGATTTTATGTGTTATTAAAGTAACAAACTACATCTAGTGTTTTAGTGGCCAGGCCTCACGATACTTAAACAGTTAAAAGGTACAGAGATATTGATGTGGAGCTCATGCTGGCCTTAGATTGCTTTGTTGTTGTGGATTTGTTGTTCTGTAACTACCCACTATGTAACAGAAGAAGCAGTGCATGTGACAGAGGTCGATTCACTTATACGCTACACTTCCCAGACTGACTCAGCAGCACGTAAGAACGCAGTGTACCTCAGATAAGTATCCTTTTGTGGCCATTCCTCCCTTTTTTCACTTGACAATGCATCAACGTTAACGGTGCATAAGTCAAAATGCAAGGTTAAAGACGTAATGTGCATGTCAGAGATTTATATTACTAAACGAAGAAGGAGGCCGTTTGGCGAGGGAAGTGGGATGAGATGAGCGCAGGAATGAGGAACTGAGAGTTGTTGTTTTCTGAGTGCTTAAATCAAGCAGAGCGTTTCCCTTTTCTAGTTAAGCAAAACTGGCAAAACAGTGACTCAGCAGAAAAGCAGCTGTGTTTGTAATGAAACTCAACCCACAGAGTACAGCCCTACACCTGAAGCATATCCACACAGACCAACAGCAGGTTCCACTAACTGTAGTTCTATGTTTTGAAAGAAGCCATCATAGATCATTAATGCAATCCTTTTATCAGGACACTATTATTTTTTAAATATCGGAGGGCACTTGGAAACATGCAGGACAGTCCTGAAAATAGAGAATGGTTCCTGCTTACAATGCGTTGCAACATAACAAAAACAATAGGCAAACTGTGATGATAGGAAATTAGAGTGGACACTTATGGTTGTCTTATGTAAGCTTAATTATAGCTGGTGTGGTCCTCTAATGTTGTGTTTTGTACTTTGGCAACATGATGAACTTACCCCAGGAAAAACAAAGGGATGACACAGAGTCCTGCAGACAACAGGAAGATGAAGCCAGGGTACCATGCCACCGTAGCAGCATAGACACTGTTGAAGACTGCAGCTGATACATTACTGGTTAAACTGTCCAGAAAGGAAAGGAAGGCAAACAGGGCTCCTGTGGGAGAATATAGAAAGAAGAAAAACTATTTTTAAGTAGTGATGAGGGTGACTCACAACAACGTGTCATGCATAAAATCAAGCAGTATAGTTTCAAGATACCCCCCTTTCCTCTAAGGAAAAAGGAGAGTTGTGTTTTTTCAAATGCATCATGAAGCAACTTTGGACTCTGACTCTACAAACACAGACACGATACGGTATTCCGGCCCATGGAGAGCCCACTTACCCTGTTCAGACTTTGAGATGATCTTTGACATCATTGAGCGCAGAACAGGGAATGGCATGATAGACAGAAGCATTGGCACCCTCACTGTGGTAAACAAATAACAGAAAACACACATTATATTACACATCACAGTGCAGGGGCTATAATGTAACAGAATCAAAATGCAAATTACAAACATCATAGTTAAAGTAAATTCATACTTCTGAGTTTTATGTTTGCAAAAATTGTGCAGAACATCATAAAAATATACAGATTTAAGTCCTCTCATCTGGATACTGGCTACATGATAATTAAAATAAAGCAGTGATAATATATTATAATCATATTGTCTTGTCAGTTTAAAATGCAATAATATATACAAGATACTGTAACCCTGGAACAATTTCTACACGTTGTAAAGGTGGTAGGAAAGATAAGTTCTGTCAATCAGTAACCTGTGTGGCTAGCCTTTAATTTTGATATCTGTTTTATATCATGTGTGTCCTTTGTTTATTTCTTCTGCAAATAGAATCTGTTTTATTCTTATATGTCCTGTCTTTTTACCCTCATTAATTTGCATGTAATATATTAGAAAAGCCATATGAATAGAAATGTTCTGTTTTAGATGACGTAGATGAGGACGAGCAATACTGAGGAATATTAGGTGGTTATTAAACCAGGTTAAAAGGCCACAAATCTTGTGCATGATTTCACAATGCAATTTCCAACATCTGACATACAGTACAAGGTGAAATTATTTTCTAATTCTCCATTGTTCTCATAAAACTATTCAACTACTGAACTCTGAAAATAGGGAATGCTTAACTTAAACCAGATGCATCTTTTAATTCAGTTTAAGTATATGTTTGACGTTGTAAAGAACTGATACACATATTGCACATTATAGGTATAAGCGACACAGTAGTTCTTGTGGACTCTTTCTCACCTATAAACATCAGTAAAGTGGTCTTAGCAAACGCCACCAGGACCATGCCTGATGCGACAGATAGGATCCCAATCAGTACAATCAGCAGCTGTGGTACACCACAGTACGTGAACCCGAACACGCCCACAAAACTGATCAGGAACACAGTGGTGGACAGTGCTGAGCCGTAGCCAATCAAAATCTCAGTCCAGCATAGTGGTTCATTGAGCTCATATAGAGTCATCAAGGTGATCCCACCCACGTAAGCGAAGGAGAAGCTGGCGAAGATGAGCATCAGGAGGACCAAAACAGTCTTACATCTGCGACTGGCACCTGTTAACATCCTGTAGACCCCAGAGGTCATCTGGTTCAGGGCTGACGGTTGAGGAGCGTCATCTAGAATAATGGCATCAGCTGGAGTCTTCTTCACAGTCTCTTCTAGGATGAAAATCGCATAGAGTAGGATCAAACACTGGCACAACGCAGAAGTCAGGAAAGGCCAGTTAAAGCCTGCAGCTCTCAGGAAGTAGCCTGTTGATATCGAAGCCACCCCAGCCAACAGGCCGATCATCATGTCCAGTCCGGCCATGCGCAGCGTTTTCTGTCGACCGTCCTCACACAGGTCCGCTATGTAGGCGAAACAGCCCCCGAGAAACGTGCCCAAGCCGCCAAATAGAGAGCTGAGAAGCGAAGAGCCGATGAGCAAGTAAATGTTGAGCTCAAAGTAGGACACTGTCAGGAAGGCCAAAGTGTAGATCAACGTGCCAATCAGGGGCATGATGATGGTGATCTTGCGTCCTCCCCGGTCACTATAGGCCACAAGCATGAGAGTGACAACCAAAGAGGGGATTGTGGAGAAGAGCTCTGTGTAGAGGGAGAAGAGAGATGCCTGTCTTTGTACCTCCTGGACACACAGAAGGAGAGAGCACGATTGAGTCAAAAAAATCAAGTATGGTTAAGTCTAAAAATAAATGAGTGGATTGACACTGGACTGTCTGGGTTAAACTGTAACAGCAGGTCTTAGAAAGCAAAATAACAAACCTCAAGTTGGCAACTATCCTACAACCAACACAAGACAGTGACAATCTAATGTCACAAAACCAACACTGAATGGAATCACCTTGATGTGTGTATTTTGTAAACATTTCGTTTAAGCGTTTCCTCACTCAGGGCCAAAATGAACAAAGCTTTCCTACAGTGCAACAAGTGCAAAAAAGTGACTATTTAAAGATCAGTGTCTTTCGTCTCACTTCTCTGTTGTGTTTCATTCTTCCTCTATGAATACAGGCAAAAAAAATACAATTTTTGCATAAGAATATTTCTGCTAAATCCTATTGTACTGCAGACCTCATTTAGTAGGAGCAGTAGTAGTAGACTTTAGTCACAAGTCTTCCATGTGTATCACCTTATGGTGCAGAGGCTGAATCAGCTGTTTTTAACCTAAGCAGTGTTGCAAGAGAGAATCTCAGAGGGTTATATTGGAAAATTTATGCTGTGTCATGACCGTAAAGGTTGAATACAGATGGATAGTTGTTGACTCAAAGTGTAGTTGAGGAAGAAGCATTATTGTCTGTTAAGCTCCTTGTCATTACCACAAGGAAACCATGGCAAAACAAAGACTGAGTAAAAAAAAAGTTACAGTTCTCAAATAATACTGACAATATTAAATCCATGACAAAATTTCAGCAGTGAAAAAGTCATATGCTGACACTGGAAAAGTTCATTCTTAGCATGTTTTAAGTGGAGAGATGGGGGGAGACGAGGAGAAAAAAAGCCCTAAAATGTTTGTAAATGAGAATACTCCTTCTACCTTGAGTTACTTAAATGCATGCTCTTTTACATCCAGTGAGTAATGGCTCACCTCATGATAGCTTGAATGGTTGCTGCCGTTTGTCGCACATCTGGAGGTGTTGTCAGACACAGGATAGGTGGTGTTTGTCAGCTCCTGCCAGAGCCTCCTGTACACGTACTGCTGCACCAGAGGATATATGAGAAAACTGGAGAAAGCGTACAGGGCCACCACAGGCTCTACAAGGAAAAGGCCCTTCATTTTTGCCGGCTGCAATATTCCCTGAAAAACAGGCTAAGAGAATACAGTTAGAGATTAACACAAGCACAGATGACAGGGTAAAAAAAAGACATGTTAACTGTCCATATGTGAGCAGACGAGCTGAGACTTTAAAGCATCAGCAGTGTATACATAAGATAATGCATTATTTTTGTAGTATAGTTTAGAAAATAAAGGATATGCACAGCTCAGTAAAGATTTCTTCTATTGTTGCAACCTCCAACACTTCAGCATTCAGGTACAGTAAACACATGACATCCACACCACTCCTCTTTCAATAACTAATTAAAGTCATAGGATCGGGTCTACGTGGAAGTACAGACGATATTTTTGTTAGGTTGTTTTTTGTCTTTTGAGGATCGTCGAGGACGCAGTGTGCACTACACTATCGATTCAACATTATCTAACAATTTGAAATATAAAGTGGAATATAAGCTAATAACCCATATAGTTTGTTCCTGTGAATACAGTCTGCTGCTGGATGAGCAGGGTCAGGTCAATATGTACAGCGTAGTCTTTACCATTTTCTTATGTTGACAAGAAGATGCAGCGTGACACTTACCTTTCAGAAAGTCACCCGGGTCATGTCTTTGTCAATAAATTCACGCCTGTAAATGACAGTAAATACAAGTTCGACCAGGGCTGTTCTTTTATATGAAAGTGTACGGCGTTGTTATGAAAGTCAGAGATCCCGCCCCTCGCTGTTTACGATTGGACAGCAGTCTTTCGAGACGTGCGCTTATTCGATTAGAGTAACTGTCAGTCATGACTAAAACTGGACGAGAACATTTTGTGACTCTTTGCATCCGGCCCTTTATTGGATATAGGTAATAGGTATTTGAATTACGTCTCAGGAACTTTTTTGGATTTAGCTTGTAAAATATTTTGCTTACATTCTCTCACTGTTTCAGGTGCCCTTGTATAAAAGTGAACACCACTATTTTACAAGATATTAAGGTAACGTCAGGTAGGTGCTTTGCGTCGGAATGTACCATTTCGCTAACACACCGGGAAGGATTTTGTTGTGACAGCGGAGTCACAACCCGGTGGGGGGAAACGGTAAGGAGACAACCGTAGTCTTTCTTCTGTTTAATTTAAATAAAACCAGCAATTGTCAGATAAAACTGTAAGTTAAATGTATGTATAGGTTTATATGTTATACATGACCGAGTCAGTCAAATTTATGTGAAAATGAGAGTTTATCATTCCGGACGTGCAGGTAGTACCACCATCAAAGTATCTTAAGCTAGCGAATGATAGCTATCCCTGTGATTAATCTAGCTAACTTGGCTAACGATACCAGCTAGCGTTAAATAGAGAGCAAGATATTTTCGCTTTATCATTTTACCTCTATCGCTTTCGTAGTCTGTTTCCCATCACACAAAGCCAAGCGTTAAAGCTAGCTGGCGGGTAAACGTTAGCGGTAGCTGCGCCTGCTGCAGTTGCATTTTAAAGTCGTGACTGTCCGTGTCAGGATGGATGATATTTCAGTCCCCCGGCCTAACTAACGTTATCGTTCACAGTGCTCCTGCTGCTCAAGATCTCCAACCACCTGCGATATTCGGTTTAAAATAACATTCGCTTGTCATATGCGTGGGCCTTAAACATGTCCGTAATATAGTAAGTAGTAGTACGTTAGACTGATTTTACAATCTTAGTTTTCTCGTCAGGCCGGATCACGCATTTGTTGCTGAATAACATGACAGATGTCTTTAAAGAGTAGGAGATTAATTAGAAAATTAAAAATGCAAACCCAAATATTGTATTAACTGCAGTCAGTGGTGTACAATTATTCATACATTGTGTTGGTAACGTATTTACATTTGGTTTAGTCACAACGTTACATACAAAATGTAATAACTCTACAAACGCTACAGGGTCAGATCTTGGTAATCTCTCCATCAAATTACAGATGTTGTGTCTGATTGGAATGTCGCTTGTCAGATCTGTTGTTAATTGTCTTTCGTTTTGTTTTTTTGGTTATCAGGTCATAACATAGGTTTTTTCATCTTGGATCAACAATGGCCTTCAGCAAAGGATATCGCATTTACCACAAGCTGGACCCACCTCCCTACAGTGTCATAGTGGAAACTAGGACCAGGGAAGAATGCCTCATGTTTGAATCAGGGGCTGTTGCTGTTCTGTGTAAGACATCTTGTTTGATTACTCTGTAATAAGATATGACTTAAATACTCTGTAAACACTTGCCCCAGATAAGGATGCTACAGGGGAACTACAAGACATAATCCTGGCCACAAGTGATGGATGTGATTTTATGCTGTGATTAGGCCACAGGCTACATCTAACTTAAAGTTTTAGGAAAAATACTGCCATTATTTCCCTTACATTGTGTTGCTGTTGTTTGTCTTCTAGCGGCAGCAGAGAAAGAGGCCATAAAAAACACATACAGCAAGATTGTTGATGCCTATGGAATCCTGGGTGTCCTCCGCTTAAACCTGGGTAAGCTAAAGAAACATCTTCTCTATTCATTGCTCCTTGTTGCAGAAGTGTCCTGGGTCTGGTCCAGGCTCTGACCCTTAGGTTCATGTGTGGCTGTAAAGGCCCTCTGGTTTGTAGCCCTGTCACTTCTTACTTCTAAGCTGCTTTCTCCTGTCCTCCATATGACCTTGAAGGCTCTTGTTATCACAACAAGTAAAATGCTGTGTAAAAGATTAAAGCTCAGACTTATAGATGGCTGAGATTTGACTGTCTGGGGATTTTCTGTAAATGAGTGGCATCAAGGTTTAATGAGCCATTTTTCACACAGTCTCTTAATATTTTATTGTATTTTTTTTTGTAATGCAGTGCTTTATATCAGTCAGCATACTGGTTGCTTCCATCCTTTTTTAAGGATAATTTTTCATACTAATACTCCACCTTTACTTCTGCAGGTGACTCCATGCTCCACAGTCTGGTGGTTGTGACAGGATGCAGCTCTGTGGGAAAGGTGCAGGATTCTGAGGTTTTCAGGGTCACACAGACAGACTTTATATCACTGAAGAATGATCCAGGAGATGAGGACCGGATCGCTGAGGTGCGAAAGGTCCTAAACTCAGGACACTTTTACTTTGCCTGGTCTGCAACCGGAGTCAGCATGGACTTGAGTCTCAATGCACGTCGCAGGATTCTTGAAGACACTACAGATAACCGCTTCTTTTGGTAAGAGCATGAAATAATGACTTTTCCAGAGTTGTATGAAGATTAGTAGGCTAGCATTTGGCTTTTAAAATCTCTGATGTTGTAGATATGAACTAAATACATGATCTGCAATCTTCAGTCTTCCATTTGTGGTGAAGTAGCTTCTTATGAATCTGTGATACTGGGGCCCTGTGATTTGCAACTAAGGTGTGAAAATTAACAGTTCACACTGAATTTGTTTGTGTGTTTGCTGTTGATTCTGTCTTTATGAATAAATAGGAACCAATCTCTGCACCTGCACCTGAAACATTATGGAGTAAACTGTGATGACTGGCTGTTGAGGCTGATGTGTGGTGGCGTGGAGATCAGGACGATCTACGCAGGTCACAAACAGGCCAAGGCCTGCATCTTCTCTCGCCTCAGCTCAGAGCGAGCGGGGACACGATTCAATGTCCGAGGAACGAATGATGATGGACAAGTGGCCAACTTTGTGGAGACTGAACAGGTGATCAGATCTTTTCCAGTGTTACGCTGTCTTCTCTCTTTTTGTTTGTGATGTGTCATGATAAAAAGCTGGTGATTAAAAGATCAGTTTGATGCAATAGTTTCTTCAGTTTTAGTAAATTAGATTCAGTGTGTTTGGTGCATGGCAGTTCTCTGGCAGTGACAAACATATTCTACCACCACTCAGTTTAATATTTATTTATGCATTTGTTCGCGGAGTCACATGACCTTGGTTAATACACTCTATTTAGATACTGGTTATCTATTGACTGGTGAAACACTATTGATCCAACAGCTAGTATCACCGTAAAATGACTTTGTTCAGCAATAATAATTATAGATATACAGTTAATGTTAAAATATAAAGGAAAACCAGCAGGATGATGGTGATAATAATATCTCAGCACACTGATTCATTGGTGAAGGTCCCTTCATTTAGTAATCTTCAGTTGAGTCAGTATTTTTATTGCTGAGTCAGCATATTGTCTGAAGACACGTATTGGAATGTGCAAGCTTATGTTTCTGCTCTTCTTTGTGGAGAATGACTCAGTTGGCATTTTCCCTTTTTAAAGTTCCTGCTTGAGGAAACAAACAGAAAGCTACAGGTTGGAAACAGTAACTGGAACTACTACATTTGCAATACAGTGTAATGCAGTACAACTACACATATATTGGCCACCTAAAAGTCTGAACAGAAAGTGGTCATTAGTGTTGTGGTAATTGCAGGGTTTTTGTGTTGGATTATATTGGATTGTCAGCTGTTCTGGTTATTTTGGCTAGCCTTTGTGGTGTTGTATTTACTTGTCATGGAGGAGTTAGCATGTTGTCTCTTCCCTATGTCCTTCTTTGTTTACAAAGGCTATGTTACTTTCTATGTTTTTCTTCTTTTTTGATTAGGTGCTCAGTTGTGTTTAGATTCATATGCTTTTATAGGCAGCTTTTTGTTTGCTTTTTTAATATCAACTGTGCAAATTAGTCATTTCTTTATTTTAAATTGTGATTTTAAGACTACATCTATGTTTTGTCATATTGCAAATAAACTTGATCATCAGATTTTCTTCTCGTTTTATACAGGTTATTTTCCTGGATGACAGAGTCTCATCCTTCATACAGATCCGTGGGTCCATTCCTCTTTTCTGGGAACAGCCAGGAATCCAGGTAATGGAAACAAAATTTATCTCATTTAACCAGGCTTGAATATTGAATATGAGGTTTTCATATATCAAGCCACATTAAGTAAAAAACAGTCTTTGTCCCTACCATTTTGTAAATGCTACAGTTATAGATGAGGCTCACCCAGTCTGCACTCTTAAGTGTAATCACTGAACTTTAACGAAGCCTATGTGCGTGGAGTTCTTCAAGATAAGAAAAAAAACTTTCATTAAAATATATTGTACTTGTCATTTGTATCTGTTAAGGCAGTGTAAGGGGAATGAAAAGTCTCCTTGCAATTAAACTGGACATCTTTATCCCATTTGTAACACTTTTTGTCCATGCTGTGTTCAGAAAAAGTCCATTAAGGGTGTTTGGTTGTACCTGAATGAGAATCGGCACCTTAATGGACTGGATGAGAACCCCCACCTGGTACAACCCGTTTTTTTGTTGGTTTTTTTGGCTCTTTGTGGTGCTGGCGCTTTAATACTGCGGATGGGAGTTTCTCTGTGCAATGCCAAAGGCCAGGAGTGAAAACCGAGGCAATCCTAATATGGATTTTCATCCAGATCCCATACACAGGACCTGCCCAGAAAATGTCATTTTGCAGGTTTAAAGCCGGAGCTAGGATCACCCATTTAATGCACACTTTAAACAACATCACAGGGATTCTCCTGCCCTTGTCCTGACATTGCACAGACTGGTGGATTAGATCAGACGTGGGGGAGGTTAACGATAGATATAGCGGTTGGTAAAGGGCATTTTTCTGTTTTCCTCAGCTCCCAGACTTCTTTGGTCAGGTGAGAGCCTGGTCTGAAAACATCCCCCAACCACTTCCCTTCACTTGGAGCTGCGAGTGTTCCCCAGGCAGCTGGATAGGTGTTGACTGATAATATGGAAGACTGAGCTGTTCAATATTTTAGAGGGCTAAGGCAAGCCAAGACCATATTAGTCACCTATTCAGTCCACTAGGTCCTTGGTTTGGTCAAAACACAGGGTAGTTGGCTCGGGGTTGTTTTCAGACAGAACTGTAGCCCTCCTGCTTTTAAGGCACTCTTTTAGCTCTAAGACCCCTCCACCAACTGTGGCTTGTAGGCTTACTTTCTCCTCCCCATACTCTTGAATTCATTCCCTGAGCAGGGCAGATAGCTTCGATTTTATCCAGAAGAGTTATTGATATTTATACAGTTAGTCTGCATTACAAATAGTTGTGAATTAGTCTCTGAACCGTAATTGTAGAACAGTATCATGAATCCCTGCAATGTAAGACGTAAGTCAAAAAGGTGGTAGGATTGCCCCTTCTTAGTCGGGTAGTCGTTAAATATTATTTAATCATCTTATATGGTTGTTTTGGAGAAAGAGTCATTTGTGGAATTAATTATTAGAGGAGAATGATAACTCGTGTTCACCTTTTTAATAAGTGCTAGATTTTTAAAAAATCCTTGTGAACAACTGCAAGTGTCATGAAACATGCAACCTTGAAATATATTGTGTACATTTAAGGCTAGTAGTATAGAACACTCAAAGCAAGTTAGAAGGATGGTTTGACCAGTTACACCGGTTGTTATCTGTTGAGCTGGAAGAGGTTTTTGGAGGTGTACAGCTGTAACCCGAGTCCTTTCAGATGCCATCTCAGGAAGTTATTAAATATGCATAGAATAGACCTTCACAACAGTAGAGAAAGGAAGGAGTGACAAAATGGCAGCAGCATGGAGCAAAATGTCTAGTCCTGCCAACGTCAGGCCCAGCCACAGTAGGCACACACAAACATTTTAAGCAGATGAATACAAAGCAGAGGAAAAGATTAGCAGATGGTGCAAAAGAAAGGCAAAGACAGGAAGGGAGGAAAAAGCCTATAAGGACACAATGAGTCAAAGTCACTCATGAGATCTCACTAATGTTCATAGAACATGTAATGGTAATAATGAATGACTGAATGGGTGCATGTTGCTTGTTACCTGAACAGAGTGACCAGTAGGACAAAGAGGAGGCAAAAACAGAATGGGGTGGTATTTGGTTTAAATCTTTTTCAGTTAATAACAGGCTTTTAGAGACATGAAGAGAAGAGGTTTAAAAGGCAGGGCGAAAAGAGGAAACTAAATGAAACAGGGAGTGTTTGTCCACAGGCGGAGACGGGTAGGGAGCAAGTAAGGACCTGCAGTGCAGAATGAGTAGGTTTCCATGTAACAGGGGCCTGTGTCCTGCTAAGCCTGTCAAGGCTCAGTCATATGTGGCCATGCTCTTTGGTGTTTGTCATGATTCAGCCAGCACCCGTTAGGAGAATTATTTATTACAAAGAGTTACCATTAAAGGTGTTGGAGAGATGACAGGCAACAAGATTTCTCCTCTGCGCAGTGTCTTTGTCCCTGTATAAACAAATTTCCCCATGTTGCCCCTGTGTTGCTGTTCCACCCCAAATCTTTTTTTCTGTCTTTTTTTTTTTTTTTGGACATTATTAAGGTCTCATTTCCGCTGTTGAAACATTATGTAAAACTTTTATCACAAATCCATTCTCCATCACCAGGTTTTCTGGCCATCTGCAACATGTGTGTGTTTGCACAACTTTCAATTTTTGATCTTTACCAAAGAAGGACACCGTGACTTGTCTCTTTTTTGTCTTTTCTGGCTGTCTCTACCCTGTAGGTTGGCTCTCATCGTGTCAAACTCTCAAGGGGATTTGAGGCAAATGCGCCAGCATTCGAAAGGTAATTAAAATGTTCTGTGTAGTGTGTATGTGTGCGTGGCAGTCTCCAGCTGCTTTATCTGGCCTCCACCAGATTACCACTCCTCAGACGAGAATAGGAGACACCATAATATTATGTCTCCTGCAGTTACTGCCCGAGCTACAATAGAGAGAAGCTCTCCAGAGTCTAGAAGGAGAAGATGTTAACTGAAGTCTGTCCTCAGAGGCAGGTTTATTGCAGGGAACAGAAAAGGCACATAATTTGCACTTAATTATCTGTCGACCTTTATAACCTGTATTTTATATTTATTGTAGACAGTATCTTTGCAAGTCCTTCCTTGACTTTTTGAACATCTTTTTAGTGTGTTTAATGTGCATGCGTATTAAAGTAAATGGAATGGTAAATGGATTGTACTTATATTAAATATACTTATATATTTTCTACAATGAACAAACAATGAAAAACTATTGAAATTCTTCAGTGACAAATACGTGCTTCCTAAAGTGAAGTCATCCACATTTTTATCTACAACTGATCAAAACATAGAAACGTGTAGTTTCTTTACTGAAAGTATTTCAGTGTTTGCAAGTACTTCAACATCATTTTAATCATAAACACAGACTTAGATATCAGTCTAATATAAAAAAAAAAAACATAAAGTCTGTGAAAAAGCCTCAAAATCAGTGTAACTTTACCTTAAACATTACATATGAGGATTAATTCATTTGAATGAGATTTTTTTTTTAAAGACAGAGACATATTACAGATGCAGGGTCAGCAGCAGAGCAGCATCCTTTAGAACAGCTACTTTACTTTAGGACGCTTAAGCCAGATGCTCTGTCACTGTTACCTAAACGCAGACAAGGAAAGATGATCACCCTAATCACTGTGCCACACCTTAAAAGTACCGTGCCTGGTTCCATCCTTATCACCTCTCTGTAGCCACCCTATCAGTGTTGTAGTAGCCGTGCTGTTCACTCACAACATTTTTGCTGGAAAGCTATGAAGACAACCAGTGGTTCTTCGATTTCCAGACATCTTGAACTGTAGAGGCTGGACTCAGCAGGGCTGAGCTCAGTATTTATGTCAAGCTTTCTTTTGCTTATTAGTATCTTGAACGTGTCAAGACAAGCATGTCAGTGGGGAAAATGACAATTTTTCTTATACAATACTAATTGTGTACAGTCTAAGTAGTTGGCAGTGCTACTAGTTTTTCTAATATCTTTTCAGAGGAGGAATGATGAGTCAGTCTTTGTAATATCCAGCCAGTTTTCTGCAAGAACAGCCAAGTATGTCTCTGCCGACACTTGAGCAAAATCGAGCATCTTTTTATAAACACATAGCAGCCTGTAGCTCATATCTGCTTTCCTCCCTGCTGAATGGTGCTGCCTTTCTATCCATATCTATTATAATATTTAAACCAGCTCCATATAGTGGCTCTAGAATATTTTTAAGTATCCTGGCTTTGCACCATCCCTTTATTTTTCCCACCAGACCCCATAGCCTCATAAAAACAAATGTGTTCCTAAGAAATTCTCTTTGTGAACACCTTCTTGCTTACGGCTCTGCCCGTAAGCAGATGTTGATGAAACACAGACATCATGTGTGTATAGTATTTATCAAGCTTAAGAATTGGTACAAAACATGAAAACTCTACTACAGTATCGATTTAGGAAAGGCTAGTATTGGTAACCTACTAGTCTGTGGTGCAATTTTAACCTATGCAGTGCATATTATTTGACTGTTTATGTGTTTTCCAGACACTTCACTGCACTGCGGAGGTTGTATGGTAAACAGGTGATCATCAACCTGCTTGGGAGTAAAGAAGGAGAACACATGCTCAGCAAAGCATTTCAGGTGAGAGGAACCATTCTCTGTCCCTTCACAATAACATGCAAGTTATTATCTGATGCTTCTAAGATGAAAGAAGTAGCTGAGATCCCACTGACAGCAAACAATGTGTGTCAGAACAGATGCTCCCTTTTTTCTCTTCGTAAACCCACACTCTAGTGAGGAATTCTTTTGAGTATGTGGCTCAAGACAGAATGCATCACTGTCCTGCTGTTTCTTCCAGCTGTCAAAAAGTGATGTTTTTACTCAATCCCTGGTTCTTTATCCCATATACTACACTTGCTTTAAATAGTATTAAAAACGCATTTCCTGGTTTATCATACATTTTGTCTCAATGTAGGATTGAGTGCAATAACACAAAAAATTCAGGGCAGCTCTTCATTTCACTTGTATATTATATATTATGCTTTGTAAGCTATGGGCTCCTCTAAACATCTAGTGTGTGCTCTAGGTGTTATATTAGCAAAGGCAAATGTATTAGCATGTTAGCTAAGTGGTAAATATGTTATCTATTTGGCAAAACTTGAGTTTTAGATCTTTGAGTTTCAATGGTTTTACCAGATGTCAACATTTGTCCATGTCCTGAAACATGACCTGCATGTTCTCAGACTACAATCAAAGATTTCCTTAGAATTGAAACCACTTGTTTTGCATTAATGAATGCAAACTATTGTTGCTTGATAGGTACAGGGAACACACCTTGCATACAAAACCCATTTGCATTCAGTATGAATTTCTGGGTTAAAGTCTTCTTCCTATCCCTGTCTTTTTCAGAGTCATCTGAAGGCATCAGAGCACGCAACAGCAGTGAAAATGGTGAACTTTGACTACCACCAAAATGTGAAGGGAGGCAAGGCAGACAAACTTAACAGCATCCTCAAACCCCAGCTCAATAAATTCACAGATGAGTGTGGGTTCTTCTACTACTCGGGAGAGACGGGCATCGCAAGGTGAGAATTAATACAAACTTTTATTAAGTAGTAGTAAATCTCATTTTTGTTATTGCTTCTTAACGTCTTAACCTGTTTCAAGGACTCAGGGTGGGACCATCAGGACCAACTGCCTGGACTGTCTGGACAGAACCAACAGTGTACAGGCCTTTTTTGCCCTTGAGGTAGGAGTCTGACAGTGTGCAGTAAGCTGTTGTTTGGTTTAAACATATAGTGTTTGCATTTCTTCAGTCAAAGTCCATTGCCTTTATTGATGATGGTTTTAGTCTTAACACATTGTTCCTCATCACCCCAGATGCTGCCAAAACAACTAGAGCAAATGAGTCTGACAGAGAAACCCCAGCTGGTTGCAAGGTTCCAAGAGGTTTTTAGGACCATGTGGTCTGCCAACGGAGACTCCGTCAGTAAGATCTACGCAGGCACTGGTGCCCTGGATGGCAAGGCCAAGGTACACACTGTGGAGACACTAAATACACACAAATATACAAGTTCATAGTACAACATTGTAGGCACAGTAGTTTATCAGACTTGCATGTGAAGTAGGATTTCCATGATGTTGTCAGATTTTATGAATTTCAGCACCTGAATACTGATGAGGTTACGTACAGCTCTATCTGTTCTAACAACATCCTCCTTATTGTTGCTATTGGCTGAGCACATGAAACAGCGAATGACATAATTGGATTGAAGGAACTTCATCAGACTTCAGAGTTGAATATGTTGTATTTTGTAGTTGCTTGTTTTGCATTTTGTTCTCATGAAGCAAAATGGTTTTGACCTGAATAATTGTTAGATCGTAAAAGATGTAAAGGGTGGACTTTTAATAAGCAGCTCAAGAATAAACGCTTGTAACTGAACTGAAAAACAGAAAAAGCAAAAAATAAAACAAAGCTTGATCTAAGATATCATAATTAAGTTTTGCCTCTTTAAACAAAACATTTTTTCAAATGCGGTATTTTCAAATTAACTTCTTCTATTTTGGTACACTAAGGCTGAGAGACGTTCACAGTGGCTCTCATTTGGTCCTTTCTACCCACTACCTGTCACTTACCTGTTGACCAGCTCATAAATCATGAAAGAGGAGACATTAGTAGTTATTATTTATAGTAATTATTATTAAAGTGCCAGTTTGATGGCACTTTAAAAATAATCAGAGCTAGTTGTGCGTTGTGCATTGTGACAGAGTTCTGCATGATCAGTCGGTCCCCTGTGAGTAGAGTTGTGTGTTTCTGTTTCTTAACTCTCGTGTGCTATCTCTTTCTGCTGTTCTCTGGACCTCTCTACCTGTGTGGTAAGTTAACAAGTCAGTTGATGTTGTTTTTTGAGCTGTGGGTCTATTTTCTGGTGCATTACTGATTATAGTGTTAATGGGTTAAATGATGATAATATTCACAGAAATCTAGTTCTCATTGCCCCTTGCTTGTTGAGTGATCATCTGCTTACTGTGGTATCAAATCCAAGTGGTACCCAAATTATCTGGCAATATCTGCTGTCTTGTTTATGGAACTTGGAGGAACCAATCAAAATTATTGCCTCGTGGCAAGAACTCAAATCATGTTGCACATCAATCAGTGGAATTTTGAAGTTGCACCTTCTCTGGCAGTTTTGATCCTTCCCGGTCAGTTCAAAAACCTATATTTCTTTTTTATATTTTAAATCTGTATCACTTAAGTGATTCTTCTTTACTTCTCTTCTATGGTTGGAGTGTGAAGTACAGACTTTTCTTTCCAGTGGGGGTGTAGGTAATAATTAATGTTGGTTGATGTAATTGTTTGTAATTTTGTGTGTGTGTGTGTGTGTGTGTGTCCTTTTCGAAGGCGGGGAAGCTAAAAGACGGAGCTCGATCAGTGACGAGGACGATCCAGAACAACTTCTTTGACAGTTCTAAGCAGGAGGCTATCGACATCCTGAGGCTGGGCTCCACACTCAACAGTGATTTGGCGGACAAAGCTCGGGCCTTGCTCACTACTTCAAGTCTTTATGGTAATTCTTTCCAAATTCTGTAAAATTACACATTATTTAAATGAGTCAACAGATCATATCTTAGGTAAAATTTACTTATAAGAAGAATAACAAATGCTTTTTTTTTTCTCCATATTACAGCTTCTATATTTTGTAATCATTGATCTAATGTCCTTTGTGCGCCATCATGGAATTGTTTGAATATTTTGACAAGTTTTGACCCATATCTGATGTAATCTAGTTAGCCAGAGGCGACACTGCACAATGGAAGGGTTTGTCTGTGCCACGTCAAGTGGGAAGTGTAATCTCCATGTGTCAGCTCTCTGTCCCTGTTAGATTAATACTGACCGACTGCTCTGCTAGCATTATCTGTTAAAGCGCTGGTTAACCCGCCCTTCTCTCCCTTCTCTCTCCCCCCTGCTCTTGCACACAATCTTAGTCACTGAGCCCGTCTTACAATCAGGTATAGTAACTGATAGACTGCCCCCAGTGGATGGATCCTTTCATCCCCTGTAGTTGTCCTTTCATCTGTGTTTGCTACTCATTATTGTTCATTCATTTATAATCCAATGTTGGTCGTGGTTTCACACTGTGTCTGTTGCATAATAACAAGCCCCTGCAACAGTGACTAAAAGAAAGAAGATGCTGAATTTTGGAGTGAAATTTAATATTCCTTCAAGTCGAAATTTAGAGGCAGAAGTGAACCATTACCAAGGTTGATTATTGGAGTTTTTAATCTGTATTTCAGCAGCAGTGCTGATTTACATCCTTCCTCCCATGACCCATTTTTTTGAACATTGTTGTGAACTTCCTCTGTTGTATTAGGGTGGTCTCCCATTGAGTAGCCTTTTCCCATTTTTGTTACTTTCGTTGTTTCGTTGTATGCCACCGTTCCCATAGACACACAAATATTCAACCAGGTTACACTCTAATCATACTCTCTTCCCATCTGCAGCCTCCCCAAGAGTATTGCTGGGAATGTGTCAGAACTACCATAAATACACGAGGCCCAAGCAGATCCGGGTGTGTGTCGGCACCTGGAATGTCAACGGGGGTAAACAGTTTCGCAGCATTGCTTTCCGCAACCAGACACTCAACGACTGGCTGTTGGATGCTCCAAAGAAGGCAGGACATCCTGAGTTCCAGGGTATGTTGGTATTTATTTATCTGCATTTACTGCTAGTAGATGTCATCTTTGGAAATGTTTTATTCATGTATTATGTTTAATGATTTACTAAGTAAAAGAAGAAGTTTGAATCATCAGGGAAAAGTTAATACATGCACTTCCATCTCCTTCAGTAACTGCTTTTAAGCTGATGTCCAGGGAGCTAAATGGTCAAAAACCACTGACACCGTCCATACTGTGCTACCTGAATGAATTTACTAATGTGAACAAGTTAAAGAAACATGTAAATTAAAATAGAGTCTGTAAAAGAAAATTTTACTTACTGTCATAAATTTTGCTTTTTTCCTCCATAGGTTAGCAAAAAACTTTACCACTAATAAAAACTTATGATGTAATACATCATAATCATTTTTGATCCGGCACTTGTGTTGAACATTGTGTATTTTTTTTTCTCTTTACAGACACCAAAGCCAACCCTATAGATATCTTTGCCATCGGTTTTGAGGAAATGGTTGAACTGAATGCTGGCAACATCGTCAGTGCCAGGTATGTCTGCAAGATTCTAGCCTGAAATAACTGTCACCCAGAAAAGTTAATGCACAAGCAAAGATACTGTATCTCCTGTGCTCCACACAACCTGCTCTTTTGCTGATATTAAGAACACTAATATTATAAAAGATTTTATATCATTATAAAAATAGTTTAATCACATGAAAAGGGGTACAAAATATACAGTATGTAAAAGCCTGAGAAAGAAGGTTGATTTCAAAGGTGACCAGTAGCTGTTTAGGTCTGATCAGAAAAGCCTAATGTGACTTACCCAGACATGAGTTCTTTTGAAAATATGTTTTGAAAAAGAACAAAAAGGATTTTGTAACATCTTGAAATTTAAAAAGATAAAATGTTTATATTTACTGTGATTTTATTTCTTGTATTGTACTGTTTCAACTCTGTAACACATCTTTCGGTTCTTACCTCAGCACCACTAACCAGAAACTGTGGGCAGCTGAGCTCCAAAAAAACATCTCCCGGGACCACAAGTATGTACTGCTTGCTTCAGAGCAGCTGGTGGGAGTTTGTCTGTTTGTTTTCATCCGCCCACAGCATGCACCTTTCATCAGGTATGAACTGCACACATTCTCATTAGAAACATATAAAATGATAGTGTTAATCACAGGTGTGGCAACAGATATCATCTTCATCATCATTCGATATGTTTTCCAGGGATGTAGCTGTAGATACTGTAAAAACCGGAATGGGTGGGGCCACAGGCAATAAAGGTGGTGTGGCCATCCGCCTGCTGTTCCACACCACCAGCATCTGCTTCGTCTGCTCCCACTTCGCTGCTGGCCAATCACAAGTCAAGGAGAGGAATGATGACTACAGTGAGATCACACGCAGACTCAGCTTCCCCATGGTAAAAATGATGATGATAATAATAATAATAATAATGATGATAGAAATAATAGTGCTTTATAGTAAAAACAAGACATAAAAGTAAGAAATCAAAAAAAGGATAAATAATTAAAACAATTACAACAAAGACGGAGGAGAGAAATGGTTTCTGAGTGGGATGACCTCATCACTGCGGACACCGAACGGGCCGTAGAGGAGAAGAGGGAGCCTTTTACAATCCTTAACTACAGACACCCAAGGGGTGCGGGTTAAAATCAAGCTGGGCACATCAGTGGGAGTCGCCATAGTTTCAGAAGCCATATTCAGATATAGGATGTGTCGGATTTGATTAGCATTAAAAACCGCTCCTTTGGCTACCGTCCAGTGTTCATAAAAAAAAATAAGGAAACAGAAAGAGAAGCATAAAGTGCGTTAAAATTAAGTAAACACAGGTGGTATTAACAATGACATTAACAAACCGCATCTGTCTTGTCCCTCAGGGTCGTCTGCTATACTCACACGATTATGTGTTCTGGTGTGGAGACTTTAACTATCGTATCAGCCTGCCCAATGAGGAAGTAAAAGAACTCATCAAACAGCAGAGCTGGGATGCCTTGACAGCTGGGGACCAACTGTTGGACCAGAAGAATGCTGGTTTGGTAAGGCCTACACAACACGTGCATTAGTAACTGTAAATGAAGTTTCACTTCCTCTCACCAGAAAACTGTTTACTATGATGTGAGATCATATGAAATCACTGGTTTTATAGCCCGTATGTATGCACAAGCAAAGGGTTGATGTTGCACAGCAGAAACACACACACCCAAACCTGGTGACATATTATTTAGGTTTTAGCTGATAATATATTCTCTTTAAATTTCTTCCACAGGTCTTCCGAGGTTTCATTGAGGGAAAGTTAGATTTTGCTCCCACCTACAAGTATGACCTCTTCTCAGAAGATTATGACACCAGTGAGAAATGCCGCACACCAGCCTGGACTGACCGCATACTCTGGAAGAGGAGGAAGTGGAACTTTGACAAAACAGGTGAGATACAGAGACACCGCAGATAACAGGCTTATTTATCCTGCTGTCCTGTCTGGCCTCTTTGGTTCAACACTTGCGTATGATAGAATAAAAACTTTAAAAACTACAGTCCTGAATCATAAGAATACTTTACATCTGTACATATATGTGTGTGTGCATGTTTTGCAGCTGAGGAGATGAATGTAGTAGGTGCAGCTTCTACATCTGTAGAGAGTGAGGATGATCCAGACTACCCTTGGAGCCCCGGCACTTTGAAGTACTATGGCAGGGCTGAGCTTAAGACCTCAGACCACAGGTAACTAAAAAGATATATCTATAAGAGTCAAGAGAATGGATGATATTGAATTGATATTTTAGCACAGAGGTATAATTTTCTGCATTTATTTTTTATGGCACATCTGTGCTTTTGATAAATGGACACAAAACCTCTTTCCGCTTACCTTCTTTCTTGTCTGTCTCTAGGCCTGTGGTGGCAATAATGGATGTGGACATTCTGGAGGTCGACCCAGAAGCTCGGCACCAGGTCTACAAAGACGTCATCGCCCTGCAGGGGCCTCCTGATGGCACCATCCTGGTGTCACTCTGCACCTCCGGCCCTGATGACTACTTTGATGATGCACTCATAGATGAACTGCTGGACAAATTTGCTAATTTTGGAGAGGTCATCCTCATCAGGTGAGTTTGATATCCAAACATAGACAGACATCAGTCACCTTTAGATGATTAGACTTCATTAACAGTGTCCTTGTTTGCTGCAGGTTTGTTGAGGAGAAAATGTGGGTAACCTTCCTAGAAGGTTACTCTGCTCTTGCTGCTCTGTCTCTCAGTGCTTCTACTGTAAGTCATCACTAATTAATCTTAATTACTTCCAAGCTTTAAAAATCCTCCCATGAGTCTTAACATTAAAAACATGAAATGTGCATCCATCTCTATCCTCTAGCCTCAGTCACAATTTTTTTTATCAACAGTGTCTCAAACACACACAGAAACTGAAACTTTTATATCAGTTGTATATCATAGTCTCTTCTTCTCTTTTTTCCCCTACATCTCTGTAGGTCCTTGGCAAGGTGATTGATATCCGCCTGAAGAGTCCAGGCTGGATCAAGAGTCTTGAGGAGGAGATGAGTGTGGAGAGGATCTGTGGAAGCATCCCCACCTCAGCCAGCTCCACTCTGCTTGCTGAGGACACAGACATGGGTGACGACGATTACGATATGGAAGGTGAGTAGTTACGGACATGTAATCCCAGTCTTTATCCATAGGAATGTAGATTTTAATGTCAATTCATGTTTATGCTCAAGGAGATTAATTCCTGCCCTCATGTGTCCTGTACCAGGTGATGTGGACGACGAGGTGGAGGAGATCCTTCCCCAGCACCTACAGCCTGGAGCAGGCACTGGCCCTGGATCCTCTCCTCTGCCCTCCCCCCGCAGTAGCCCCTGTCCCTCCCCCACCCACGGAGAACCTTCAGCCCCCAGCAGGCCTAGTCGTGGATCACATCCTTCCCGACCATCACAAGGTGAGCGCATCATGTGCAGCGTCACACACACCTGAAATCAGGTTACTTGAAAGTACAGACCAATCCTCTGCTCAGGTTGCAGTTTCTGCCTGCTTGAATATAAACTGTAATTTTGCTCTGTTTGTAATGCATGGAAGCAGATTTAAGTCCATCGTCATTGAGGAGAGAATTTCCAGGTAATGTAATGTGTGAGGATTCAGTCTGTGTTTAGTGTTAGAAGGCTTGTGGTGTGTCTTACAGTAAACGACTTGTTTCCTTGAAACTTGTTTTATAGTGCAGTATTAGAATGTGTGCAGTGTTAGTCTCATCTTTCCCTTGGTTGACACTGAATCACAGCTGTGCACAACGACCGAACTGGAGGATGTGGAGAAATGTGAGGTTTAAGACATTAAGTCAGGCTCTTTCCAGAGAAATTTAAATTTAGGGGAAACGGTATGAAAGTACTTTTCTGTATCTATCTCACATTAGGCAGTTTCGTTTTTCATGTGTAAATTTGCTTCTCTTTTATTTTTTTTCATTCCCAGGGCCTCCTGTTGATTTCCAGCCTGGTGCCCCTACATCTCAAAGCCTGGAGCCCAAACGCCCGCCTCCCCCTCGTCCCAATGCCCCGCCAGCCAGACCAGCACCCCCTCAACGTCCACCACCACCATCAGGTAAAGTGTCATCCTTTACCGTCTTGCATACAGTTGATTAAAGCCTAATTTGAATCTCAGAATCACATTTGAAGTGTGGATTTTCAATTGTTCAGAATGGCACAGTGTGAGATACTTTAGGCAGGTGTTAACATTTTCACCTTTATCCCACTGCTTCGCCTCATTCCTGAAGGAGGCATGAGCCCTCTGCCTGTTAGAAAGGACTCTGCAGGTACAGTTATTGCTGTGGAACTGTGTATTTATGTGCTCACATCGCTGAAGCATTTAAATTAGTGGCTGCTATTTTCCATCTGACGCTACACACACAGAAGCACATTGCATTAGTGCTGATCCTGTAAGATAAGTTATGAGTTCTTTGTATTGTATGGAGCTGCAGTACTCATTTCAGTTCAGTCAGTGTGCAATACACCAAGAATACATCCAGAACTCCTCATTGATAATCCAGCAAATACATACTGTAGCTCAACTGTTATAGAGGTGTTCCTGAGTTTGTGAAATCTGACTTCATACATGACTACTGATAGTCAATGGGAATAGTTCAGTATTCATTTCACTATTGAGGTTCATTCAGCCCAATAGGCATTTGCTTCGGAAAATGGCATTGTCACTGGACATTAAACATTAGCTACTTCGATACTTTTACAAACAGGCAGAGAAGTGTATTTATTTATTTACTGAAATATCCACATGATATGAACCCATGAATCTCAGAATATTTGATGTGGAAATAGGACATGCAGTTGCTGAGTGATGCTTGATTTTAGGGTCCTAGATTAAGTACGTGTTAATGAGGTTTGGATTTGATTTTGATTGATGCTCTTATGGAGAAAAAGTGGTTGGCTTTGCAGTAATATTTATAACCATCCCTTGTGGTATACATGTAAACATTGTGTACGTGTCATTATTAACTTTCATAGACATTGTTACCCTTATGTGAATTTATTTCTTGTGGCAGTAGCTGATAGGTCATGTTTTTTTATTGTACCACCAATACTGCGACTAAAATCTTTTATTGTAATCTACTGTTTTTTATGTTCCCTCCTCTACTTTATTTTGAAAATACTGTTTCCCCTCTTTGACTTCAAGACTGTGGCGAATGTCCCAGCCCACTGCTTGGTAGGAGAGGCAGTGAAGGTAACTGGCCAGGCGGTGTGTCTTTAAATGTCATCCGATCCCTTTAGTCTTACACCCCGTCATCAATGTTACTGATGCTTTTTTGACATTGATGGTTCACTGTTGACCAATTCTGCATCATTGTTGGCCATCTTAGTCGTGTGTGTGAGTGAGAGAGAGAGAGAGATGTGTTTAGTAGTCTGTTTTAAATAAACTTATTTAGCTTATTTAAATAAGTTGGGAATGCAAAAACCCATGAGGTTAAAAGGCTGGAGAGACCAAATATAAACTCACAATTACTGAGGCAATTCAGACTTTTCCACCCAAAAGACCACAGTACTTCTTCCCCATTTAATATTCAGTGATGGTTATAAGTGTGATACGTCCCTACTAGTTAGTGTCAAGTGCATTTTCCCTAATGACATATTTGCATTGGGGTCAGGATGTTTCAAACCATTTGACTCAAATGGTTGAGGAACAGGATACCCCATACATGTGCACGGAAAAAAATGTTTATTTAGTGATTATAGTCTTTTCATAGATGGGGAGATAACGTGAATTAAAGGAAAATCTCTTTGGTAAACCCTTAAAATTGTCATTACGTCAGCTCAGCTGCAGTAATGCACTATGATTAGTGGGGAAAAATCCTCAGGCAGGTAAATAATCAGATTCACAGCATCTCAGACTTCACTGCTCTGCTGTACTATTACCACCATACGCTATTCTTAGTGCTTCTTGTAAAGTGTTGTTATTGGGAACATCTGTTTCCTGTGACTAGTATTCCACTTTGTGTATAACAGTAATGTGGTTTGGTTTCCTTTGTGCTGCAAAGGACCAAAAAGCCCTGCTCTTCCCCGGTCAGATGCTGCCGCAGGTGAGTGCCACAAAGCATGACGCAGCCTCACGTAGCTTTAATGTATCACGGAAGACAAAGGATTGTTAGTTATGTAGGTTTGTATTTGTCTCATGAAAGCTTTGTATGGAGTTTCCCTATACTTACTGGGAGTGATATGGGGATGAGATTATCACTCTCTGTCTGTGATGATCCTGCGTTTTGTGTTTATGCCTTCACACAAAATAAGCCTGCCCCAGGGGGAGGATAGGTTTTGGTTGCGTAGTGACTTGGCTTGTCTTCACCTGATCCATTTGCATAGTCTGTGTGTGTGTGGTTAGCTAAATCCCTCTGTCACAGTAAGGGTGTGTGTATGGTTAGCAGGGTTGCCTTAAGTTTGGTGACTGTACAGTGAAGCAGACATCCTAGAGGCGTGGGAACATGTTCGCAGGCTCTGAGAGGAGGTAAGCAAAAGAATAATGAAAGAAAAGGTGTGTGCCTTACAAGCTGTGTGATGTGCAGCTGGCTCAAAGGACAAAGCCTGCCTCTCTTCCACATCTCCTGCAGCTCAGGAATGACTGAGTCATCATTAATAATGAAGTCAGGAATAGGGAATTTGGATTGTCATAGGTTGGGGCAGGTTTGCAGTGAACGCATGTTTGATTTAGTACAGTACTTGTAAAAGTTATTGCTTTTCATTTCATTGAACTGGTACTGCTCCTGCTTTCCTTACATCTCTTCCTAGGGGGCACATGTTTAATACAAAATAGTACAATTTGCTTGCTGTCATTGTTGCTAATGTAGCAGGTTTGTTTGTTTTTAACTCTTTAAGGTCGAGGCCAGGCAGCAGCGGGAGCTCCTGGACCTGGAGGTGCTCCTAGACCGGTGAGATTACAAATCTAAATATCCTTTTCAAAAGGGTGGTGACTATTTTTTTTTTTACTTGTTTCTGCTCAACTTCTTAATTTCTGTCTATTTTATATTCCCTTCTCATCTTCCAGAATGTCCCTCCTCGAGCCGGGGTGATCAGTATGCCCCCACAGTCTCGCCCACTGCCTCCTTCTCACCCTGGAGCACCTAGACCTATCCCAGAAGTGCATCCCGGGGCCCCGCGGCCCATCCCAGACACCCATCCTGGAGCCCCACGACCTGTGCCCAGTGCCCCGACTAAACCCACTGACCTGCCTCTAGGTATTATACTAGATGATCAGCTCTAGAATCTTATTAGTGTGATACAGCGAATTTAAGCCTTAACTGTTCCACTTCCTTCCCTCAGGACCACCTCCTATGGCGCCCCCTGCAGTGAGACCCCAGGCTCCATCATCGATGCAGCCGCCCATGCAGCCCCAACATGCTGCTCCCTCAGTTCAGTCCCAACTCCCACCACCAATGCAGCCCACGCTTCCAGCTCCTCTCCTGCCACAGCAAGCCCCTGCTCCTAAAGCAGGGCCTCCTCCTGGTGCTGCTGCTGCAGCTGCCCCCCCTGCTGGGCCTCAACAGGGTTTAGCCTCTCCTAAACCCCCACCACGTTCCCGCTCCTCTCACGCTCTGCCGCCCGATGCTGCCAAGTCTGAGACAGCTCCAGCTGCACAGGTTGGTGCCAATTTCCTTTTCATTAAATTATTGGAATTTCAGCAGCCGAACAGAGAACACTAACATCATTTTTTATGCATGTAGTCAAGACGTGTACGACAGATTATTGCTCGAATTCTGCTCATAAAAAAAGATATTTTATGCTTACTTATGACAATTGTAGGAGGTGAAAAAGAGCCTCTTTCTGCCTCCTCATCAGATGAGCTTAGTTGTCTGTGTCATTCTTCCTGCTTTTGTCTCTCTGATACATTTGTCTCTCTCTCACAAGCTGGAGAAGCCCTCAGGGTGAAAGGTACTTTATATTAAACCACCTCTTTGTCTCATCCTCCATAGCACAACAGTCCTGCTCTGATGTTATGACCTCTCATGCATTACATCCAGTAACCTCCTCCTCTCATGTTGTAATTGATTTTCCTTCCTTTTTACATCTCCTCCCCAAGTTACTTTAACCTTGATGTTTTTAGTCAAGGCCATACATTGTTTTGTGTTAGGACCACAAATTGGAGCATTATTTGTGTTTGTTGGTCAACATATCAAACAATAGATAACATGAAAAGAAAAAAAAAACTGATAAAAATGTGATGTTTGTTGTTGGCCATTTTCCCCTCACTAGTCCTTTCATATCTGCTCACTGTGGTTCGGGTCTTTCAAATGAGCATATATGCAATGACCTCATAATTTGATTTCACTTTTTGTTTAATTTGTATTATTTCATTCATTTGTCGTAGAGTTAGTGATTGTATGTGGATTGTGATACATGAATCAGTCGTCAGCAGTAGTCAGTGTTGTAAACATAACACAATATATGTTTGGAAGTGTTTTAAATGAGCCACATTAAAGGTACCCTGTGGAGTTTTTGACCACTATTGGCATTATGGATCAGTGTTCTGATGAGCTGATGATGCTTTTATCAAATCAAGGCGGAATACGTATGAGCATGTGGGTGGCTCAATACAAATGTGCTGACTGCAGAGGGCGATAATGCAAATGTGCAGTGCATGTTAGCCATAAAACACAAACAAGAGAAAGGCAAACAGAGGGAAACATCTAAAGTGGTTTGACGACCAGCTGTACATAATCTAACGAGTTGTTAGCTAGGCCTGGTATGTCCAATTGCCCATTGTGATAGAACTTTCCGTATGAATGACAGTGAGCCCTTTTATACAGAGATCCTGCTATGTTGCAACTAAGAAGACCCCACGTTATGCCGCCTTTGCTTGTTTACATTGAACCAAACAAGCCGTCATAGTGCTGCCTAAGTGTGTGTTTTTTTTAAACAGCATGCCAGGCACGACATGTAACAACAGCATCTGCGTCCTGACTGCTCACTAATGTAAACAGATATAAACAAATGCAAATTTCTAAATAGTCAGGAATGAGGAAGGAAATGCATTTACCACATTTGATACACACACAACAAAGTAATAAACACTGAATTGTAAGTATGTAATATTTGTTTACAAAAAAGCTCCACAGGGTTTCTTTAAATTTTGTTTTGAGCCACAGAACATACATTTTAAAGAGACTTATGGTCTAATAGTTAGTCAGACACTCTAATATTAGCTCATGGTTCATATTTTCACACTACCTTTGTTGTGACAGCTGAATGGCATTTTCTTTGTTTTGTTCCTCCGTAGACAAATGGACTGAATGGAATCCAAAGAGAAGCACAATGGCAGCCTGACCCCTTCAACACACTTGCACCTGATTTCCTCTCCTCTTCCTCCACCTGGCACACCACCCAGTCCCTGACCAGAGGCTCCTCTCTGCGTGCCCCCCCCTCCGTTCCTCCGTCTACGTTTTCCTCCAGCACTCTCCCTCCATCCTTCTCCCTCCAGTCCTCCGTTCTGTCAGACCTGCAAGCACTCGGTTCATCCTCCTCTTCCTCACTCTCCACCCCGTCACCGTTCGCCTCCTCCCTGCTCCCGCCTCCTCCGGTCCCCTCTCGTAGTCGCTCGCAGGAGACACTGCGTGCCTCCCCTGGCCTGTTCCCAACCGACCCGCTCCCTGCCCGACCCAGCAGCACCAACCCCTTCACCGGCCCACTCGCGCAGCAGCATCAGCAGCGCCGCGCGCTCACCCCGGACTTGAGCACCCAGCGTCCCAGCCCGACGGCAAACCTTCAGAGGACAATGTCTGCTCTTACTCAGCCACTCATCCCCACCCCTGCTCCAACAGCGGTCCCTGCAGCTGCACCCGCCACCCAGCTCCAAAGGACCACGTCCCTGTTTGGACCATCATCTACTCTCAATCCTACACTTGCTCCTCTGCTCCCCTTCGCCTCTGACCCATCTCCTGCTCCTGCCTTGCCTCTGGCCCCTCCCTCCTCCATTCCACCTACCCTTGTACCTCGCAGTCAGCCACCTCCCCCAGGAGGGAGACCAACCCAGCAGTGGGTCACTTTTGATGATGATTTGGATTTTCCACCTACGTCCAAAACACCACAGACCCCTCACAGTTCCCTAATGCCCCAAACTCAGACTCAGCCTTCCCGCTCTGTGTTTGACTCAGAGCCCAACTGGTTATCCACAACCCCTTCAGTATTCCCCACCCTCCCTCCTCCCATTCCAACCAGAACTGCAACCAGTAACCCCAAACTACCAGAGGGACCCAGTGACAGCTGCTTCTTCCCCAGGGAGTCAACAGAAAGATAGGACCACCATTAATATGTAAAGGGCATATCCAGATATGTATAGATCTATGACAAATGTGTATATGTGTTTGTGTATGTACAAAAGAGACAGTATTTAAGAAGTATAGACCAATCCCCTTCTGAATCACAGGAAAGGATTTATATCTGGAGCAGTAACATGAGAAGTGTATGAGCCTAAGTGTGTGTTCTAACTTTACCACAGAGATATTTGCTTGTTTCCTGATATTAACATTTATTTTAATATAAATTGTTCTGATGTTTATTTTTATTTATGGCGGCAAACGTGCCTGTGTCTACAGTATATACAATTATACAAAGTATATCTATACCTACGAATCATGTGTGTGTAAGCACCTGTGCAATTTCAAGACATGTCTGTGTGGCCGTGCAGCACACTGCATGCGCCTGCAAGGTTTCACCTTCATCGGTGTTACCTTTGCATTTGCTAACACACTGTGGTTCATATCCCTCATTTTGACTGATCTGTACATTAGAGCGGGATCCTCAGAGTAGTTGGTAATCTTCTATTTTCTCGGGTTCGTCACGTGGTAGAAGGCTATGCACTGCAGGTTTTACATTTGCCCCCCAAATTTGCTGCTGTAAACAGCAATTAGAGAGTGCTTTGACTTGCAAAGAGTTTATTGTAAGTTTTTTTTTCTTGTTAGTTTTGGTTTGAGGGGTGCAAAGTCAAAAGTCATATTGTGTGCTTGTTTTTACCATGAATGTACTTTATTTTGCACTGGGTTTTGTCATTGCCTCCTTGCTGACACCACAGTGTGAACAACAGCAGCATGAGTCAGTGTCATAGTCGGTCAAACTGTTCACTGCCGCAGGACTGACACTCTGTAATATCATCTCATCCACTGAATAGTAAGACATTTTGTTCTCTATCCACTCTGTCATTATTCTCTCCTCTATGGGCCGTCAATGCTTAGCTGAATATATTTTGTAGCTCTATATCAAAACCTATACATAGTGATTATGTATAAATGTATGTTTTCAATATTGAAAACTTCTGGCTTTATGTGTGTGTTTGTGATAACCGTAACAGTGGTTTGCACAATGTAACTGATATGCACTGAAAATGCTGTGTGTGCTCTCTTGGTTGTATTCTTGTTGATGGCAGAGCGACAAAAACGAGAGCCTGCGGACTGAACAGATGAGAAGGCGTTTTGACCTTTCCACCTCCGTAGTGTTTTGATCCTTCTTGATTTATCCAAAGCTTCAAACCATACTATTGTAAATTCATGAGAGTGTGTGTGTGTGTGTGTGTGTATATATGCTTCTGTTACTCTTAAGTACGAAGATGTGGTTTGAGTCTCTTATGCATGGCATCAAACACATGCCATGCATAATAATAAGAGGGCACATTTTTTTCTTACTTCCACTTTTGTTTATTGCAAAAGTCATGCTTTTAATTCCTAAGAACATTTACTCTAAATAATCTGTTGTTGATACCGTGGTGAGAAGTAATGTGTCGTATTTGAGGTGCATATCGCCTGTTGTTGTGTTTGACAGTGTTTGTGTTTGGATGTGAGTGTGTATGCAGAGTTAACAGTGGGATAGCAGAGCTTTTCCCCTTGGAGTACATACAGTGTGTTTGCTCTCAGGTTCTGAACTAACAGCCACTGTATTCACTCACTCGTGGCGGTTACTGTATTTCTGCACTTCAACCATGGCCACTGTATGCGAAAATGTAAACTATACAACACAAAGGACCCCCCCTCCTCCCCCCTACACACACACACACACACACACACACACACACACACACACACACACACACACACACACACACACACACACACACACACACACACACACACACACACACACACTATAAGCTCGGACCCAAATACATCACCAGATGACATTTCCAGTTGGTTTGTTGTGTCCTTCCCACACATTCCAGACAGTAGTGTGATTTGAGTATTGGGTGTCAAACTCCTCTGTGTTTGCAGATCCTCTAGTCGAGAGTAATTGTTACTGAGCATGGCTGATTTCTGAACCATTCTTAAGGTGTGTGTGTGTGTGTGTATGGTGTTGTCAGAGGTGATGTGTCAGTATTTCTTTCTTCCTGTACTACCTACTTCACTCTTTCACTGCTGTTGAGTTTCACAGGTCAGCATCAGTGTCGACAGTGATGACGAGCAATAGTCTTGCAAAAGGATCAGTGAGAGTACAATCCTCCCTAACAAGGACACATGCCAGCTGTTGTAGACTAATCAGATGCCCCCCCTCCCCCAACCTTCACAAGTTATGTAACAGGCTGAAATGTCTTAAAAAGCATCTTTGATGGTTCATGGAGGATAAAACATGTGAACCAAGAAAGTACCAGCTAAATTACGCTTCCGCGCTCTGTTTAAACATATGAATATGAGTAGAAACTGTATCTGCATTAACAGTAGGTGACTAGCCAGCGCTTTGTGTCTTGTCATGTTCAAGATGAGATTTTATAGGAAACAAATTGCTCCTTTTGTGAGGTCGGTGTCCCTTTTTATGGCTATAACCCATAGTAAATAAGAGTCTGTGTTGTTGAACATATTCTGTACGTATTAAAGAGAAAACATGAAGCTGCGATTCATGTTACTATCCAACGTTCCATATTTTAAGTGCACAGCTGATTGCACATTTATGTATGAAGCAGTTTATGTTGTATGTATGCAAAAATAAATGTACGTTGACCTGAGTTGATTTTTCTCTTTTTTGATTGCGCACGAAAAAAATGACATACTTGTAAAAGATCATGTACTTCTACTTAAAATTCAGTTGCACAGACATTTTATCATCTGTTTGTTAATGGAGACATTTATGTTTGTACAACAAAATTAAATGTGTAGTCTACCTGCACTTTTATTTAGATTTAGGCTCTGGATATCACTTCCAAACGGCACCCAGACACTAATCTAAAACCAATGAAGTCATCTGTATCATTGTTAAATTTTAAATCTGTATTTTCCTGTTAGTCCACATATACAACCTAAATATTAATCAGATATTTGTGTGTGTGTGTGTGTGTGTTTATTTATAAATATGTTTTTGCCTCTTTCTGTCCCATCATCTTTTTGCAAATTTTTCAAACTTCTCTACATTTCTCAAATGTATTATTATATTATGTGACAGGTTGACAACAAATATCACTACACCCCTTGTTAATATATATTTATGGTTTTCCAACTCAAACACAATGATGTGACTAACTAAATTATTGTGTGTACAACTAAGTAATATGTATTAAAGTCTTATAGTCAACTTAACACTAAGTTATTAGTTTTCCAACCAGTATTCTTTAGTGCAGTTAACATAAATCTTTGAAAAAGCAATAGCAGTGCACACAGTTTAGCATAAGATGTGCACAATGCACTGTGTTGCCATTATTTACCGTTAGAGGGCAGTAATATTGTTCGGATTAATACAACCTTCCGTAAAAAGATCACAAGAAGTAGAACGTATCTGGACCGGTGAACTGACTGTAGCTAGTAATGTCCCCGGTTGTAAACAAAGTGTGAGCCCAGTCTGAACAGTGTAGCGCCGTCTTGTGCTTGTCGTTTCACTGCACAGGTACGTGTTACCATTTCCAGTCACTATAGACAAATTTATTTTTTAACAGACTGACCCTATAAATGTGAGCATTTATATTAGCTACATTGCTAAAAGCTAGCTGCTGGGTTTTCTAGAAGCGTCCGCACACGAGTGTTGCTATGGTTACACTGTTTTGGCCGCAGCTGTAACACAGACAAACCGTCGTGTGGTTGCGGGTTTTTCCTCAGGAGCGAACTTCAATTCCTTATTCGTGTCTTTCAGGAGGTAAACAGGCGGTGAGCTGCTTTAAAGATGGTGCAGCTGCATGTGAAGCGTGGAGATGAGAGCCAGTTTCTTCTCAGCACCACTGTGGACTCGCCTCTGGAGACGGTGATCCAGCAAATTACAGCCATTTACAACGGGAGACTGAAGGTGGACAGAATATGTTCAGGTGAAACTAACATACTATGTGCTATCTGTAAACACTGTGGAGGCACGAGAAGCCTGTTGGTCTAGGTTTAGCACTAACTTTCAGTATTTTACCTGTGACATGTCTCTGTGCTTTAGTAAATAAGAGCAGTTTGTTTGTTTTTGCACCCTCAGAGATCCCAGAGCTTGCAGACCATGGCATCACACTGCCACCCAACATGCAGGGGCTGACAGAGGACCAGATTGTGGAGCTGAAGCTGAGAGATGAATGGGAAGACAAGTGTGTGCCCAGTGGAGGGCCAGTATTTAAGCAAGATGAGATTGGGAGGAGGAATGGACATGGTGAGACTCAGGCTCTTGGTTGTAGGCTATGTAGATTAACAAAATAAATATTCTAAATGCATGCTAAATGTAAATTGTCCTTTTAGGTAGCCCTTTGCATGAGGATGTAGCTTTGGGTGGAGATTTACCCCTCTTACACCTCTTATATCAAACCCCTCTTGTGACATAGAGATTCTGCAATGAATTAAAATGTTAAACATTATATGTAATACATACTTCAACAGTGGATGACATATACATAAACTGCTATAAATGGTTTCTTTTAATCTGAATGAAAATAGTTTGTGAAAAAAGGCATTTTATTTCTATGCAGGCAGGGTAAAAGAAAAAAAAGATTTTGGTAATCTGACCACACATCTCTTTGTCTTCTACCAGCTCCCAATGATAAAATGAAAGAGGTGTTGATGAGAACAATGGAGGAGGCAAAGGCACTGATCTCCAAAGTGAGTATGAGAGTTAACACTTAAATCTTACATTGTTTTGTTCTCCTAGGGTCAGTTTTTTTAATTTATTTTTTATTCAATCCGTATCTCTTTCCCTCTCTATCCTTCAGAAACAAGTTCAAGCTAATGTTTGTGTCACCATGGACATGGTAAAAGAAGCCCTGGATCAGCTAAGGGGGGCTGTCATGATTGTGTACCCCATGGGGCTGCCTCCTCATGACCCTATCAGGATGGAGTTTGAGGATCGGGAAGATCTTTCAGGAACACAGGTAAACAGCTTCCTAGCAGCTATTGGTTGATGGCTACATAAAATTGTCAGTCAGCAACAAAGGTTTCAAGTTTCTACAGTTGCTGTTGTTTTTAAAGAGGTTCAACAGTCAATTAACATTTAACATTGTCTTTAAGATAATTGGAATTGAAATTCATGAAGCTATGCAACTGTCTCCTTGATCATTTCTTTCTTCACCTCTCTCTTTCTCCCTCATTCCTCTGCATCTGCTCTCTCCGTCTGTCTCCTCACCTCAGGCATCTCTGCAGGTGATCACAGAGAACGAGTGCCAGCTATGGTGGGCTGCCAAAGAGATGCAGAGGGGGAAAAAACTGCAGGAATACATTGGCAAAAATGAAAAGACAAAGCTTGTGGTAAAAATCCAAAAGGTAAGAGCTAATGTGAGCAGTGAGGATTTTTGTGGTTTATGACGGGCTGTGTATTTGTTGTTTTATGATGTTTTTGTTGGTATCGAGAATTACTGTGATCCACTCGTTGCTGTTCCCTTCAGAAAGGGCAGGGGGCACCAGCGAGAGAGCCTATGATCAGCGAGGAGCAGCAGAAACAGATGATGATGCATTACTACAGGAGGCAGGAGGAGCTCAAGGTGAGGATAGGCAGAGCAAAACTGTAGAAGACAAACAACCACGTTCCTGTTTGTACCCACTGTACCTTTCTAACCGTCTCCTGGTGACATTTTCAGAAACTGGAGGAGGCAGATGATGATAGCCACCTGGACTCGGAGTGGTCAGACAGACAGGCCCTCAAAAAACAGTTTCAAGGCCTCACCAACATCAAATGGGGACCGAGATGAAGACCAGTACCACTCCGATACCTCTGACCTGGTCCTTAACAGCTCTATATGCAACTGACTAAGGTGCCTTAACACAATCCTGTCATCTGTTTACCTTTGGTGTTATTTGAGGTCTTCCAGAGGACTTAATATACAGCAGATGACATAGTTTCAGACTTAGTTTCTGGATGAACACCTAATGTTTATTTTTAACCAAATTGAAATGTGAAGAAGACACCTGGACACACAATATGACACATAATGATGTCACATGGAGGCTGATATCATTATAAACCTGGTTTATTTTAACTTTAGTCTTCTCCCTGTGTTCTATCTGATTGTTATTACCCTGTTGTAAAGTTACATTTTCACTGAAGCTGTACAAACACGATTAAATTTAAGTTTAATCAATATTTACTGCACGTTTACTGTTTAAAAAAAAATCAAATAGAATGACTTCCATTGTAGCATGTGTATACACAATGTTTTTACATTTCATATTAATAATGAGCTAATGTTCAACAAAGTCTCAGTAGTAGTGTTTCAAATGAAGCTCAGTCTTACATCCCTTGGAGTTCAGGGACAAGGATGCTACACCTTTCCTCTCTTTGTCTCCTGCTGTGTGATGACACACACTTTAAACTTTAAACCTCTGAAAGCCAGTGCTGTTCTGAGGCAGGAAGTTGCCACATAGTACATGGGTCGTTCCAGTCCTCGTCCCAGCAGGACTGTGTGAGAGTGTTTGGAGGGTTGTGGAAACTTTGTGGGACTGTTGAGGGAGCTGGTGCGGTGATTCAGAGAGGTGAGGCCGGTTTCAAGTAACACTGCGTTCACTAAAAAAAAAAAAAAAAAAAAAACAATCTGGATATAATGTGCGGATTTAAAGGACAATTCCACTAATTGTACATTCACTTCAGAAGGCTCTTTATAAAGACAGTGATCAGTTGTGGCAGGTGAAACTAGAACACATACCTTGGGTTTCTGGAATGAACAGCTGCCAATTTTAATTACCGCTAATGTAGCTGTACTGTAGGGAAAACACTGTAGTGTGTCTATTTTTGTCAGTCACTTTTTTGTCAGTTTTGTTTTGTTTTTTCAAATCAATGAAACATTTTTATCACAGTTAGGAAATATGATCCTTGACAAATGTGTTTGTGATATAAAAGCATTGATTTTCCTTTCTGGGGTAAAAAGCCAGAGGGAGTTTGGAGATGAAAGCAACTGTGTTTCATGGTCCCTTCAGACAAACAGGAGTTGTTATGACAGATCTTGTTCCCTGACATGTTCTTTGGTTTATAGTGATTTATCATTTTCACTGATACAGTTATCATGATGGATCAGTACAGTAATATTCTTGAATGAATGTGGCAGCTGTGTGACTGTGTGTCAAGACGAGTGATTTCAACCTTTTTGTGTCAGTAAACAATATTTCACCTGAAATCTTAGCTTCATTTGGTGGTGAATGTGAATAAATACAATATTTAACCACCCATTTTTCAGTATAAAGTCCTGCTGATCCTTTAAAAATGGCTAGTACTGCACTTTTACTTAAACATTACATTGTTCACAAACTAAGTGCGCCTGTAAAACAAAAAAAAGAAAAAGAAAAGAAAAGGCAAAACGCACAACAAACTGCTTCGCAATGTAATAAAAAAGGTTTCTTGTTTTATCAATAATCAAAGGCTGGGAGTATCCTGAAAAAATCCTGAAGGTGCTTAAGAGCACCCATGGGTCACGGTTTATTTAACATGTGCTGCCATTCAGATAGGCATTCATCCAGATCTCCTGTATGATCATCTCTCTGCGCTCAATCCTCTCTGCCCGCTCGGCCGCCTCGCTCACATAAGTCACTTCCTCCCAGGCGTGCGTTGCCTTCCTCTCTGTGGCTGAGATTAAAGAGCTTTCTGATCCTTCAGCGTCATCATCATCTTCCTCTTCTTCATCATCATCATCATTATCATCATCATCGTCCTCCTCCTTGCAGTTAGCAGTCTGGCTACGAGACTTGGATGCGAGTCTGGGATCTCCGAGCCGGCGCCCTCTGCAGGTCACTCGGACTGATACAGCCAGCAGCGTGAGCAGAAGACCGACACACACGCTGGAGGTGAACAGCAGCGCCGCCATTTCTGGATGCTCTGTGTGGGGAAATGAAGAGGAGGAGATGTAAGAAAACATCTGTGTGCATTCATGAGTACATGCGCCCATGTAGATACTGTTTACCTTTGATGTAGGCATAGGTCAGGAGAGAGTTGCTCATCATAGCTCCTGAGTTGTTTGGCCTTCTTGACCCCTTGGAGAAAGGCTTCTCCAGATCCACAGGAGAAACTGTTGTGAAAGTTTGAATTATGATGCGAAGGAAAGGCCATAAAAACCTCGACTTACAACAGATTACACAATACTGTTACCTTTTTCTGTGCGCACAGTAGGAGATGAGGTGGAGCTGAATATGTTCGGATCTGCTTCCTTTAGTAAAGTCTGTGGTACTATTGAGAGAAAGACAGAGGAGACAGTCTGTATTTATTGCTGTGAATATACAGGACACCATTCATCAGCACAGCACTTCGCACGTCCAAACCTATGAAAAAGTTTGACCCCATTATGAATAGTTTCTGCCCAGTTGTGTTGAAATCTGGCCTACAAGGTTAGCGCACATTGTTTTGTGATAGATGGAGAAAACCGAGCCAGTCAGAAGAATTCCCTTCACTACAGTCACAACTCCAAATTATGATACATGAACAATGTTGCCGGATGACCTCACTGGCATTTGTGCCAATCGCAGGAAGTTTACCAGGATGTCAAATCTGAGCTCACAGTCTTATTATTCCCTGTTTAACTGTGTTATTGGGTGTGATACGATGAGAAAAGCTGATGGCTGAGATCAGCAGATAAGAATTCGCAGTAGGAAACTACAAATGTTCTCTGTTGGAGCTGTCAGATAATGAATAACGGAAAAAAAAACAAAAGCAGACATGACGTGTTCCTATTCTGAGCCCACTCTCTAATTCATCACAAGGCTCGTAATTATATTTTGTGAATGAGGAAGCACAAAGAGTCCTACCACAAGAATAGACCACACTGAGGTACTTCCTGGTTCCTGGAAAGCAGGGGTCCCTAAAGGTCTGGTTGCTGACGGCAACAACGCACCTCTGTTTGCTGTAGCAGGACCTGGACACCGAGTGTACAGCCTCGTGGTTGAGACATTCTGTAGGGAGCAAAAAAGAGAAACTCAGAGGCGAACAATGAGACATCTTCTGTCAGCGAGTGTCTACTGCTCACACTGACGCTCAGCTGCAATAGCTGAAGCACTGATTCACTGTTTTGTAGAAGTTTGGTTGTAGTTTAACTAAAATTAAATCACCTTTTTTTTGGCAGCCGCCTGATGTGTTTTTCCCCTGCTAAGCAAATAGTTCTCGTCGTATCGTTATCCCCCCAATGTTTCTTGCCTATACTAAAGAATTCAATGACCTGATAAGTTACTTTAAAGCACATATCATTGTGAAATTAGTATAATTTGGTAGAATTAGTAACAAATGATAATCCAGTCTTTATCTTGCATCATTCATATCAGCATTTTTCACAGCAGACACTTTGACTTGTCAGAGCAGGAAAAGCACAGGTGCAGCCAATAACATTTAACGATGGCAGGGGCACAACCCAAACGTACTACAACCGTTATTTATGTTATTAGTTTACACCTCTGCGTTTTCTGCTACGGCACGTAGAAACCTATGCAGTGAAAAGTGTCTGCTGTGTAGTTTTTGCTTGTCTCTCTCTTTAATTAAAGCCGCATTCCCCATTTAATTCCCACTGCCTTGTGTTGTAAGGCAAATTTCCGATTTCAGTGATCAGATTGGAGCTGATGCTTTTACTCATGTCACCGTCTGCCAGAGACCTCTAACACAGAAGACATTCTGATACAGGAAAACTACAGCTGTAAGTAAAAATATTAATGATGGCAGATTTTTGTTTAGTATGATTTGGATTCAGGGTCCTGGTATTGTGCGTGCTGGCTCGCTGTCACACTGGGATGCTCGAAAGGAACAGGGCCATCGTTATATTTTATTAGTAACACCTGTGCTTTTCCTACTATGACAAGTTAAATTGTCTGCTGAGGAAAAAGGTCTTTGGCTGTGCCTGAAATCATTCTCTCAGTCTCATTCATTACTCTATAATGAGCACTGAATTATTATCTGGACCCTGATCAGGAATCATCTGTTAGTTGCCACCATGTGAGAAAAACTGAATATCCCGTTGACTCACCAAATGGGGGTGGTCTTGTCAGGTGTGAGGGGCAGGTGTCACTCTCTCCCAGACTTCTGCCATAGACAGCTGCATAGATGTTCAGCACCCTGGGGGGCTTACAGCGCAGGACCATGGTCTCTCCCTCACATGCTACATGTCTTTTGTGTTCAGCTGAGTGAGGGGAAAAATAGAAAGGATGAGGAGGTGAAGGGGGATGGTGGCAGCGGGAAACTGAGGTGTGATTTTTGTGTATATCTGTGTATCTATTGCACGCTCATCCACTGGTGAATGTGTGAAAGAAAGTGATGCAGAAACAAACTGACTGGGAGGAGATGTGACAATAGAAATGGGTGTGATCAACAGGGAGGAACACGTGAGAACTGAGCTGCTAAACTCACTGGGTTTACACTTGTAGTCCACATGGAGGTATTTGGTAATGCCGGGACAGGGGTCCTTCCCAAACAGCAGGTGATTGACAGGTAGCTGGCAATCTCTGTGGCTCTGACACTCAGACAGCAGCTTCTGCAAAGCAAACACCAGGGTCAGTAAGCATTTATCAGTAAACAGGAAGTGTTGCTACATACCACAGTGAACTAATGCGATACACTAACAGGCTGACAAATGGATAAGAGTGGGCTGTGCCTTCATACAGCTAACGGTGGTGTGTTCACTGCAAATGTAAAACGCATATGGGGGAGAAAACCACTCCAGTAAATCAGCTGGAGCTGGTGAACCCCCACCTATTCACAAAGTGACCCGGTGAGAGTGAACAGTGCTGCATATCTCACACATAAAACGCACCTGTAGAGCAGTAAAAGCTGAACAGCTGTGGTTGTGGGCTCTGGGTGGAGGGTCCCGGTCTGCTCTGCACAGCCACGCCTCGCTGCTCCCGTAGAAGGCGGACTGGATGGAGATGGTGGAGTGACGCGGACAGTGGAGACGCAGAGGCTGTCCGTCACAGGCGTGAGCGGAGTGACTGGTGATGATCCTGGACAGGTAGTCTGTTACACAGAGGGCACTGGTTAGGCTGTAATACACTATGGAAATACAGTATACAGGTGCATTAAAGGGACAGGACAATGTCTTCTGCGGCCCTGGAGGGAGCTTTCTAAAGTTACAAAGTAAAAGCATGGGGTTTTAAAGAGATTGCCAGGGAGGATCTTATGAAAGATGCTATTGATTTGCATTATGGGAAATGTAGGATCCATCCTTTTTTGGAGCTAAAAATGTGGATATGTGTTGCTTCGACTTTCACCACAATTTTTTTTTTTAATCTCTCTTCTTTGGGTCCCCCAATTTATGGAAGTGCAAAACAAAATTACTGGAGTATCCCTTTAAATCCACTTAATCATATAACCAAAGGGAAACCCACTAAGCCTGCTATTATTTACAGGAGTAGAAACAGACACAACAACTAAAAAAAAAAAAACATAATGAAAAAGGATTTTAACTTTGAAGCAACTTAACACCCAGTGAAACATATTCTTAAATTGTTGTTCTTTTTTTTCTTTTTCTTTTTAAATCTGCTGCATCTGTGGTTTTTGGATCAGATTGTTTGGCCTCTTTGGAGCTCTGAGTTGTCTCATGTTGCTTTGAAAAAACTCACCCATCAAAGTGCTGCCTGACTGCCAGTGCTCTATCCTGGGTGGCAAATTCTGCCAACTGGCATTCAACCTAATGTGACCCACCTTTGTTGCATGGCATGCAGATGTGATTAAGTTACGTCTGATTCAAACTCTGTTTTATCCTGTGCTGTTTACATTATTTGCTCTGTAGAGGATGAATCTTGAAAGGTTCAGAAGAGACTGAAATAGAGGATCAGTTTGGATGAAATATTCTTTAGATAAAACAACAGTAAGACTGGCTGGTCTCTAACTCCTGTGTGAACATTGTTTTGTCTATGACAAGACGATAACTACAATGACAAAGACAAAATAAGATATGTATTTTACTCCTCACATTGTGTCTTCATATCATGGCGCCTCAAACTGGTGTGCTGTTCCATGCCAAATCTCAAATAGGATCTTTGGGACATATGGGTGGTATTTTAAGAACACTGGCAATGTGAACAACACTAGAACCACTTTATACACTGCACCATACATCATCTGCAGAAACATGATTCACTTTTAGTAATAACAACACTCTCAGAAATGAGGTTTATCTACCTCCTCCTCTCCCCCATCACATCATCATCATCATCATCATCATCATCTTACTTGAGAAGTCAGCCAGTGCATCCATGCGTCTGGTCCACAGGAGTAAAGTTAGGTAGAGGAGGCTGTGGCTCCAGTCTGGTCCGTGACAAGGACGCGTCCAGCTCATGACTCGCATCCCCTGTCCCTGGGATCATATTAAAGAGACCCCAAAAATTCACTGTAGGCTGCAGGACTTCATGAGAAATAAAGTAAAATGAGCCCACGGGTCCGCGACGTCAAGCCTCATCTCTGACGAAACGTGGTTTCCTCACGTGTTTCTCTTCAGAGTAAATAACAGAGCGGCCGCTGCAGCGATGGACCACAGAGGAGGTTAGAAATAGCAGCTGCGCAACAAGTTGTTCAAAACTGACAGACGAGGTGATTAATCCGACGCGTGGTGACGATGAGGATGATGGTGGTGGTGGTGGTGGTGGTGGTGATGATGATGATGATACTCCCAATGCGACTTTTCCTACAGTTCAACGCCGCAGATTTGTGAATGGACGCATGTGGAAACTGAACGTGTCTTACAGTAACAGCTGAGTGGGAATTATAGAGTGGGCGTGGCGGATAAAACTATTTTAAAGCGAAGAGGGGCGACACACTCACGCTCACTGGTATGACGCACTGGCAGCCCCCACCCACCTACCCATGAGCCACATGTTTACTTTTTGGATTATGGTAAAATGCTTTCATTCTGTTCATTCCTTACTTTCATTTTCTTCTGATTTTTAAATGTCACAATTGATCCGAGTTCAAAGAGGATTTGTTTCCCTTTCCCTGCATTTTAATGTCATTTATTATACAAAGCGCAAAAGGTTTTCAGTTTTGCTGTATTTATTTGTGTTTATTATTTGTCAAATTGTGTAATACCTTAATTAATAAAGGATAATAAAGATAGAGCCCATGTAGCAGGAAGTGGCAGTGATACTTAATATGCATCTGGCAGAGAAATAAAAATACTGGCACAGCACACTGCCAAGTTGACATCAGTGGTAAATCTGTGTTTTTTAATCTACAAAGATCAACTTTCAAGCGAATTATATTTTGAATCTGTTTCTTTTCAGAAACTGTTGATGTCCTAACCCATGGTGTGTTTGAATTAAGCAGGGGGCCTACTGGGTAAAATTTGCTCCCCGGCCCACATCCATGACCCACTCCATGGTAACCGGTCAATCTCCATGTCAGACCTACAACAGTCAAGCTGACGGAGACGTTGGGGTCTCCACGCTTGGGGGAGACTGGCAGGGAGGAGGAACTGAGAGGTGATATTTTGCATACAAACTGGACAACAGGCACCCATTCCTCCCATGTTGCTTCCATTCCTACTTTAGCTTTAGGCGTACAGGGAGTGGCTCCAAAAACCCCTTTCATGTGCGGTTATCCCTCCAAAGCCTGTGGAATTTTGTTGTCAAACTAAAAAAAAAAAATTTCCTGGACTTTGTTTTTTGAGCTGAGATTCAGCCATGTAGGTCAAACAGGAAGGTAAAAATTACACTTTAAATGCACATGATTAGAGCCATGTTTTGAGGTATGGTAAGAAAAGCTCTTAAGTACAGTATTTAGATGTCTAAGTAGGGGATATTAAGAGTCTTATGTAAACCTACAGAAATAACCCACTGGATTATCAAAAAAAAGATTATGCCAGCGTGAGGCTGGCTGATGTCAGTACCAATTAAATATCTTTACACTTAGTAATAAAGTAGGAGTGACATATTAGTTTAATATGTATAACACTACTCTTAGTGCTCATTAAAAAAAATAAAGTGCCATCATGTAAATGTAAAATGTCTGTTACTTCTGAAAAGATTCTTCTAAATTTCCATTAAAAATAATTAAAAACATATTCACCCTTCATTCTACTTTTAAATATTTCCAACACAATGAAGCCATTCAAAGAACGCCATCTCTCTGCGTGTTGGAGCAGTTGATCAATAAACATCTGGAAAATAAACTCCATCAGAGAGAAACATTCTCACGACATGCTGATAAACTTTTTCAGCCTGGACACAAAAACACAAAACACTTGATTAGTGCTGATGGTGTTTTGTAACAAACAGGAAGAGGAGTTAAAGAGAACAGGTCCAACTGAAGGAAAGAAACATCACGACTTTCATTTTCTCCTGACAGACTCGTGCGACTGTAGAAACTGCACTGAAGCACTGAAGGACAGATCAGAGGGAACCATTGTAATACATTTAATCTTAGGCAAGTGAGAGAAAATGATGCATGTACATATCATATATAAATGGATTTTGAATTTTAAAGTAACGTGTACAGCTTGCCTCAAATTCACATAAAAATGGATCCGTCAACAGTGACTGTGCATGCAGCAGCTAGTTTTCAAAGGTCGATTTTATAGAGATTTAATAAATAACAGACTCTGTTTAATAAATAACAGACTCTGATGGTCTCTCATAAATTGTTCAATAAGATGAAAGTTACCTCACACGATGCTAACAAATAACTTTATTATTTTTTTAAACTCAGAAAAGGCACAGCTCAAAACAGGGAAAGATTTTAACATTGCAGAACATCTTCACTTGAAATTCACATTCATTTCAAACTGTGAATCAAGGGCAGCCTGTAATTAAAGAAACAAAGTGTCATTAAAATAAAAAATAAAAAAAGTAAGTAACCATATCTTGTTTATTACTGAATGAATTGTTTAGATACTCACCATTTCTCTTTTTGCTTCTTCTATTTTCACTTTAGCAAGAGACGGGCTCTGTTGTGGTGTAGGAGGGAAAAACAGTCAGTAAAGCCAAATACAGCAACAAAAAGGCTGTTTCCTAATATGTGAAGATTGGTTCAATTATTCTATCAAATTTAATAAAGTTAAATTCACGCACATAAACATAAACTGAATTTCTTAAAGAGCAGGATGGGATAATGTGAAAGCAGCAACTGAAAACAAACATACTGGGCTCAGGTCCATGTAAGGCTCCAGTTTCTTTTTCAAGGGGATTATTTCTTGTTTCAGTGTAGTGACTTCCTGCAGAGAGGAAAAATAAGATGACACATTTTAAACCCTGAAAGCAGACAGCGTTGCGTTTTCATTTCCATGGTGATGACTGTGGTGCATGTGTAGAAGCTTAAATACCTCAGAGAGCTGCACAATAGCCTGGTGGGTGATAGACTTGTCCATGTTCCTGGACACAAGCTGAGCCTGTTGGATCGATAAAACTGAATATCAAACTCTGGCAGGGCCGTGATATTTTCAAAACCTGGTCCCTCCCGACAATGATACGAAGGGCGTTAAGTGTTGGCATCATCTCTGTTCTCTAAACCAGAGGCAGTAACTTGATGCCCACATTATATCAGGGTCAGAATACAGTCTGTCATTCTGAACAAAATAAAAGTGGTAACTCAACAGAGGAAAGAACAGTAGCCTGCCAGGAGCTTAGTTTCTGAGAGGTCAGTTTCTGCCCCTTTGGTAACATTTTTTGTTCTGTGGCAACTTTAATTACCTATGAATTAATATATAACACACTCAATTTTTTAGCAAATTTTGTCTTCTTTCCCATTGTTAGATACAGACAGAGGGTTTTCTGGAGGACTCTTCTCATCCTCTCCATCTTTCACCCTTCTAATTGATTATTTTTATGCCATCGGTTGTTTGATTTTTTTTTTTTTTTACTGGTGGCTGAGGACACCGATAATTTATGCCTCTTCAGGCTGCATAGCAACTTGACATTAGTAATATTTTGTTCAATCTTCTCACCCAGCAGGACCTTCCCACTAAGACACGAATATTTGAACAGAAACAGAGCGACATAATACATTTTCTGCCTTATTATTTCAGTAGCAGTATATTGTACCATGTATCAACACCTGTGCATCTGAACTAGCACTATGCAGCTATTACAGATGCAGATACGACAGCACAACGTACCTCTGCCCTCTCCCGTCTGTTGCTGAGCTCTTTACCCTTCGCCGTCACAAAATCCATGTTGAGCAGTCTCTCCTCCGCTTTAGCGCTCTCCACTGCCTGAGCTTTAACAGTTTTGTTGATATCCCTGAAGATAATTAAGAGCAATGATTAGTATGAACTACAGCCTGTAGCAAGCAGCAAATGGTTTTATGTCTGTTCTGCTGTGACTGGATTTTATCATGTGTTTACATACAGAATGTGACAGCGCAGGACTGTCTGTTTTAATTGTAACAAAGCAGTAGTGTCACGTTATGCATCAGCATGGCAACATCCATGTTCTTACTCTTGTAAGTTGCTCCGCAGCACCAGAGTAGCTCCGAGTCTCTTTCTGAGGGCCCTGAGTTCCCTCTCAAGTCTTCTGTTGGACTTCTCTGCTTCCAGAAGTTCGTTGGTGAGGTTGTTCACTGCTGGCATAAAGCTACACAAGAAATTTAAAAAAAAAAAATCCGATTTGATTCTTTTCCTTTCTTACTTTTCATGTCTTTCTTCATGGAGACTAATCACAAGATAATAGTAACACAAAACAGACTTTAACGGTGCAATGACAGCATACCTGCCCAGTGATGTGTCTCTCACTCCAAGCACCATAGCGTTGTCCACTAAAGCAGACAGGTAGTCAGCAGCGGGCTTCGACAGGCTTGCACAGGACAGACCAGCACCTTGTAGAAGGACATCCTGGAGATGTGCACCTGGATGGAGAAAACACTGGTTAGGTCTGTGAAAATGCTGTAGATCCTTTTTAGTGAGAATTAACGCACAATAGCGTCGCCTTATACTTGACTAAACTATAAACCCTAAACTGGCGCATGTAAAGATACTGAGTCTTAGTTGCGGCCATCATTCCTGTCAGCTTTAATAACATTTTACTGACCACATTAGCAGAATGTTTTTGAAAGAGAATGACACAGAAAAGTCTTTGCATGCACAAGTATGGCAACTACAGTGGGTCAAAGATGATCCAGGAATTATCTGATAATTATGATTTAGGTTAAGACTAGTCTCCAACAGAATAATGCATCCTTACTTTACTTTTATTTGGTAATAAAAGTAAGGTAAGGATCCTTCAAAAATAATGCCATGAATCGTTTTGTTTATTAATTACTTTCGTGCAAAGCGCAGTAAATATAAAAAAGAAACAGTGTCTACTCAGAATTAACACATGCCTCAAGAATAACTGTGTGACACCATCAGCTACTTTCACTGCGTTAACCTGTGCTGTCTGTCAGTGACTCACCATCAGCCTGATACTCTGATGCTTTCTGCTTGAGGTCTTCTATAAGGAGAGCCGTGTCACTGCACCGGGCTTCACTGGACTGAGCCAGCTGGTACAGGACGTCCACTGTTCTGGTGTTGACCTCGAACTGCGGCACCGGTTGATCCCCAAACACCGCGCTGAGCCAGCTGTTCACCTGTGGAGCCACACGGAACTGGAGGATAAACAACAGGCAACAACCACAGCCACTGCATTCACTTAAAACGTTACGAGACACTAGCGAGAAACATTACCTTCGTTATCTTTTCACACATGGCGAATAAAAAAGGCAGCAAAAGCCCAAAATAACGAGCCTCTTCAAAAGTTCAAGTGGCTATGCAGCTCCAGAGAAAAACGATAACAGAATCTGCTCTTTAGTTTCGCGCCCCTAAAAATTATTCTAATAACTTCCTAGTTATCAACCAATGAAAAAAGGTTCCTAGCTACGTTTACTTACAACAATAATTTAAATATTTTTTTAAATAATTAAAATAAAACATAGACGATAACTGGTGACGAACTAAATAAATGCAAGCAAAATAGATGACGAATTAAATGACTACGCGAAAATAAATTTCGCTTTATTAAAAAAGTTTATCCGGTTCACGTTTCAAAGAGAAACCTCAGGTCAAGATAGTTCACGTACCGTTACAGCAACTAAACATGAACATTATACAGAATGCAGTTACACATATCATATACGGTATGTAGTTTGTTTCTTATTGTTCATAAAAGATTGTAAAGATGCATGTATGAAAACATATGGAACATGGCTGAATTGAAATTCCTTTTATGGGCGTTAAATGAAAGTACAAAAGCAACAGAGCTTATTGACACATCTGGCTTGCCATACCCTTGTGTTATCAAATATGCAATATAAATGACTGGAAACTTATATCTATACATGCGTTCAGCTCATATATAAAACATTTGAATATACTAAGCATAAACAAGATATTAAACCACATACACACACAAAACTAATTTCACCCCAATTTGTGGTGTCAAAAAGGGAAAATAAAACACAACGGGGAGGAGTGTCGACCACGGAAGTACATAGAAGTAACTCTCTCACTGTCAACCACGCGCCAAAGTTTGAAACTGTTTGTTTTTGGGGGGACCTGGTAAAAAAATGGCGACTAAATCAAAACCACGACAGAAAAATATAAGAGCTGCATTGGAAAAGTCCAGTTTCGACTCTTCCGCCGTCGAAATAAAGTCGGCAAAACACCGACAAAAACGTGCAGATAACACGTTTGAAACGTCCAGCATAGACTACACCGCCGTCGAAGAAAAGCTGTTCGGCCATGTAGAGGAAGACGAGGACAGTGACGATGGACCAGTAGTCTTCATCTGCGGGAAGTGCAGGTTACCTGTTGGGGATTCACTGGCCTGGGATGGAAGCGAAGACGGCCAAAACCAAATTAAACTGAAGCGTGAGTCTGGGTGTTAGACTGGGTTCTCTCTTGGTATAGAGAAAAATAAGCATTGGATAAAACACTTTATAACAAATGACCACAGTATAAATGAAAACAGTTAATGTCTTTAAAAGTAGATTTTCTCACAGGGCATCAAGTTTGAGGATAGTAGACCTGGCTGGTAATCTAGCCTTGTGCATGAGAAGTACAACGGAGACAAACAAACTACAAGCAGCAGACAAAGCAAATAAAGTGTTAGGCATAACACTGAAGCAATAAACAGAATTAGAAAAACTAAAAAATATAAGTACTTATTTCCATAGTGATACTAACCTGCCCTAAAGTATGGTAACATTAAAGACTGCTGCGCTCATGCTACATTGCTACCAATTTGTTGTAACATGCAGATAAAATATTAAATACATTCAACCATATCTCCTCTTTCTATGTCATAAAATAAAAATGCTTAGTATCATACCTATGTTGGTCTCTGCTACACTCAGACACCTGTAAGTAGTCTGGTGACTGTTCATTTAGACATTTATACCCATGACTTCCTGCTAAATATTGAATCCTCTTAGCAATGTTTGGCCATTTTAAGGATTTCTGGACATTTTATTTGCATATATCAGAAACAGTAAGAGTCCTAAGATTGATGTGGAACACCGCATGTAACCACACCTGGATGTGATAAGGTGTCGTTATTCTACGCACCAAATGTCATTACCGTGATAAGATTTAAACCAACTAACTACTAGGTTATCACACCAGTTTATTAGTTTTATTACTTGTGTTGCATGTGTAGTTCTCAGGCCTCATCAACCATAAATCAGCCCTCATTAATACTATAGCTGAAATGTTAGATGGTGCAGTTTAAAATAGCAGATTGACTGAAAAGTCTGATAGAGTGGTGCATTCATGTGCAGCTGTAGAGGTTCTGAATTTATATATTTGGAAGGTACCTTATGAAGACAATGCTGCATTATGGTGCTAATGTTTGTGATGTTTTTTCTCAGGGGTCACTGAAAACGTCTTGGTTGGAGAGGACACTAGACTATATGATGCAGGCAAAAAAACTCTCTGGTAAGAAAGTCTTGTCCCAAACACTGCTGTTCAGATTACCACGGGATAACACTTTATTTTATCAGACTCGAAAACCTATAACTCATGGACATACGTTTTGGTATTCATTGACAAAAGTACTGGTATTTTGTTATCTGTGTGAGTGCTTGTTGGATTAGATTTGTGTCACTGACTGATTTTGGCTAAACTGTGCTCATGTTTCTTGTATTTTTCCCGCTGCAGTCTGATCAAAGATCTCTTCTGTCAAGGCTGCCACTCTCTGCTTGGCATGGTTTACGCATCAACGCCTAAGCGCCTGGACCACAAGAGATTTGCATTCTGTTTCAATGTAGCCGAAATCGACAGGTATGTTCAGGGCCTGGATTATTAGAAGGGATGTTTAAAGACACATGCATGAGTTATCATTTCTTTGAAGTTTTATCACTGTTTGTTGTACTATAAAATGTAATAAACATAAAAATCATGCAGGTGCACTTACTCCACATTCAGCTCTGTATATTATCTGAGAATATTTTTCTTGTTTCAAAACTTAAAAACACTAATTTATGAAATATCAACAAATCTAATTTTAATGACTACAGTAGAAAATATATGAAGTAGAAATAAACCCCTTATTGTTGCATGCAAAATATCCCATCTTCACACAAGTTTTAGAGATTCAACAGGATATGAATTTACCAAGACACACAGTGGTGTTGTGTTTAAGGGCATAAGTAATTAAAAGCCACACCCCATAGGTTTTAAATAAGGAATTGAAAACAAGATGAGATATGTTGAATCATGAATCATGTTCCAAAATTGAAAACAGTAACCATCCCACATAACACTGAATGTGATAAGCTATACACAGGAAGCGGGTATGTTTGTAGTAATGTATTAAATTTCATTAATTGTACAGGTGTTAATGGTATGTATCATTCCTGTACCTGCATTTAGCCCCCTAATATTGTACTGTAAATCCTTTTCAGCTATGTGCTTGGCTCTGCAAGCCAGATGTTGGCAGCAGAGGGCCCCAAAGAGCAGCTGGTCACAGTGGAGTACAGAGGCATTGTTGAACAACAGCTGACAGAGGTAAATTACACTGCTGCTGCTTTTCTTTGTTTGCTTCCTCTGTTATTGTCTTGTGAGATAAAATGTTTCATCCGCTGACCAGAATGTCTGCTGTAAAGCTTATTGCAATGTAAAACCACACCCATTTCTCCAAACACAAGTGGAGTTCAGTCCTTAAATTTCATGTGTAAAAAAAAAAAAAAATGAAAGAGCTGATATACACATTGCCTCAGTTACAGCAGGAGTAACTGTTCTCTGTGTCGCATTGTCGTGCTGTCAGTAAATTTCACACTGATTACGGGCAGCCCTTTCTCATTGATTATCAATGCACAGGTTGTACTCATGATGACATCAGCTTAGTTCTGGGAAGCCCTCACTGCTCTGATGGGCAGACCCTTAAATCAGACATTACCTCATCACTCCATGTCACCCCCTGCAAACAGATTTATTTTACATTCCATTTTAGAGTAGATTGAAATAAACAAGTATATTTTCTGTAGGACTCGATGTTAACATTCAGATCTGTGTCTATTCATGACTCTCTGAATATTTCACATTTGAATTCCTTTCCTGTTTTAGCAGTACATTTTAAAGTGTCACATTAGTGTTATTAATATTAAAATGTAGAGGGAGCTTAGATTTTTCATTGGAATATTGTAGTGAATCCCAAAGTTATTCTAAATGATCCTTTGTTTAAAAAATATCCATGAATCCACCAATTGGCCAGTAGGTGGTGATAGCATGCAGGAATACCTACCAGCCCTCCCACACGCTTGCATCAGGGACAATAACAGTGATGGGGAGCATGTTGAGGAATCTTTGTTAGAGGAAAAACATGTTTTGATCATGAAGTGTCTTTGTCATTATTGCTGGATGTATGTATGACATTTTGTTTTTCTTTGCTGTTGTTTGAGATTTTTCTGCAAGTTGCAACTGATCCATTATGAGATGTTATCTATCCAGCGGTGCATTTTAAACAGGTTAGACTGCTTACAAGACCAGAAAAAAAAAAACAATGCACGGGAGCAACAGAGTATTAAATTTACTTTCAGGTTCTAATGGAGACTTCATGCCTCTGTGTGTGTACATTAGCACATTGATTACCATGTCATTACTGTGTGTGTCTTCTTTTATTAGTTTACGTGTATAATTGTATTTTCTCTTCTGTTCCACTTTTGTGACCCACCAAAACAAATACATTTCTAAATGAATCAACTCTTTGGCAAAAATGTCGCTACACTATGTGTCACTCAAACAAAAGGCTCCATAAGGTCACTTTGTAATGAAATGAATAGGCTTGTCTCACATTATTTCAATATGTAGGTTATGGTAATACGTATGTAGGTTACCATTTAAATCCACCTTGTCATTGGCTGTGTTTAGTCTCAGTGAGTATGCTGAGGGTTAATCTGACTATGGCTCCACACTGATTGTATTAATTTTAGGTGGTCTTAGCGCCATCGCTCATCATTACCTATTGGTGCATTGTAACAGGATTATAAAGGCCTTTGAGAGGGTCAAGAATTAAAATCAGTGCTGTCTTTCATCACATATCTGTCAGCTTTTCCACAGAGACGTCCTGCTCTACTTTTCATCAGCATTGTGTTTTAGTTTGCACTCAAAGCTGTTTTTCCAGCTTGACAAAAGTTGAACTAACTATGATTGGTATGTAAGAGCTTTTCCTTCCACTTTTGAAATTCAACACTTTTTTAGTGCTTTCAAAAATGTCTCTGTAGCAACAAGTATCAAAAGCAGTTGATTATAAAGTTCTTGTAGTGCTGCTTGTGTTTAGACTGTTTATCACACATTCAACTTTTCAAGAAGTTTTTCTTCTTTTTAATGCTAAAATAATCAGATAATCAGATTCTTTGATTATGAAAATTATGATTGATTAATTGATTAACTTTGTTGTCCACCTCAGTGGAGTACAGTACAGTAAAAATACATACACTCCGCATAACACAATACCCCATTAAAAACATACAGCATATACACCATGCAATAGTGCAAACGAGCCGGTAGCAGCAGGTGGGTTATATAAATATCAGAGAGCAAATCTTATAAATATGCAGTCATTTTGTGTTTAATACTTCCGGGAACACTAATATAAGTGTCACTTTAATGGTAATTGTTTAAGAAATATATATAGAGCAAAAACACTAAAAAGTCACTGGTTCCAGTTTTTCAGATGTGAAGTTTTTCTGTTTTTCCCCAGGTTAAATTGCTGTAAATTGAATATCTTTGGGTTTTGGATTGTTGGTCAGACAAAACATTTGCATTTGGAAGATGTCACCTCAGGCTATTGCAACTATTTTATAAACCAGGAAGTTAATTAATTAACCAGAAAAATAATTGCAATTTTATGAAATGATGAGATGAAAATAATCAGTTGCAGCCCCAATTCTTTTGTTAAATGAAAATGGTTTTGTAGGAAAACATTACTATTTGACAAAATAAAGTACTGAAAAAAGTTTTTTTTGGGTGTCGATGGTTCCAGCCCGACACTCAAGTGTTACATACATAGTCTTTGTCCTCAGCAATGCTGTATCTGAGGGTGATGATGATGCCACTCAACCTTGCCGCCAGAGTTAATGTATTCTGTCTGTCTGTCTGACTCCTAGACACTTGTTTGGGTTTTCCATCTTGTACACTCACTGACCTGCCCACCCCCCACCCCCACTTCATACCCATCCATGCCCGACCACCTTCCCTCTGGGTTTTGACAGTCTCCTTCCTTGTCCCCTTTTTCAAATTATCTTTACTCCTCCCCTCTTTCTTCTTCACTGCTTCCTGCTGCTCCCCTCATTTCCCACCTGTCCAATTTTCTCCTCGGCTTCTTCCCTGTTCGGACTCTCCCATAACCACCCGTTCCATCCTCTCTCAACTCATTTTTCTGCTGTTCTACCCTTTATGTTGATCGGCACATCCTGAACCCTGCACCATTAAAAATCTGCCCCTTCTCCCCACCCTTCCCAGATGAAAATGCTGGTCTTGTCCATGGCACAGACGCTGGAAGAGATTGAAACTGGCCTTCAGGACTGATGTGATGAGGTGTGACAGTGATGGACGTCAACTTGTCTGGGTGGGTCCTTTGTCCAGGTGTTGAACATGTGGATTTAATGTCCTCACTCCTCGCTCCTACCTTTTATACTAAGGATTCCTCCTCTAAGTTTCATCTCAGCTACATTCCCTCAGTAACACATTTTGTCCTAGCCTCACCTTGTGCACAAACATCTACACACACACACATACACAGCTTCCACTCCGCTTTGTTCTGATTACCGATGGTGAAACAAAGACTGGCTGCACTTGTAATCAATCATGTTGTCAGCTCGGCTCCTGTGGCTCATGGCACCATCTTCTCTGTGTGTGTCAGTGCAGAGGGAATGTGCGCGAAGAGAAGAATGTTTATTTGTGCAGGATTTCATCAGGCAGGCTGCTCACTCAGCACAATGCTGTATCGATCGGGCCATCCAAGGCCACACACACTTCTTCTTTGTTCTCTTCCTCAAGCATGAAGCCTTAAAGGCAGACGGGATTGCTGAATATATGCTTTCAATGGCCAGAACTGAACAGCACTGAATTTGTATTGAAACAAGGTGAGGCACATTATTAGATAATTCTTCACATAGGAATTATCCAAAGATATTTTTCAAATATCGCCAGAATTTAAAATAAACAGCAGTTTGCATCCCTTGTTACATTAACTCCTTATTCCTTATTTTTGTTTGTTTGTTCACAGTTGTACAAACCTGTTTTTCTCTCATGTATTTTTGTGTAATAAAGTATTCACCTGTTTCCAAAAATTAAGAAATGATTTTAATATCTTTCAGTTTTAAAGGATTTAAAAAAAACAAGTTAAAACTACCAGGATAATCTTTTTAAATGTTTCTGTTTCTCTGAGTTTGTGCAGTAACATTGTTGGGGATCAGTGGATCATCCTACTTTGTCTCTAATTAGAAGTATCTGTCGGATTTAAGAGTTAAACAGCAAGTTTAAGGTCTTTGGGGTCGAGAGGGGGGTTGGTTATATATTAATGCGAGTGTTTGTTTACCAACTGACCTCTAATGTGCCTAGCAACACTTTCTACCAAGACGGGAAAAGAAGCTACATGCTGTACCGCATGCCCTCCCTCACCCACGAGGTTTCATCAGCCTCACAGAACAACAACAGTTAGAAACGGCCAACCAGCACGCTGTATCCAAGGGCAGGTTGCGATGGCAACTGTGAGCACGTGCTATGCTGAGTGCCTGTTGCCATCTCGTCATCGTGTTCACTGCCAGAGGAACAGCCAGCCAGCTCGCTGGCCGGCACGCCTGTCAACAGACGTTACCCCCCCCACTCATGCTCAGACACATACACAGGGGAGGAGTCCTGAACCACCCCCCACCCCCCCACCCTTACCCCACCCTAATCTCTGTGTGATGTTTTTCTCTCTGCTAACCCCACCCTCACCCTTCTTTCTCCCTCCCCCTCCCTCTAATACTCCCCACCCTCAACTGCTGGGAAAAAAAGTCAAAACAACAACAAACAAGCCGCGTGGTTTTTGTTGTTTCTGGTGGTGTTGTTGGTGGTGGGTGGTGGTGTTGTCTTCACCCAGCCCTCGCTTAAGGATGAAGTGCCTGCACGCATCCTGCACAGACTGTGGATGATGCAAGCTGTTTGACTGTCCAGATGTGCGCTGCTGTTCCCTGTAACAGACTCATTCTGGAGAATAAGTCCCAAATTGTTTCTTGTTCCATTCAGAGCAATAAAGCTTAAAGGCTCGTAGCTGTGTTTGAAGTCAGCGTCACAGTGATCGGCCTCTGAACTCATTTAGCTGTTTTATATATAGACATGGTGTTGCTGGATGCATTGCACTGCTGAGTGCAATTATTGCACCGGTTTCACCCCATTCACCCCTTAAAGTCTCAGCCAATCACTACCACCCAAATCACGACCAACATAGAAACACACACACAAACACACACATGCATCAGTCAGTACATCTACACACATTCTACGAGCACTCAGGGACAAAGGATGAATAATGCAGAGGTAGCGTCTGAGTGAAAGTCGCCTCCCCTCTTTCCCTCCTTTTCACCTTCCCTAAGCAATAAGGAAGCAATGTTGCCATGGAGGCAATGAAGCCTCGGCACGCCATCAGCCAATTACATCCTTCCCTGTGTGAAACATCGGACCAATGGCTTTGCAGGCTGATGCTGCTGTTGCCACAGACACTGAGATCCTATTGGCTGAGCTCTGCTCTTTGATTGAATTTCTGATCTTGTTTTTGAGAGAAAAAATATCTCAAGGAGTGCCACCTGTGTGCCAACTTACAAATATGTTTGTTTTTTTTCCATGAAATGAAAAGGATTACTTGTGAGAATGAAAACGTTTCTTTTTAAGAGGCTTAAGAGAAGTAAACCCAGTGTAATTTTTGCTTCTGTAATAAAGTGAGCACTGGGGAAACTTAGTTTTTTTTTCTGTCAGTAGGTTACTGCTGAGGTGTGTGTCTCTGGGCTTTTGTCCATTCAGAGGTGAAAAACTGCCTCATTTCAATTATGATTTTAATTACTACTCACTATTTAATTGCAATTTTCTGCTTTCCCATCATATTATGTGTTTGTGGTTTGTCCCCTGACAAAAGAACCACACCCCACCAGTTGCTCATTGCGTCTTTATGACCAATTTCCAGTTTAACTCTTGATTTTCCACAGCAGTGTCCAACCATCAGGTCCACTGTGTTTCATAACAGTCCCATGTACTTAGATTTTTTTCAGTGCTGTGCATGTCAAATTTCAGCAACAGTTAATTCAAATGTTTTTTTGTTATAATAAATTATAGTGATATAATAATAAATGTATTTACATGGTGCTTTCATGTGAATAACACCCAAAAGTATTATATTTCACAGAATATATCAAGTCAAAATGTTTAATGCTCCTTATTTCTGTTTTATAATATGACAAAAAAAACTATGTAAACAAAGCCTCTACTGTGAAAAACAACCTATATTTCATTTTTTTTTGTAAATTTTTTGACCATGGTTGATCATGACTACTTCTCCTTAAATGGTTTGTTGTCTGACACCAAAAAATCCTTTTTAGATCTAAAGTCATTACGTGAGTCTGGTCTCATCTTTATCTTTGTGTCACTCAGACTAGACGGCAGGTCGGTCAGTAAACCCACTTCATCTGGAGGTTGAATTTCCCAAATTAATCTCAAGAATCAGTGGCTGTAAGATGATCTTGGTGTCGAGAGCATTTGGGAAACTTAACCTTGTTTAATTTAACTGACAGCAATTCTGCGGCGAAAGCGTAAAATCTCTGGTAAGCCACAGCCTTCTTGTTTCATTAATCACCTTCATCTGTGTCTGTGATCGGACAAGATAGCCGGCCGGTCAGTGACGGCATAACCCAAATCCCCTCTGAGTGCTCAAAGCTTCCTACTTCATTAGAAACATCTGCTTGTTTATTTAACCCCGCGTCTTTGTGTACGCCGGTGTCTGTCAGGTAGTCTGGCTGTCTCTCACTCTCTCCCTCTCGTCCTCTGCATGTGTGAGAGAGAGCTGCTGAGGAAGGCGGGTACTGGTCTGTGAGGTTGAACCAGGATGCTCAGGTAGTCTGTGTGTGCACTGTGTACATCCCTGGCGTCCGTCACTGTGCAGAGGGTTAATCGTCTGTTTTTCTCAGACACAAAGGCTCATCTCGTTGCCAGTGACACCCTGGTGTGAGTTGGGTCTGTGTGTGTGTGTGTGTGCATATATGTGACGAGAAGGGGGCTAAAAACAGGATTAATGTCATCAGGATCTAAGCCTGAACAGATTGATAGAAACAAAGTCCCGCTGGACAGTAAGTGGTCAGTTTGGCCTCACATTAAAAGTGATTTGAATATTAAAACATGATTTTTGTTTGGCTGGTGACAGTTAATAAACAGGCACTTATGGACACTGATGAATTCCATCACTCGGGTTATCAGTTCTTGAATAAAACAAATATAATGGCTGTTTAATGTTCTGTTAAAATTTGCTAAGAAAGCCCATATTTCTCCTGGGTGTGGCATGATTCTCTCTTGTGGTTTGAATCTCAACTTAAATGTTGGGTTATATCGGTTGTTATATCGGCATGGAAAATCATCCATCTGGCAAATGATGCGGCAACTGCTTTTTATTATCCCAGACAACATAATTGTATGTCACAATTCACAATATTAAAATATCCCTAATATGATTATGATGAAAAATATCGACTTATTGCTCACCCCAGCTGGGACAGTGGTGGCGGGTGGGGGGGTGTTTGTTTATCACAGATTCGTCATTGTAACTTGACCTGTTTACACACAGATTAACTCTGAAATAATCAAATGATATTTGTGTCAAGGAAAATGATTTTTTTTGGTCTTTATCTCATCAGTATGGATTTTTTTCTACTAATACCTCCTGAGATATTATATTGATTAACAACCTGCCCCCAAACGGCAGTCCAGTGCTGCACCTGACTTTTTCTTACATTTTCATTATTGATTAATCTGTCTGTTTATTCCATTAATAGTTTAATCGATAAAATGAGCAAATGTACATCACAACTTTACACAGCCCAAGATGACATCTGAAAATCAATAATTTTGTCTAAACCTTAAAGTAATGAGATCAACAAATCTTCATATTGGAGAAGCTGTTGTTTTGATTAATGATAAAAATTACTATTGATTAATTTTCTGCTCCGTGACAGTCTCATTAAACAGTTGCCAAATCTGGCATTACCCATTACTATCCCTCACCTGATTGATATGTTTCTGAAGACATAGTCATCAAGAGATGGCTATCAGGGAGCTCCTCTCTGTCAGTAGTAAATATTTAATTTTGTGCACACACCTACTACAGGCATCAGCAGAGCAGCACTAAACACTCAGGTGCAGGTATTACCTGTTCATGCTCTGTGGTTTACTCTATCCTTTCGCTCAGCGCTGTGGTTAAGCCACAGTCTGTTTGTCTCACCAGACCGCCCGGGGATTTTGACTAACTGTCCGCCTGTCTTTGATAAACAAAAGGCTCCAGCTCTAATGCATTTTAGAGGCACTCTTGCCCCTCGGCTTTTATCAGCTTAGCCACGCCGATTTAATCGGACAGCCCTGTTTGTGTTTGTCTCAGAGCTCCGGTGAGCCCCCTTCTTTGTCTCGTCAGGGCAGTGTCACCCAAAGAGGTTTATGATGGGGACGGGGGAGCCACAGCTGAGTAGATTAGTGTCTACAGTGTGTGTGTGTGTGTGTGTGTGTGTGCGTATGAGTAAAGAGGGAGGGGTCGTAGTATGTGTGTATGCTTCAGCTGTTGCAAGGGTGTGTTTTTCTTTTTTTTACCCACCACAGGTGTCTCGTGGGAAATATATATGGTATGTGAGACATGTGGCACATTGAGGTCGTAAAGCAACACAGGCCGTTCCACAGAAGAGAGGCAGATTTTCATTAAGTCTTCCAGGAGCTGAGAACTTTAGGAATATATTTTACGCCCGAGGCACTGTGTAAATTTTACATAAATTAACAAGAATTTTGGATTCTGTGGATTATAGTAGAATTACTTACCTAATTATCGTAATTTAAGAGTATTAATTCTATATTTTTTCAGTTTATAAAAAAAAAGTTGTAAATTGATGTGTGTGTGCAGAGTACATGATGTGCCAAAAATGAAGCCAGACAGTAAACAGGTGCATTTGAAGTACCAGACAGACACATAATGGATTCAGTATAAATATTTAAAATACTTTATACAGCATAGAAATCTCTCGACACTCAAAACAAAACCATCCATTACAAAATCTTATAAAAGACCCCCGAGTCTGTATCAATCTCAGTATCAACCAGAAAAAAAGGTACAAAGACGTAATTCCAAATGTTGACAGTACAGTTCGACTCGAGAAACATTGCATGCAACTTTTCGTTTGGACAGGAAGAGATTCTACGGTATCTTAACAGTGAGGAGCCTCATGTGCCTGTGGAAGCCTTTTCGTAGAGTCAAATAAGTTTCATGAAGCAATTAAGACGCGAAGATGTCGGCTCGACGAACGTTTCAGAATCCCATTTATGCAGAACGCCATCGGTGACAGGAACACAGGAGTCGTACCGTTATTTACAAGCACAATTTTCACATCACTCTCGGAGAGCTCTTGGCAAATACTCGTCATTGCAGTTAACACTTAAGACTATTGCACAAACTACAGCATTAAGACAAAAGGAAGTGAATTATTTTCATGGATGTTACGTGATCCTAGTAGCTGTTCTTATTCCCACTTTCATACACCCAGCCTTTGCCGAGCTTGATCAGTTTCATAAGGCCTTTGATACTCTATTTTTTTATCTTTTCTTTTTCTTTTTCTTTTTTTCAAAACTGACTATGAATAGGCATATCCAGCTGTGAGAAAGTCATAACTAAGACTCTTACAGTTTGAGTTTCCCTGTGGGTTGAAGAGGTGATGTCACACTTGTGTATAAAAAGTTATAGCGGTGATTTATTATCAGTGTTGAGTGACAGTTTATCAGAGTATTATAAAAAAGTGAGAGCACGACTCTGCTCTCGGTACCTACTTCTATTTCAGTGTGTGGATTCTAATGGCGCTAACGCTCAGACACTGCAACACTGTGGTAAAATCCACACAAGCATGTCACAATCAACTGCGGTTATACATTAGTGTATGAATAATGCAGTGAGGTAAAGGATGGTAAACACCGTTGTTACTATAGGTTTTGGTTTTCAAGAATAGTGCAGTGAGCTTCTCATCCAGTCAGCATTGAGGATACGGTGCCAGCTGGCTGGAAGTCGGTGGGTATCTTAGAGAGTTTTCACAGAGACAAAACACCTATACATGTAATCAGGGTGAGGGTAGGAGTTGGGGTCTGTTAGCTGGTGTGAATCAGTCTGCGGCTTAATTAGTAACCAGTTACAGTAATATTACATAAGAGAGTATCTCTTAACTCAGTCTATAATACAGTGTTTTGTGTGTGCGTGCGTGTGTGCGTGTGTGTGTGTGTGTGTGTGTGTGTGTGTGTGTGTACACCTTGCTGGCAAGGCCCATATTACATGGCATCCCATGACCACTCTGTATCTAGGACACAACAAGGTTTAGTCATTGCTCTGGGATCTGTTTCAAATCTCATCTTCTCAGTGTCACCACCTCTTATTACATAACGAGAGCGGCAATGAGAGATAAAATATTATATACTTTCATTCTAATCCCTTTTGTTTTCTTCTTCTTTTTTTTTCTTATTTGAAGGATCAAGTCTTTCATGAAAAGTGGCTCAGTCGCAATAAAGGGACAGTTCACAGTTCAAAAGGCCGCTCTGGAAGACCTCTCCAACTAAATGAAATGTTGAGAGGGGCCTCGAGTTCAGTCTGACTTTCTTTCATTTTATTTTTACTTGTAGCCCTCAGCAGAGGGTCTTGAGTGCACCTGAAGCACAGAGGAGCGTCTGCATGGGGTAGGGAGGTGGGGACACCACTTCCTCAACGACTTGTTCTGGTCGGAAGGTGAACGGCTGCAGCTGAACCTTCTTCTTTAGGATCTGTCCTATTCCCATAGAGGGGAACTTGCTGCGGTGCGTCGGGCTGTCGGGATCACTGCTGCTGCTGTTGGAAGGAGGGCTGAATGCTGAGGTGGGGTTGAGGGGGCTAAAGGCGGACTTCGGCGGGCTGAAAGCTGAGCTCCCTGGTGGGCTTCCTACAGTGCTGGGGGGGCTGCCACTGGTGTCAGAAGAACCGCACCAATCTGATGAGATGCTCTTCTTGGGCTGCGGGTTGACAATGAGGACCGGAGGACTGGGGATTGTGGCCTTTTTCAAGTAAGAGGAGTCGGGTTGGAAGGCAGACACGTGGCGTGGCGGGGACAGCGTACCGTTGGTCAGCTTGTACCAGGGCGAAGTCGGGGTGTCTTCGATTTGCTCAGCTTTGGCGAGGGAGCCGAAGGAATGCATGCCAATGGGTGACGGTGCCGGTGGAGCGGGAATGTTGTGTTCTGGGCTCGTATTGACTTGTGGGAGGGTGGCCAATCGCCTCCGTTGCTGAGGGGTGTTGGGAAAGAGAGGGTGGATCTCCAGATATTCCATCGACGAAGACGCAACGGTGCCAGGGGGTGCCAGAGGTGAATTACGATGGCCACCAGTTATGGCACGCAGTAGACCTGAGGAGGAAAGAAGATGCATTGTAACATTCTGGAAATACTGAATTTGGATATTTGTCAAAGAAACATTTGCAGTAGTAGTTTCTGCTCAACTTGCTGCAGATACAACTGAATGACAGGTTGAGACTGGAGCTTCTCTGAATATTTCTGGGTGAGTGCCCTATGTGTCCAGATTCTACATGACATGTCAGTGAAGACGCACCTCTCACTGGAATAAACATCCGATGGCATGTAACAACCAGGCGTAAAGATACAGGAACAGTCTGTCCTGATTTAAACCTCGTTAAGACCAGCCTGTCCTGACATGCTAGATCTGGATCAGCCTATGTGCTTTCTCAATAGCACTTGTATGAGGAGAGGGAAAGGAGCTTAGGCCTCAGCTTTGCCCCCAGGTCCTTGTCTGTCACTTGAAAGCTCGCCTTGAGGGAGTCTTATCTGACAGACTCCGACCACCTACCACTCTTTGTTAAAAGTCCCAGGCCTAGTTTGAAAGAACTAAATTTAATTTATGCTGCTGAGTCAAATCAATTTAATTCCCAATTATATACTTACTTCTGTGCTACACTTTCTCAGTCACAAGGTGAATTAAGTTTTTTTTTTTTTTTTTTTTTTTCTCAAGATGTTTGTGTGTTTGCCCTATGATTGGTGGCAACTTCTCCAAGTTGTTTCCTCCCAGATGGATGGGCGGGTGGGTGGTTGGATGGTTGGATGGATGGATGGTTGGATGGATGGACAGACAAACAATGGAAGCAGGGGTGGATGGATGGACTGATGACTGGGTAACTACACACGTGTGAAACAGGTCGTTGATGTACAAGAACATGCATGGTCAGTCAACCTACCCTGTATGAAGGTAAATAAAATAGATCAAATAAATAAAGTGGTACTGAAACTTATTTTCTCTCTTTTTTTTTTTTTTTATTAAATTTTTTTGTACTGCATCATATGAATTCTCACCTGTCCTGTGTTTCTTCTCCTTACTGGGCCCTTTGCTAACAGCAAGGTAGACGGGCGTCTGTTTGGGGGGGATGGTGAGCTTGTCGACATGCTTCCTCCACTGGGTCTGGAAGTATTCATTTTTCTGCTTCTCTCCTTTCTTTTTCTCCTGGAATTGCATCTCCTAAAACAGACACACAAGCAAACCCCACGTTACAACAACCCCTTAGCATTTAACAAACCTGTTGTTGTGAAACCAGACTTTAACAGCTCATAAATCTCTCTAGACACAGAAACTGAATTCCGATGTCATTAAGAAACACGTTAAAATTCTTTAGAAAACCCTCTGCTCCTCTTACCCTGTACTCTTTAGAGAGTCTCTTCATTTTCTTGTTGAGGAGGAAGTAGACGGCCAAAGTGTGGCAAGCGCGGTTGGTGAGGACGGCGCTCAGCACCTCGCTGTGCTTGTAGCCCATTTTCTCCGTCATATGCAGCAACACCGTGTGGTTTATTTCCTCAATGTGGATCCTTAACACAGAACAAGACAGTTAAAGCTTTGCGATGCTTTAAAATGAATGTGAAAAGCATTCAGCTGAACTCAAAGCAAACTCAAGTGTGCGTGAGTCTACCTGTTGAGGTACGGCGCCCCTGTGTTCTTGTTGGCCAGCTGTAGCCAGGAGTCTGCCATCACCTGGTGGATATTGGGACGCTTGTTGGGATCTGGCTCCAGAAGCTTCTTCAGAAGACAAATGGCAGCTGAGACAGAGAGAGAGAGAGAACAGATATTTATACGCTGCCACCGACACTGTTCACTACCTACAGTGGAAGGTTTTCCTATATCTAAACATGTTAGTATAGATTTTACGTCAGAAATGAAACGCCTCTCGTGGTCGACAGCTTTGGGACTGAACAGGAGATATTGCCTCATTTCTCCGCCACTTAGCAAATCACTCGCAACCATTTTCCACGAGCACTCGTAGCAGAGTGCATATACGCACTAAACACAGACGCAGCCCTCATCCGTCTCATCTGCTTTCATTCCATTATTACATAAGGCAGATGAGATGACATATCTGTGTCATTAGCTTGATTAACAGGTACTTATGTAAGTGGGTTAAGCCACCCCTTACTTTGCGATTCGGAGAATGACACTGTTGTGACATGCTGAGGAGGGGTGGATGTGTATCACTACCTCCATTGAAGTCAGTTAAACACCTGTTTGTCCCATGCTGTTTGTTTTTTTTTCCCTCACTCATTTCTGCAAGTTGCTTCACAGGAAAGCACTGTCCCACTACATTTAACTCATGAACTAGTTTTAAATATGCCAGTGGGCATACTCTGAGTCAATACCATGGCAAAAACAAATAACAAATATTTCTGATACTATGCAAAGCGTCTTCTTTGTAACCCTTGATTAACAGGAAAGGTTAGGTAACATGTTTACTCTTGTATTTCTGCCAAGGTGGCCATGCTCTTTCTTGAGAAATGTTTATCAGAGAAGACTTCTCTAGAAGACTACTCTGTGTGTACAAAGGTAGAGTATCTCTTCAGGAGGATTTAAGGGGGGGTAATAAAGAGTCTTGATCCAGGAGTCTACATCACTACGTGACTGCTCGGTTTGACAGTGCTGGCTACCATTTTTTTGCAGGTGTTTTAGACTTTTGCTTCTCGTTTTACTTTGTTTAATCTATTTTTTAGTTGGGTGACATTTAAAAAAAACAAACAAACAAAAAAAAAAAAACGGCTTTAATGTTCTGAAACCAGAATGCTGCACACCTTGTTCATTAAGGGACCGTCTGCCAGTTGGATAGCCGGACAAATAGCTCAGTAATGCTAAAAAGGCAGCGGGGGCTTTTTCATGAGTCTGTCGTTTATTTACAACCACAAAGAAGACTACTGACAGCAATACACAGCTGCAGCTTATCTGCAAATTCCAATCGGCCTTTCTTGCGTCACTTGGCAGACACCAGGGTTTTTTTGAAGTCACGTTTCTAAATGTCTAAACATTCATTCAGTGATAACCCGTAATTACCTTGTAATTATCTTGGTTCTCTTATACATATATTCAGACATGCAGTGATCTGCAAATATCTGAGGGGGCATTTTAGTGCAATGTCTTTAAGGTTTTCAAATTGACAGATTTATAGTTTGTTCACCACAAAGGTATTACCTGCAAACAACAGGTATGGATCTGTGCGTTCATTATTTACCTGTGGAGAGCGAGGGAGGTAGAGGGTTCATCTCCTTGTCTACCATCTTCTGGTGCAGGGCTCGAAGGCTGAAGGGCTCCACGGTGAACGGGAGAGTCCCAGTCAACATCGCATACATGTTCACACCACTGGAAGACCAAAATATACACTTCAGCTGAGTGGACATTTAAATAAATGTATTAAAATATGCTGATATTTGGCAACTGATTCTAAAGAAGGAGAATACACTCACATGGACCAGACGTCCACCTTCGGCCCGTACTTCTTCCTGGAGAGCAGCTCCGGGGCGGCGTAAGCCGGACTCCCACACTGGGTGCTGAATGGGTCTGAGTATCCCAAGATGCCAGCGCAGTTACTGAGGCCAAAGTCTGTGGGACAGCAGAGGAGGGGTGAGTGTTGTTTCTGGTTTTATTACCGTCTTTTCAGCTCGTCACAGCGTTACACACACAAACAGAAGCAGATTAGCACTATGGTGAGAGCTTGTAAGGCTTTATTTAATTGCTTTTAGCTCATCACCACATGTGGAGCACTCCAACTGAGTAAATCTTTTTATTTCTACTGTAAAATAATTGGAATTAAAAGCCTGTTTTTTTATTATTAACTGCTTATGTAAATTTTTTTCTTTTATGAAATTCTGTGTGTATTGAGGTGAGTTACAGTGAATGTAAAAGTGTAAAAGAGTTACCTATGAGCTTTATGTTGTCCTGCTCATCCAACAGGAGATTCTCTATCTTCAGATCCCTGTGAGACAAAGAGAGAAACGGGAGACGTCAACGCCAGCACAGTCTCAGTGTTTACATTAGATCACTTATCTAAGTCGTCATACAATGCACAAGCAGGACAGAGGTCAATGGGAATCCCCCCCACCCACCCACACACCCACCCACCCACCTCGACCCCGCAATCCCCGACACATACATACACAACCCTCCCAATGTGGGTCACACTGGCTGATTTTCTGGGTCTTTTGTGTGACTCCAGATCCCTCCTCAGTGTTAGAAATCCTGTTACACAGTCATCTAGAGAAATTTAGTTCCCAGGCTCTGAGCGACAAAGAATTGAATATTTCTGGGGAGAGTTTTGTGGAATAATTAATATCTGAAATTTGATTTAGATGATAGAGATGCAGTTTATGTGCTATTTTCCTTAAATCAAATCAAACATTTTATCATAGGATGTAACAATATTCGTATGAGAAATGCATAGAAAGCCAGCCTTTTTTTTTTCTTTTTTCTTGGCAGCTCTCTGGGAAACCCGATAAATCATCTCACTGCAAGTTATTGAGCAGACAGATCTAGTTATTTGTGGATTAACAGTAATGTGCACAATAAGGACTTAACCCACAGTTTCAGAAAGAGGATCATGTCTGATTCAAAGATCTTAAAGTCAGCTGTAAGCCATAAACAGCACAAATCTCTCTGAGCTATGGACGGCAAACTCAATATTTTAGAGCATTTCCATTTTGTTCATAACACTAGAGATAAATGTGTGTGTTTTTTGTTCTTTCTCTGCATTTGTTTGCCTTATTTTAAGTGTTTTTTTTTTTTTTTTACCTGTGCACCACACCCGCCCTGTGCAGGTGCTCGACTGCCAGCACCAACTGCCGGATGTATTTCTGAGTCTCCCTCTCGTCCAGGCGTTTCTTGTCGTAGATGCGGTTCATGAGGTTCCCGCCGGGACACAGCTCCATCACCAGGTAGTAGCTGTTCTCCGTCTCCAGGATGTCCAGCAGCTGTGTGATGTTGGGGTGGCGGATCATCTGCTGGATGTGGCCCTCCCTCCGCAGGTTCTTGGTCACATACGAGTCCTTCTTGGCCTTCCGCTTGTCGATCACCTTCACCGCCACCTGGACAAAATTGAGACGGGAAGGGAGAGAGAAAGAGGACGAGGTGAAGATGTTGTTTTAGACAAAGCAGCTGAAGTTTAACTCTTGAACATTGCGCTATATGATATTGTGAATAATACCCATGGAGAATAGAGCACTAGTGCACCGCGGCGTCTTGAAGGGAGATTTTCAGGGGACTGTAGTGTAACAGGTGACGAGCTACTCAGTCTCCATTGCAGGGTATATAACTCGACACTGACCCTTCCCTCACAGCTGCTCCCAATGTGGGGCAACCCAGGCGCTACAGGGCCTTGAGGCTGCTGGAGGGGGAGGTGTGTGTGTGTTTGTGTGTGTGTGTGTGTGTGTGTGTGTGTGTTCGAGGGGTTACTGAACCATCATAAACTAGGGGGAAAAGCAAATGTTACCCTATCTGTTGAGAAGGCGCCAAGGCCAAAAGGACACTTACTACCCCCCCCCCATTTGCCACAGAGTTTAGTCGCAGCTGAACACACATGAGAAGCGGTGACAAATGTGGAACCGAGACTGAGGCAGGATAAATTAGGGGCCCACGATTTTCTCTGAAACATATTCAATTTCCAAGCAGAGGTGTTCATTCTTTTTTGTTCCTTAATTACTCATCCCATCATCTTCTGTCTGCATTTCCCCGTTGTTGTCTCATCCTCAAGAACCCTGCAGAATGGTTTCATAAAAGCCTCGGAACATGTCCTTTATCTGAATGACGAACACTTTGCTAATTGCATTCAATAACACACCCATCTACTCTATTTCATCCTTTGCCCATGTCTCCTTGTGTCCCGTCTAGACTGAGTTCAAGAGCGTGGCTACCATATACAGCAAATCATCTCAAGGAGAGCCCACAGACATGGAAAGGCATGACCAGAGAAACTAATCACCATATCCATTAATGAAATGGTGAGGGCCGAAGTGGTTGTGTGTGTGTGTGTGTGTGTCTCCTCTTTCTTCTGTCCTTCAGCTTGTCTTTCTATTTTACTTTCGTCCTTTTATCTTTGATAATTGATTCACCTCTGAAAACCTTTTTATAGCTGCTAATTAAACCTGGCTGGGTGCGCACGAGTGTGTGTGTGTGTGTGTTCACTGAGCTGTCATGATACAGTAATAGATGGCCCGTGTTTACGCCAAGCAGTGTGGATGAGAGAAGGGGTGCGGGGTATGCGTGGGGGGATGGGGCACTGTATTTACAGTAGGCTGGTCTATATGAGGAGAGAGAGGTGGGGGTGGTTGGGGGATATTAGAGGGGGAGGGGTGTGCCCAGCCAGGGGGCTTCTGGGGATTCAGGTTGTTTATCAGGGCGCCCCTCAGACAGAAGGGGGGGGGGGGGTGTATGGAGGGGAAAGTTGGGTTAACAGACATCAAAAACACATGCATATGACCTCCCCAGCCCCCTGACCATGACAACACCATATCTCACCTCGCATCACTTTCATGCCCCCTACCCTTAAAACACACAAACGCCCCGCGCTTCTCATCCCTGCATCCACACTGACTTTCTAGTGATGCTAAAAAAAGGATCTGGGAGTCCTCTTATAACTCCTTTCCCCCTGACTGCCCTTTTGCTTGAATAAACTCACTGCCCTCCACCCCCTCCCGTCGCCTGTTGGACCCCGTATTCAAATGAATGAGAGAGAGAGAGAGAGAGAGTGTGTGTGTAAAGAGAGGGAGAGCATGTGATGTGCTTGGTTTTGAGATTGCCAGTGTTTGCATCATCCTTAACAAAGAGCGTGAGGGAAGGAGGGATGAGGAGAGGTGCGCTTTCTTCTCTCCTCACAGCAACAGAATGGGAGGGGGGGAGCCTCAACATGAGCTAATCTATAATATGCAAAATGTGAATTTAGGTGCCACATGGGCATGTATTCTATTGTATACATATAGAGGAGTAGACATGTGGTTACATGTAGAAACATGTAGGGAAAGGGGAGTGCTTGTTTTTCCAAAATGCAAATGTCTTGGCTGATCTTCAAAAAAAAAAAAAAAGCCTGAAGAGACAAAGGCAACCAGTGGCCAATGGTTGCCCATATCAAAGCCCTGTGCTGGCAGAATCATAATGAGACTGAAGCCCATTTATCAACGACATGATTTCATATGCAAGTAGCAGCTCTGCTCTCTCATAGGCCGGGCAATTTTCCCCTTCGTCCCTATCACAGGCTTGCGCGCCCACAGCGGTGAGATCACCTCCACCGCCAGCACCAGCAGACAAAGCAGAGGTTTCAGAAATTATCCGACACATGTTAGGAGAAAGACTGGCACCACTCTCTCCCCCTTTCTCTCTCTCTCTCTCTCTCTCTCTCTCTCCCACACACAGAAAAAGTAAATATTGTCACCAGAGCCTTGTCTAGAAAACAATCCTTGCTGTGCATGTAGCTGAGATCAACAGCTGGTGGTGCCCCATGAGCTCATCAACGAAGGTTCCCATAGCAAACATAGCTAATCACTTTCTAAGAGCTGATTAATCAGTAAGACCTGGACTGACACATTGTAAAAAAACATATAAGTATGGTTAAACTGTTAATATGAATAGGCGAAGTGTTGACACGCAGCAGAGGAGAATGTATTGCCAAGCAGGCATGAGCGAAGTGACAGCTGACACTGTCCTGGGAAATGAAATTTCAGACCATATCAGACCACTTCCTGCATGCCACCCATGATTTTTAAATGTATATATATTAGCAAATACAGTCAGAAGAAACTCTGATAGTTTTCTTTAGAAAAATTTGTTTTTTTTTCCTTCAAAAGTTCGTTTATCACTTAAAAATTACAACTGGGGCTGTGTTCATTCCTATGGTAAAAAACAATTCATTACACTCCCATCCCTGTTGCTTACCTTCTCCCCAGTCATAGCGTGGAGACCTTCTCTAACTTTGGCGAACGATCCTTCTCCCAGCTTCCGCCCAATCAGATAGTTCCCGACCCGTTTGGTGTGGTAAAAGTTCTTGAGGATGTCCGCGGCAGGACTGCATAGTGAGGCCGGGAGGATGTTTTCATTCCCGGCGCTGTTTGGGGTTTTGCCCTCGTATAACGCGTGGCTGTTGTCCACTACCATCTCGCTGTCCGCAACTGGCATCACAGTTCCCTTGTTAAGTGTTTCCTTTTAACAAGGGAGGGAGGGTGGGGGGTGGGGGGGATGAAAATTACGCAGCTCGCCTCTTGCCCACCTTAGCGAAAGGCAGGTATTAAATACTTAACGTCCGGTAAAGTGCGTTAACTCCGGGCTGTGTGCGTCTCGCCCCTAATAGCAAATTAAGGGAACCGGAGCTTGCGCCACCTGTTCATCCAAAGCGTCTAGTGAGCGCACTCAGCAGTTTCCGTGACGAGACTTAATTAGTGTGTCAGCTCAGACGGAAATGACACATAAAATATTCCAGACTCAATCATGGAAAGTTATTAACTTACGCAACCTGATTTAATACTTTGGGTTTAAAAAAAAAAAGCTGTGGCTCAGTCACGGTTAGGCAACACACGTCCTCTCTATACATGAGCGCCTCCCGAAGAGTCTGTTCGCAGGCAGCGTGTTTTGCAGTTTGAAGTGACTTTCCCGGTCATCTGGGTGGGCGTTACTTAGTGTGAGTGTGAAAAAAAACACGCACACACACACACACACACACACACAAACCCTCTCACACTCTTGTGGTAGCCGGGGTATTTTCAATCCAATCAGCGCAGGCGGGAGGAGCACATGTGAGAACAAGGGGGACAACTCCGCCCGGTACCGCTGCCCCGCTGCTTCACATGGTGCGCTCACACTGTACATGGCTGTGAACAAAGAATACATTTGTAGCCAGAGCAGAGAGACAGCAACACCTCCACAGCATAGGCGAATGTCTGTGTGTCTGCATCGTGATTTTTGTCAGGTTCATTTTGGTACAATGGTGCTTAAAGGATCCAAATGTGCACACCATGCGCTGTGCACCAGCCACAAATCCTTCATATTGACTCAGAGGTGAATGTTTGTGGCAGTAAATGATCATGTTGTATAAATGTTGTCTGTGACAAAATTGTCAGTTTCAGATAAGAAGCACCATCATTTAGCTGTTGTCATTATGTCATGGTGTTGCTGGGTGTTGCGGAACTTGTTCTGCCTGCAATCATAAAGTTGTACTCCAGGTCACATGCGACAGACAAAGGAGCATGTCCTCCATGCTTATGGAGGTGTTCACTGTCCCAATTAACACGGTGTTCATCAGTCAAAGGAGGACACCTGCAGGGAGGGGCAACAATTTCAGACACGTTTTCCTCCTGTATTTGCCCTCAGCGCAGGTTAATCTGATCTAATAAAATTATATTATATGTTTGCCTATACATGCATTGAACCTGCAAAATAACAAACACCTGATCATATAATGAAATTCAATAAAAAAAAAAATAGTCCTGCAATAACCATTGTGAAGCTTGTGTTATTATTTTTTTTAGTCTGTGCCTGAGAGGTGTTGATCCCACTCTGTAGTGTCATCTGAGGCTGTAGTTTATGGTGTTACTATCAGATTTTATCATATGTACAGGTGTGCTCTGTTTTATGTGGATTCCTAGAGGGAGTGAGAAGAATAGCTACATCTACACATGCAGTTTGACTTGCCTGCTGGACCATGCTTTCTAGACACTCAAACACACACCCAGACATGGAACCAAAAATACAAGTATGCCACCACCTATTGGAATTATTTTATACTACAGGAACATACAGTCAGTCCTACAAGTCTAGACATTAGTAAGCCTGTAGCCTTGGTGAACTTGAACTGATGGCCATTTTTTCTTTGTCCTGACAGCATGTAATACTGTAATGAAATTATGGCTAAAGGCAAGTAGTCCTTGAATTAGCCCTTGGAGTTTAACACAAGCTTGTAAAATAAAGATACGCGGCATAGCATCCATAAAGGTGATCTCTTCAAGGGGGAAACAGAGCAGTCTTAATGATTTGTAGATGATGATTCTCAATTTAAAGTTATTTTTAAAAAGCATGTATTGGAAATGTTGCACACATTCACTTAATGTTTTAAATTAGAAAAAAAAATTATACCACAATCAAAGTGATTATTTCAGTGGTAGTCTTTAACTTTGTGACATGGAATACTTTAATTTTAGACGTATTATCTTCATCCCAGAGAAATCAGATGATGATGACAAAAGTAATAGGAACTGTCACTTTTGTCTGGCAAATATGTACCTTGAACTTGGTTTCATGGTTTAACCTGGGGTCATGTAGTGCCCCTGCACAGTGATACTGATTGGTATCTGGGATTATAGGCAAAATATAAGATTGCATGTGTAATATTCTGTGTGTGCGCTACACATAATAGGCACTTAGAGACAACTGGGGTAGGTACACAATGCACAGATGTCCTGTCTGCATGATGGTCCACATGATTATAAAATTATAATATTTTATCTGCATGTTATAGTGATTGGATAGTAGTGATGCAGAGACACATCAGTCTTTGTCGTGATGATTTTGTCTTTATCCTGTGATTTTGTCTTTATCCTTGGACAAGTATGTTATTTGTGGGTTCTCTTTATAAAACCAAATCAAACCATATCCCTTTGGCTCTTATCCCTACAGCACTCCGCCACCCGGTGGACAAAACCTAGAATTACAGAATTGAATCCCATCATGCTTTGCCGTGCCCGCCGACCCGAGAGCTACCGATGCTAGGCTAACTATCGTTAGCCACCGGGAGCGGACATGTTGTACCGACCCTTCCTTGAATAAACATCGCTGTAAGCGGGGAATCTGGAGCTAAGGGGGAGGCTCGGAGCGCTGGGCAACCATGGACGCTGTCAACGCCTTCAACCAGGAGGTAAGCTGCCTTCAGGGCTCGCTGAGACCCTGAACTCACCGAGGCTGACGGTGCTGGTCATGGTGCTGTGTTGCACTGGAGCTAGCCGAGCAGGACCGACCTGTGGGCCTGCTCTGCGAGCTAGCTGGACATGTCCACCTTATCTGGCTAAGGGCTAACCGAGTTAGCGTCCGTGTTGCACGCCTGCCGCGCAAATACTGTTGTAAGTGAAACAAATGACAGGATTTTCTGCCAACTATGAAGCTAACACAACGATAGCCAATCAACATTGGCTCATGTACTAGCGTAAATGTTGGCCAGTGAGAGTGTGGTTACTAACATTGGTGTTGAAAACAATGCTACCCAGCAAACACTATCCTGGTGTTGTTGTCACACTGCAAGCCTGCAAACATATCTGCCTCAATAATTTTCACTGCCCGTGTTTGTCAAGTCAGTGCGAGGCCTGAGGGCTGATGGTTGACATTTCTAAATGTCCAGTCAAAAGCCCGGTCAAGTCATTTATTGGTGATTTTGATCGTTTCTTCTGATGGCCCTATTAATCCTTGATGTAACAGTTACAGTGGCTGCGCCCGTATAGTTGATTAACCACAGAGGCAGGTTGGCAAACACGAACCTGTAATTGAATCACAACTATCTGACTTCTCCTGATACTTGTATATTGCACCATATCATTTCATCCCCAGGGCTTTGAGCACTTTCTAGTGCTTCTTGAAAAGTGTCTTGCAGTTTCTGTTTGGCACAGAAATAAAGAAAGTAGTTGTTGGTTCTGTATGCAAATCACTGACAAAATATGTCAGCATGTACTTCAACGTACTGTCAATAGATACCTACTAAAAGAGCAAACATGTACTTAGGGATGCTTGAATGGGTATCGCTCAGACACGTTTCGTTCAGTTCAGAATAAGGAAAGCAATAACCATGTGCACCACACAGCTGTTAGGATATACACATCTGTCACCCATCAACTGTGTACAGTTTATTCCTCATTTCTTTGCACCATAAAGTGACTGGGCTGTATCTTGTGTACTTACATAATGAGAGTTTTGCAGCTGTGCATTGAATTCTTGGATCCTCAGCTCAAAACATCCAAAGTGTATCATTGCATCTCGTCAGGCTTGAGAAGAAATTATGAAATTCTGTTTACCGATAATTAAATCAGATGCCAGTTTGGGTTGTCTGTGTGTATCAAGGATTTATAACAAGTGGGAAAAGAAAGTGGCAAACAATTATAGCACTCCTCAATGTAATGCCAGAGCTTTCGGCCTCAGGCATCCATTAGAGCATGATGAAGTATACAACAAACACACAAGATAGGCATGGACAAAAAAAACATCAGTCCACATAACCAATCACAGTCGTCTTTCAGATCATCAGTTGTGACAACCAGTGAAAGATATATCAAATTAACATATCAAATGTCAGTACTGGTGGACTGTGAAATTATGGTTAGCCTGTAAAGACTGGGATATTCTTGCATAAAGTTTATGACATCAGGTCAAATTCTACCACTTGTTGCTACTAAAACATTTTAAGAGTTTGCTTTGTAAATGTGGGAACACGTGGCTTTGGAAATCAAAAGCAATGGAATACAAATGATTTGCATCAACTTTGACAACTCTGACCGTACCACTCCTCTAGCACTGCTCCCTCTCTCTTTGTATTTATTTTCTTCCTCGTGTGCTTGAGTCACTCCTCTGTTATTTCTCTCTGTCTCTAGTTATTCTCATTGATGGACTCCAAGCCCCCGATCTCTCGGGCAAAGATGATCTCCATCACCAAATCAGCCATCAAAGCTATGAAAGTAAGAATAAGTTTGGCATTGTCTTGTTTTCAGAGTTACTTGTTTATCTGTTTGGGGTACAATTTCTGCATTTCTAAATTTATATCCCTAATTTTTTGAGCCTTCATCTAGCTTGTAAAATGATCTTTTGCTTCTCTCTTCAGCTCTACAAACATGTGGTCCAGATTGTGGAAAAGTTTATCAAGAAGGTGAGACAGGCTGGTCTAAATTCAGTTATCACCCAGTTTCTGCCCACCAAATTTGCATACACTCACTCAGAATCTGTTTTCTCCCTCTGCTCTCCCCAGTGCAAGCCTGAGTACAAGGTAGCAGGCCTGTATGTGGTGGATTCCATTGTTAGGCAGTCCAGACACCAGTTTGGACCGGACAAGGACGTGTTTGGCCCAAGGTTTACCAAAAACATTACAGGGACTTTTGAGAACCTCTGCCTTTGCCCCGTAGAGGACAGGGTAAGAAATGAAAGACCTGGTGGAAATTTCAGTGTGATGAAAATTAGTTTGAAAATTGTAGACTGCACTGTTGCAATCACAGATATGTCCATTTGATTTTGCTCTTTCAAATGATAAATGTTCTCTCCTCCTGTTATTCCCTCTCCTTCACCTTTTTCCTTGTGTTATGTAGAGTAAGATTGTGCGGGTCTTGAACCTGTGGCAGAAGAATGGGGTGTTCAAGATCGAGGTTATTCAGCCCCTCTTGGACATGGCAGCTGGCTCTAGCAGTGCTGCTGCACCCTATACGGGCACAGAAGAGCCAGGTAATTTGTGTGATTGCATGCATGAGGCAGTAGAGATTATTATATGGCCATGATATTGTTTTTAAATACGGACGCAACTTAACAGATCAAATTCGGTTTAAAATCAGTTTTTAACTAAAAAAATATTTACAATTATAATGCAAAGGGGGGCCGTGGTTCAAGTGGTAGAGTAGTTTGGCTACTGATTCCTGGGTTGGCGGTTTCATATGTGGGCGGTGATCCACAGTGGCGACCTGGAGCCGAAAGACAACAACATAGCAATTATATTTCATAAATCAATGCAGTATTGCTATGCCGAAGTATCAGTGAATGATTCTGGCATTTGAATGCATCTGTGTGCTGCTCACACGCGTTAAAGCTTTCTCTCTCCCATCAGGTTCCTCTCCACCTCCAGCCAAAGAGCCAGTTACCGCAGTAACGGCAAATTCCACCATGACATCTGCTGCTCAACTGCAAAACTCTGATGCCTTTGCTGCTGTGGCACAGCTCTTCCAGTCCTCACAGGGTCAACAGGTGAGTTAATACTCATGTAGAGTAGCATTAGCTTTGATCTCAGTCTTGTTGCTTGTATTGTTGTCATTTCTTGCACATCTCTTAGACCTCCACTAATAAATAACTCTTTTCTTTCACGCTCTGTCACTGGCATTTATAGCTGCAGCAGATGCTCCAGAACTTTCAGCAGCAGCCAGTGAAGCCCGACGCCAACACTCAGCCTCATCTCCATACGACCCAAACCCACATCCAAAACATCACCACTGGGCTGAGCATGGTCACCCCACAACCTCCCCCAGCCACCCAACTCCCTCAGCCCACTCAGCCCACCCAGCAGAAGACAGCCTTTGACAAGGTGACGGTGCGTTGTTTTTAATTCTTTGCAACATGTCAGAGATCAGGCACTGTTTAGAAATTTTGTAGCTTACACTCATTACCTGTCTCTCTCTTAGAAACTGCTGGACCGTTTTGATTATGATGATGAACCAGAAGTTGGAGAAGAAACAAAGAAGGATGACATCACTTCACAGCCCTCCTTGTAAGCCCTTGATGTGTATTACATATATTACAACATATCTGTGATGCCAAGAAGTGGGAAGCTTTGATTGATTTTTTTTTTTCTTCTTGGAAATGAAATAAAAGCTGTGAAGCTGATGGTGTATTTTTATCATCACAGTATGCAGCAGCCTCCAGCCTTCCCACAGCACGTGGAGCACTTTAAACCACCAATGATGAACATGTCGCAAGACCTCTCACAACAGGTAACAGTAAGAACAACATTTTTTAAGTATAAAAGAACTTATCTTTCCTGACGAGTCTCGTCCTCTAATTCATTGTATCTATATTTTCTTTTTCCTTTTTTTCCCTTTAAACTGTAATAGTGGTATAAAATACTCTCAAATTTAACCTTATGGCTTTTGTTACAACAATAGGGTTACATAATACATGTACTATATATTGTACAGTACATGCTCTTTATTTATGGATGGGAACACATATAAAAATATGACAAAAGGACAAATCTTTCTCTGACAAATTGATTTTATATTTTGGAAACCCCTGATGTATGTGCACAGTGTTTACCACAGTTGTCATTCTCAGGTTCCTCTCCCTCCTAATGGCCAGCTCCAAGCCTATGGTTTACCACCAGGGCAAAACTTCCCAGTTATGATACCTCCTATGGGGCACGCTCTGCCAGGGCAGGCCCTCCCTGGTTCCACTGGGCCTCCAGGCTTCCCAGGCGTATACCCTCCCCACAACGCAGCCCAGCTACAACAGGTAGACGAAACAGCAGTACAAAGAATACACACACATGTTTATTTTTGTATTAAAATTTTATTCTGATACCGGAAATCTGGATAACATATGGTTGAGGTGGAAGATTAGCAATTGTTTTCTGTATAATTGAAGTGTCTTTTGTTGGTCTAATAGTTGGCAACAAATCCTAACCATGACTTCTTCATACTCTATCAGGATTTGTCAATGGATATGGACCGTTCAGCTATTAGGGACGGCAGACATGGTCGAAGGTCACACTCAGGCTCCAGGTAAGAATCTGAAATGGGCCATGACCTGTCAAACTAGGTTTCTTTACCATGCTGTAATTTGTTCTTTGCCTTATGCAGATAAGCTGCTCTTGGTATGTAAATTTGGGATGAACATACCATGAAATGGAATGCTTTTTTTCCCTCAGGTCTCCAAAACGGAGGAGGTCACGGTCTAATTCCCGTACACGGCGGTCCAGGCACAGGAGATCCCGCTCGCGCTCCAGAGACCGGCGTCATCATTCCCCGCGCTCTCGCTCGCAGGAGCGCAGGGAGCGAGAGAAAGAGAGAGAGCGACGACAGAAAGGCCTCCCACCACCCAAGAGCGAGACACTGAGCAGTGAGTCATGATCTGTGTATGGTCATATTTATCCAAGTAGCATAGGCCCTGAAATGATCTGTCAGGTATGTGCAGTGGGTTCTTTAGTAATTTCATAAGATTATTGTCTTTGGATGACATCACAGGGATTTTTCAAATAATAAATGGAAGAACCCATTGATATGAAGTATTTCTTCTAAAGTTCTTGTTCACGATACCTTTTTATTTCTTCTTTCTCAGTTTGCAGTACCACTCTGTGGGTGGGCCAGCTGGACAAAAGAACACAACAGCAAGATGTTGCCTGTTTACTGGAGGAGTTTGGGCAGATAGAATCCATCAATGTAAGTGGACTGGTATAGATCACTTGCACTGAGCCAGCTGAGACTACATCCTGTAATTTGAAAGAACGGAATTAGGTTTTTTTCATCTGTATGAAAGATGAAAAATGTTTTTTGTGTGTCTTCTGGTCATTTTAGAGTAAATGTATACATAAACATTTTGTGTATTTCATGCTCAAAGTTATTACTGAAGAGCTGTGCTTTGTTGTTTATACTTCATACTTGTGTTTATGTTAGTAAAGAAATACTAACACAATGTTGTACCTATTTAACAAAGGATCACAGTGCAATAATGGGAATGTGTCCAGTCAGCTAACTGAATGAAAATAACAATCCTTTTTTTTTTTTGCTTACCTGTCTGTTTGTCCTCTCTTGTTCAGATGATCCCTCCACGTGGGTGCGCCTATATTGTCATGATACATAGGCAAGATGCCTTCAGGGCTCTACAGAAGCTTAGTAGAGGATCTTACAAAGTTAACCAGAAAGCCATCAAGGTGCGTGAGCCACAGAAGCTGCTGCTTAGTAATGAACTACTAAACAAAAAGTCAGCAAATCAAAGAGAAAACAGAGAAATTTCTAAATGAATCATTTTTTTTTCATTTCTTACCAGATTGCTTGGGCTTTGAACAAGGGCATAAAGGCTGAGTTTAAACAGTATTGGGACGTGGAGCTGGGTGTCACCTACGTACCTTGGTCTAAAATCAGAGAAGACCAGTTGGAGGAGCTAAAAGACGGAGGAATACTGGATGTTGACACCTTATCACCAGGTAAAAACTCTGACAGGCACAGACACATTAAGAAATCATACGTTATAATGTATTGCTTTTCACAAATCTGAATTGTGTCTGTCTTTTCCAGAGTGGAGTGGAGTGAGGAAGACTCTAGACCACCCAGAGGAACTCACCCACAACGGCCGGTCAGAGCCACAGCAGCCGGAGGAGACGCAGGTATTACCTCTCGCTGCTGCAGCTGCTCCTCCTGCACAGGTAAACAACAGCTGCAAGATGTTACCAGAATTTTGATTTTTTAAGTGTTGATCTCTCTGTGGTATAAAAGAAAATGTTGGTAAAGATTTTGATTGAACTTGTTTTGATTAAGATTATGTGCCTGCTGTTCTTTCAGGGATCTATGCAAATGTTTAATTTTAGTGTGGAGGTAACAACAACGTAATATTACAAACTGATGTTACATCTGCTCCATCCCTACATAAAAATAGATGAGATAACTCATAAAAGAACATGATTTTTAGTTACTTACTGTGTCTCCAGAGTGTCGCTGGGAAATATAACAGATAAGTTTATCATTCGACTTCTGTAGTAAATCCCTATGAATGTTCTCAGGTCCCTCCAATGCAGCAGCCAATGGTTGGTGTGGGTTCTCTCCAGCCTCCTGTCTTTCCTGGTCCCATAGGAATGCCTCCGCCTTCCTTCCCACCAGGCGTCCCACCTCCTCCTTTCATCAGACCTGGCTTCAACCCCATGCAGATGCCTCCAGGTAGCACCTCCTACGACTGCCATCAAACCATTTCTCACTGGCTTTCATGTAGTCGCTTTTTTTCACAGTGCCTATTCTGTCAAGTCTGAGAGGAAGACATGCACCACATTACTGCTCCTCATGTGTTAGGTTATTTGTGTTCCCTGCTGTCAAAAAGAGCACATGAAGAAAGAATTGTCAAGCTTTGTACCCTAATGTTACATGTATATATTAATTAACACGTTTAGTGTGTAGTTGCTGTGTTTCATTCACTTTTTAATAAGAAACTGCAAAAATACATCAACAAGAACACAGGCACAACACACATGTTTTAACATGGAAAATCCAGTCACACCCTGTGGTTACTTTGCTTTGTTGTTACACCACAACAAACCACACAGGTCCACAATTTTTGTTGTTTGTTGTTTAATCCACATCAGACAGAGTTCATACCAGCCCACACAAACTGAATCAAACGGGGGAATGCACCAGTTCCTTTGAACTGAACCAGACTGGCATGGAAGCACCCTTACCTATCTCTCACCCCTCTTCTCCCAGGATTCCCTCCCCCAGGTGCCATGCCTCTAGGTCCCCCACCTCCCGCCAAAGTTGGAGTTGAGGAACCACCCCTGGACCCAACAGGGCTGGGCAACCGGAAAAATGACGAGGTCCCCGAAGGTCCCAACATCTTCAACAACCAGATGGCACCTATGGGTCAGTCTGTCTGTCTCTCCTCACTTTTCACCAGACAGTGATTTGTTGTTTAAATTTTGGCCATTAAAACTAGGGACATCTGTCTCATCACTTGAAGAACTGTAAGGAATCCATCAGTAGAGGTTCTGGGTGAGATTTTACAGTATAGTCAGTAAAGTAATTAAATTAAAGCTGCATTTGTTTCTCCATCAGGCAACCAAGTAGGTGTACCTCCAGGTGCACCACCAGGTGCTCTCTCTGGTATACCTCCAGGTGTACCTCCAGGTGGACCTCCAGGTGCTCTTCCGGGCGGTCCTCCAGGAAACATCCAGCCCTCCTCTGGTGGTCTGCTTGGTGCTCGGCCTGGTATAATCCCGCTCCAGCGTCCTCCTGTTCCCCCACTACCACACATGCAGCGTTTCCCTCCACCCCATGTGACAAGACCTCCTCACCCCAACATGCCCCCTATGCCCCCGCAGATGATGCCCAGGGGACCACACCCTCAAATGATGCACCACGAGCCCCCTCAACCTAAAGGAGGCTTTGGGATGCCCCCTCCCCACAATATGAGGGCTCCCTTCCCTCCACATGGGCATGGCCCTCCTCCTCAAGGTCCTCCACCTCCTTTTATCAGACCAGGTGGTCCTCGTGGCCTGGAAGGGCCCGAAGAAATGGAGGGCAGACCATTCAGGGGAGACAGGCCTGGTTTCAGGGACCGAGAGCCAGACAGGGACAGAGACTGGGATCGGGACAGGGATAGAGACAGGGACAGAGGTTTTGGAAGTGGAAGGCGTCCATTTGGGGATGGAGGGAGAGGAGGAGGTGGTGATAGAATGGACGGGAGGGACAGGCTCGGAGGCTGGCAGGAAGACGGCGGCAATCACCGGGGAGGAGGATGGGAGAGAGACAGAGACAGGGACAGAGATCGGGACCGGGACCGAGACCGAGACCGTGACCGGGACAGAGACAGACGTGACTGGAGGGAGAGGCGAAGCAGTCTGGATAGCGACAGGGAACGAGGGAGGGGCGATGATGGGGAAAGGGAGCATGGGAGGGGGGAGGGAGGAGAAAGAGGAAGGGCAGAGGGAGGGAGTCGAGAAAGAGGGAGAGGAGCTGAAGGAAAAGAAGGGGAGCGGCCACGGCGGTCAGAACGGCGAGAGAGGACCACGCGGTGGGACAGGGATGATCGACTGGCTGAATTGGAAAACATGGACAAATTTCGGACCTCTAACAGCACCGAGCAACCTTGTGTGACTCCTGTGGTTACCGTGGAAACCAGTAAAGAACCGAGTGTGGAAGATTCTCAACAAAAGGCAAAATCAGAACTTGTAGCTCCGGCCCCAGAGGTAACTACTGCTGTAGGAGAGCCGATGCCTTCTGAGCCCTCACCTCCAGCTCAAAGTGCACCCACAGACACAAAACAGGAAGCAGCATCATAGACTGGCTCACTGTTTGTTCAGCCAGAGACTGCTGTGAACCACTGAAAGATGACAAAGGTGTTTTTCACTATGGTAGCCAACCTCAACACTCGGCAGATGAATTCTAACTAGCCACAGTTTGTCAGTTGGTAATTGACAGTTTCTGGGAAGTAACATATTTCTTGAAAACAAGCATCTCCCACTCATGTTGTCAGACATATAACATATTTTTTAGAATTTATGGTCAAATTTTGCTTTGCATCGGTGTCTCAAAACACACAGCCACGTGAAAATCAGTTTGGAATAATGGCTGTAGTTAAATATTGGCTGTCACCTCTAGTTTTTCTCCTTCCAGTAAGTCGTAAGAATGAACGGAGTGCTTGCATGTTAACTTAGCTCTGTCCATCTGAGGTTAAAGTGAACGTAGCTCGTATTTGTTTTTACTCATGTTGACTCGCAGACAGAGGAAACAAATAATTTCTGTGGCACAGATTTACTTTCACTTCATGGCCTCATCTGTGTGATAGCAGGCACTCCTCAACACGGTTAATATATTCCTTTTTTTTTTTAATTTGCCAAAATGTCATGTCCAACACTGAATTTCTTCTTAATCAACTCTCTTACAACACAAACGCCATTTATTGTTCTTTGTTGTTTTCATCTCATCTTGTTTTTCTTGTGAGCCAGTAAGGCACAGCTTTGAAAGGACTATGGTGGCCTTAAAATCCAGTTCAGTTGCTTGTAGGCATTTTACAAATCGGGGAAGGCATCCTTTTTGTTGTTGTGGCAACATCCATCAGTCCAGTAACTGATCAATCTGTGACATGTGCACATTCACTGGCCAATACCCAATGTCCTTAAACAATCCACTGTACGTGGTTTTATTTAAGTTTTTAAGAATTTCTTTAGTACTATTAGTACTATTCCATTAATACTGAGACTCTTACAGACACAGGACTTATTAGAAGAGCTTATTCTCACAAGGTCTCTGGATCTAACTTAGTAGTCTTTTTTTTTTTTTACTGATAACAGGAATTGCACCCAATTCCTTGTGAAGAAAGGATTCTCATTCTAATATTATTTTGGGAATGGAGGATGCTTCACATTCTTTGACTGTACTGTACTTACCCAGATGTGACTTTACGGTGAAGTTGTTAGGAAAATCTTTTAATCATATTGTTTCGTTACAGAAATATTGGACGCACACAAACTATTGTAGAAGCTGAAAACCAAGGACTTAAACTTTAACAGTGGCATAATAAAATTTCCCTTGCTTAGATGTCGTGACTAATGGGCCGAGAGGCATTTCAGATAAGACATTTCAACATAAGCAACGCCAAAACTAAGACAGAAAGAAAAAGTCATGCCCAGGTGCATTGTGGTATAGCTCCTTTGGAATATTTGGAGAATAAAGATATTTGATATTAGGTAAGTTGGTTTTTTTTCAGAGGTTGGAGTGATCTATACATAGAAGTATTGTCAAACAAAAATAAATTTGAGTACATTCATTTGTTAAGAAATTAACTTGTACCCAGATGAGCAACAACTGTTCATTTTGATGTCTGTTAAAGTTTAGACGGTCAGTTTTTCAAAACTAAAATCAACATAAAAGTTAAGTGGAACTAAAATTCCTCTTGAAATTCTCAGATGTGTATACTTAGTAATGTTTTTTTCTGCTGTCTCAATTTCACACTCCTGCCTAAAGGTGCATGTTTTTATTTTTCAGTTAAAGAAATAAAGGAGAACCTTTTGTAGATCCAACAGAGGAAAATCCAACAGACGTTTATTTTAAAAGTGTTGTACTCCACAAAAAATGTGCAAAAATTCAGATGCCAGCTTGGCTTTTTGAGCATTTTGTATAAACACAAGTCTTTTCTTTGTCCTGTATGTATGAAAGGAAGGAGGCAATTTCTTGGATCAGACATAAGAGCTTAACTGTATTTTGAAATCCTCCTATATTTGTCTCATGTATGTCAGTCAAACTCATAAATACGTTTTGTCCACATGAAAATGCAAAGTGAAACCCTGTGGCTGAATTATGTTTTGACTTTGATAAACACAACTTTCAAACTTAGTGTCTGTTTCACTGAGGACACTGTCTGATATTGATTAGTTGTGAACATCTGAAGTTCAGATTCTGCAAGCCTAGTTCTTGTTCTTGAATAATTATAACACAGAAACACAAGAGGGCAAAATTAAAGTGATGAAATGAAGAGTATTGCTTGGGACACTGCTGTAAATATGCTTGTATCACTGACTCTTCTAAGGTGTCATGGTAATTGTTGTTTATAATCTGTTATTCGTTTATCAGAGAGAAATGAGCTGACTTGGAAGGAATAGAAAGGCCCTTTGCTTTAATGTTTTTAACTCCTCATGGTTTGAAAGTTGACAGATGTTTCTATGATTTGTTAAAAATACAAAAGACATGGACATAAAATCTTCAATATTTCAACCATAGGAAATTGTTTTTAATAAACTATTTTTTTACCAAATCATTTTGCTTATTCAGATTATGTTCTGTGTTTAACCCACACTCATCAAAATCATCTCCAACACATTTGATGATCATGATCTGTTTAAATGCCACACGCCAGATATTTGCTGTGACTTTGAATTATTCAACTAATGCTTGAAGGCTAAACCTTTACTATGCTTGGTGAAGAATAAAGCAGGTAAGATTTCTTTTTACCTATAAAGTCTAGGTCTCCACAATAATAAAAAAAAAAAAAGCTAATGAGACAAGCACCATTGCAGGCCACATAATTCTTCCCTTCAAAAGCTTATCTTCATAGAACAGACAATTAAACTTTGCCTCTGAATGCAAGAGGCCTACTGGCAGCCTTGCCCCTCAGCTTAGTCACTGGGTAAATCTAATATATTGAAAACTGAATTTTATTTTATGCGTCTGGCTTGTAACTACTTTGTTCACCTGCTTAATGGGTTGCTCTTCCCTATGATAGCCAGTGACCAATCAAAATTAGTCTTTTTGACCGTACTTGATTCTGATTGGCTGTCTATGTTACGGTCCCGCCTATTAAGCATTGCAAGCTTGTTCGGTGTCTCTAGCGAGATCAGACGACAGAAACTTGGGCGTCCTTTGAAACTACTGCAAACATGGTGCTGAAAGCTGTCTGTGTGCTGAAAGGAGCTGGAGAGACCACCGGGACAGTTTATTTTGAGCAGGAGGTATGGCGTGCTACCTTGCTTTTTAGAGGAGGCAATGTCCAGCCAGCTAGTCATTTAAAGAATAAAAATACTCGGGGAGTTTACGTGCATGCTTCTGTGAGCGTTAGCGCTCGGATGCTAAGCTAGCTAAGTTCTCCATTCACAGTTAGGTTGGGTTTTAGGAGAGGCTAAGATAGCAAGCTATATATTTGAATGAGAAGGCATCGAACTTGGTTTGATTTCAGATTTGGTCAACCCGTGCCAATTTGCATAGGTTACACACCAGTGTGCACAGTTTTAGATGCAAATTGACGTTCGCCTGCACGTTGCAAAACAGCAATTAACGTTAACGCTCAATGCGTAGACAACTACCGCTTGTCCCTTTTCATTCAGAGTAGACTGCTAGTATAAACAGATCGTAATTACGTAGTTAAAATAAAATGACAGTCAAAGTCAATGGCTTGGCATTAGAGTCATAACCTTTGAACGTATAAGGCCTGTATTTTGTTAATGATCAACGGTGCGTGTATTAGAAATGCCTGTTGCATAAGTTCGACGTTTGCATTGTCAGTTTCTAGCGTTAACATTGACAATGTTGTGGTTTGCTGGACCACACCAAAGCGGAAGCACCTCTGCTTGCAGTTGTTTTGCTGACTCTTTTAATGGTAGCCTTGAATAATAATAATAATAATAATAATAATAATAATAATAATGATAATGATGATAATAATAATAATAATAATATTAAAACTAAACGCTGGTCCACAATTTTACATTTTTGCTGAGTCACTGCGTGTCCTCCTCCTTGTTGCCATTTTGGCCTCGCTGATAATGGTAAGACCATGAGTCATGGAGGGTGAGAGTGGGTGATTTTGCTGCTTATTCAAGATTTCATCATACTCAGTCCTCCAATATTTTGTTCAGTTAAGTGTGTTACTGATCTTACTTTGCCATCCTGTTTTGTTGGAACATACATGTACTTGCAGTGATAACTTACTTTGAGCAGCCGTGGTATGGCACTTTTAGACTGAATATTTCAAGATGCCCTGTACATCCCTGTACATAGACAATGTACTTTGTTACTATTGCATATCTAATGAAAACTGCAATGTTACAAGTCATTTTTGCAAACTGTATTTTGACAATTTTATACTTTTTATACTTTTTTTTTTTTTTTTAGATATTGTGATGGATTATGTTTACATTTTGTAATGGGTTACTAACAACACTGTCTGCTTGGGGTGTGGAATTTGAATGAGATGGAAATAATCCCCGTTTTGTTGACTTTAGCTCTAAGTCCTTCTAACCACCTGGCTTTGACAACTCCTTTGTCATTGTATTCTCCTGATAAATTGTTATTCTAATATGCTAGAGTGACTCAGCCCCTGTGAAGCTGACAGGAGAAATCAAAGGTCTTACCCCTGGTGAGCATGGTTTCCATGTCCATGCTTTTGGAGACAACACCAATGGTAAGCTTTGGACAATAATTGTGTGTGAATCTCAGGTTTACATATTGTAACTGCTTTGCCTGGTTTGATTGTACCCACACTCAGTGAATCTGAAGTGTTTCCTGGCGAAGATGGCTTGCTTATTTATTTATTTATTTATTTATTTATTTTTCCTTCGGTGCATCAGTGCAGGACCTCACTTCAACCCCCACAACAAGAATCATGCGGGGCCTAATGATGCAGAGAGGTGAGTTGCAAATGGTTAACATTTATCCACAGACTCGGTAACAGATTTAAAGTTTTCTCACATAAAAAAAAATATATTAAAGCATGACTAAAGAGGTAAAATTTGAAAAAATAACTGATATTGGAAGACCTTATTTTATAGGTGTTTCTATAGCAGGGAGGGACAAAAAGAAACTTGGCTTAATTGGCATTCATTGTACTGGAGGATACAATTATTTGTTTGAGTCATATTCTGATTCAGCAACAACTCAGCAAATTTTGCATAGTCTTGTATACAAGTGTTCAAACACCAGAATCCTTTCCTGTGAATGAGATTAAGTGCTGCCATTAAAAAAAATTACTTTTTTATGTTTACTCTTGACAAGCTTTTTAATTTCAGCATTTTGGAAATCAAATGAAATTAATTTTAGTGTAAAAATATCAGCCTTAATTTGTTTTTGTTTTTGTATTTTTTTTTTTTTTTTTTTTTTTTTTTTTTTCTATTCAAATAGGCATGTTGGAGACCTGGGGAATGTGACTGCTGGAGCAGATAATGTTGCCAAGATAGACATCACGGACAAGATGCTCACCCTCAATGGCCCCTACTCCATCATTGGCCGAACCATGGTGGTAAGGAAGAGTGCATGTCATTTTCTATTTTATTTCCAGTGAACAAAATTAGAGACTAGTTAGCCAGGTTTTAGCCTAAGGTTATGGGATAACTGGGACATTTTTAACCTGGGCCTATAAGTGTCTGACAACATGGATAGGATTTCTACAGAGATAACCCTATTTGTTAAAGAATAAGGTCTCTGTTTAACTGGAAACAGCTGTTTTATTGTCCTGTTCAAAACCACCAGACCCCATTGACAAAAACAGTATTTTAAATTGCATAACATAGGAGTTTCTGGTCTTGTGGTGTTGTTTGACTTTCAGTGGGGGAAGAAGTATTGAGATCCTTTTTACCTAAGTAAAAGTACCACACTACAACACAAACAAACTGATCATTAACTTGTTCATCTTGGCTTTACGAGATAAGCCCCAGGTGTGGCTCAGGCTCATGTGGTGTACAGGAGGACACGAAACCCGCAGGATATTATGTCTTACTGATTGTAGCTGAGCATCTAGGCTGTGAACTGTTGATGAAAATATCCTGACTGTGCTTTCTGTCCAATGTTTTAGATCCATGAGAAGGAAGATGACCTGGGAAAAGGAGGCAATGAAGAGAGTCTAAAGACGGGAAATGCTGGTGGCCGTCTGGCCTGTGGAGTCATTGGCATCGCCAAGTAAACAATCTTCCAGAACTCAAAGCACTGGAAATAGGTTTTCCCCACAGCACTTAATAAGACCAACATAGCTACTTGATGTGACACTTTGTCCTTTTCAATACTCTGCGGCTTTTTTTTTTTGACTAGTCAAGAGTAAATGAGCCATGCTTAACCCTGTTCCCTCATTGTGACTATTGTATGTATGGATTTTTATGTCTGCTGACTAGGTTTGGTCCCAAAGAATTGGTTACGCACAAGTAATAAACAGATGTATACAATTTACAGAGTTAATCAATAAATTGTCAGTTCATCTGAATGGTGTATGAAAATTCTGCCAATTTGCAAAGTGTGTGGATGGTTGACGGTCCAAACAAAAACCTGGGATAGGTATGGATTTGGGTTTGTGTTTTCCAGGCCATGACGTGACAAAAGTTTGGCATTCAAGCTTGAATAGTAGACTTTTCTCACAGTGGCAATTTTGACTTGTTAAACACAGGTGTTTGACTAATAACATGAATAACTGCGCACCATTTTTTAACATGTGCTTGATAGTAGATGCTTGCATAATAGTCTGACTTACTGACAAAATTGAGTGGTACTATTGTTACCCGCCTCAATAAAACTCATTCATGTTTCCTTCTACATCAGTGGTTCCCAACCTTATGGTTTGTGATCCCCTAAAAAAAAAAAAAAAAGCAGTTGGGTCCCTTTTTGCATTTCACATGTTAATGACTTGCAGCAGTTTTCCCCTTTCCCAAGCCCTCAAATTCAATGAATCTCAAATAAGAAGTTTGCACCACTTAAGTACATTATCAGCTATGACAAGTCCTCCACCAGGTCCTCCACCCTCTATCTTGTGGCACCGGTCTTGTAACCTGTGCCAAAGGTTTGGTTTTAAGACCTTAACTGTTTGACATAGTATTGAATTTTTGCTCCTTAATGAATTGCTTTCATTTTTTGTGCTTTAAGTTGTCAAATTCACAAACCTAGAGGCAAGTTATTCAAGAAGCTGGTGACAATTAATTTATGGCATTTTTGCTTAAAAACTTATCTAAACTGATCAGTTATCAATGTTGTTGCCAGCTAGTTTTGTCAGTGGCTTCATTGAGTGTAGTGGTTGGTTTCTGGGTGCCTGGAGAAAAGGGGCCCCAACAGCAAATGTCCTAATCACTACAGGTCAACTGGAGGCAAGCATCCCTGTGAACAGGAGGAACAACCACTCAGGTAAGTCATAAAGGGGCTCACATGCATGTTATTCCTTAAAAGCTCATGAATTGATTCAGCTGCAGCATTTTATGGTGGTATAGCAAATTCAATTAAAAAGATGTTGGAGCATTAAAATTGATTTTTCAAATACTGGCAACAAGAAAAAGTGGGTAAGTTAGCTCTAGCTAAGCGTAGAGATATACAAAGTAACAAAGGCTATCTCACCAGCTAGCTTCAGCTAGCTTGATTGCAGTTACTTAAACCCGTTTTTCAAGTGGTGTTAGTTTTTTATTTGTTTATTTTTTTAGACGTTATCGCACATTTTAATGGCATAATTTGTATACAGTAAGGTAAAGGTTGTAAAAGTCGTATTGTAGTCTGACCAAAATATGTATGTTATGTATTTGTAGGACAGTATGTCTTTTTGGTTTCTATTTCTATACTCCTATTTAAAATATCGCTGTGGCACGTTTGAATAATGGAAAGTAATTAAAAATGATTTCTAGTATTATTTCTCTCATTTCTTTTCGAGTGAGTAGTAATGAGTATTAGGTAACTTATTTTTCAAGTAACTTGATCAATACTGGAATTGCGCAGGAGTAAAGTAAATAACTGAAGACAAAGTTCAAGTTCCTAAATACAAGAATGAAAGAAACAGGTGTCGTATAATATAATTTAAGAGTTGTGGTATGTGCTAAACAAGTAAGTGCTTCAATTTTGAATGTTTGTGTTGCACTATTGATGTGTAAATTGTACAACATACACTGTTCTGAAATATGGCAGATATCTGGGTTCAGGAGTGGTCGTCACTGAGTCATGATGCTGCGCGGCACACCTGAGAAACGAGCCTGGTTACAGGTAAGAAAACTAAATGTTAAAGGAAAAAGACACGTTTCTAATAAGATAAGCCCATCAAACTAGGTTAATTACCAAGGGTAGTAGGAGATTTTGGCCTGATTTAGAGGTGTCACCATAAAACTGCACTGAAAAAACAACCAAGTAAATTTAAGAAGTCATTTTTAAAATGTCACTCAGGCAAGGTTTTTCTGGAAGGTTCTGACAGCAAAAACCTTTGAGCCCTGATCAGCTGCTCTCTGGATTGTGTATTAGGGTGTATCATCCTCTAGAGGGCATTGCTCCTCTTCATAACTCAATTCTAACAAGCATTGGTCTGAAACATCAACACAAAGAGATCAGATAACACTGTCCTCCTCATCAAGATTTAAAAATGCTCTCATGGGGATTTGTATATTTTTACATTGTAGGAGTGCAGCTGTGCATACCAGTGGCAGGAAATGTCCGTAAGTTAATGCTATAAACATACGTCCTATGATGATGATGGGAAGGTTGCAATGGGAGGAATTGTTTCCTTTTGCTGTGGCACATACATAAAAACATTAAATTTCAGGAACATCTCAGACAGGCCACGCGAGCCAACCTACTAAAATATGAATAACACTTTTTGATTGGAAACTTTGGGTTTAAATTGGAATCTTAGTCTTTGCTCTTCATCCATGATATTAAACAGAACAGCTGGGCCCTGCAGTGGCCAACACACACACACAGTAACACACATGGATACACTCTCATACAGTATACACATGCTTCCCTACAGATAGTCAGTACATGGCTGTAGAAATTGCATGCTTTTAAAAGCCTTTTCCTTTGCATGGGAACGGCGAATGTTCCCATGTGAAGTTACTTGGCACTCCTCTGCTCTTCTCCTGGGGAAATGAGAAACTGGAGGCCCTTCAATGGAGTCAAAGCCAGAGGCAAGCTGCAAAGTGTGTGTAGTTTAAATTCATACATGATATGTTTAGCTCTGAATAAGTGCAGTGGAATAATCATATACATAGCAAGACGAGGATATCTCTTAACATATGGAATATGTCTCTTTCATGGCTCTCTTGCTCAACAGCTGATAATCTACTGCTCATATTTTTCAGCTTTGAAGGAAGTCAGGCAGCAGAATTGTTGGCAGTCTTAGATAAAAAAATAGGGAACCTTAAGTGCTTGTTATTTTCCCATTAAAATTAACATCTGCAGTTGCTTTTCAGTAAAAATCCACCTTTCGTTTTTAATTGCAGTATCATTTTGACTCAGTTTTATAGAGAAAAGTCTAGCGTTTTAAAATAAAGTAAGTGCGTCTCCTTCTCTCGAGACACTGGGATATATTAGTCTACGTACCAGTGTATACATATGTTTCCCACTGTGTTTAGGTACCTGTAGTGATGCTGTTTCAGGCCAAGAACTCAAAGGCAGCCCAAAACTGCAAGTTTAAATAGCTGTATTACTGTTGACAGAGGCAGCCAGCAGAGCGGAAAGACAGACTGACTGTAAAAGCTGGTATAAATAGCCGGGGAGTGAAGGTGATGAATAATAGAGGCTACCAATGCTGCTGACAGTGAGGGGGAGAGGTTGTGACAGCAGGAGAGACCAACAAAGCTTAGTATAAAAGAATAGAATAGAAGTAAATGATAAAGACAGTGAGCACTGACTAGCCAGCTGTTGACAGAAGATCGTGTTGAAGGTCATCTGTCAATATAATATTGGCCTTTTTGATAATCAGCTTATCCCTATTTTCTATCTCGGATGTGATTTCTATGATGGACTATGTTGTTCATTTAAACTTGGTCCATATTCCCATTTGAAAACACCTAGAGAATGTTTTTGAAATGTTGATAAAAACATACCAACAAAAACTTCATCAGCATCAGCCTTCACCCTCACAGCACAGGCCTTCAAATTCTGTCAAACCTTAGAATGAACCAACAAAATACATACAAGGTACGCTTATGTAAGGCTTGGAGCACAACTGTCACCAACAACATGCTTTCAGGTGAGAGGTAATGCTTGAGGTGGATTCTTCCTTTAATAGCCTTCGCCTCAGGGGTTTTACACGACATTGCAGTTGCATGCGTGCTCTTCCCTAAAATACCGTTGAACCGGTCCTACAGGGTTCATTGCTTTTGTGGCTTATGTGGTCGTAGGGGCTGCATGAGTGTACACCGTATTAAAAAGAGAGAGGGGTGGGGTATCTGCCTATTAACTGATATCCAACACCCACATGTAGACAGTCACACTGGGAGGTGGTAAGGCTGTGCCTGTGGTGTTCACTGAAAGATGACTCAGAGGTGGAAGTTCTTCTTTTCAATCAAGTTACATAAGTGGAGGAAAGTGCCCTATCCTTGTGTGTGTGTGTGTGTGTGTGTGTGTGTGTGTGTGTGTGTGTGTGTGTGTGTGTGTATGTGTGTGTGTGTGTGTGTTTCTGCTTTTATGTACCTCTATTTGTAGACGTACTTTATCCATGAGCAGTCACGGGGTTGTCTTTTTTTTTTCTATAAGCATCCAGCTTTGCGCTCTGAAGCACTGCTGACAGGAACCAGTGTGGTCACATTTCTTGAAGAGGCTTCCTACTGTTCTCCCTCAGGGTTGCAGCAGTAGATGTATGGCCCAGCACTCCAGCCAAACGCTTTCGACAGGCTTTTACTTGTTTAACAGCTGTTCATACTACATCTCCACCCATCCTTAATCTGTATGGTTGACTTCTTCCGTATCAATCATCGGGAAAATGAAAAGCTCATTTAGGTCAGTGTTTTCCTAACAGAGCGGTTGGCCTCATCCTGGAAGATTGTATTAGGTTGGTGTGATTTAGGGTACAGCTGTTATTCTCTTGAGAGAGATATGTTACAGTCTGGTAACTGCATGCAAACATACACATGTTTTGAAACAAACACAAGAATCTATTCTGCACTCTAGCCTGAATGCTCCTATTGAGGTATTGGGACTCACTCCCCTGTGACTCTCCTCTATTCTCTGGGGTGAAAGTTCACCTTCCGGTACCACTGTCTACCACTGACATTGTGGGGATATTTTAGAGGCTAGGAGCCACAGGTCAGGGGTGAGATGCCATAAATGGTGCCCGTCCTATGAGACATGGTTGGTTGGTAGACAGACTAATTACAAGGCCCCTGTGACCTAACCTCTGCCCCCTGAGCTCTGTGTCATGTGATCATGAGAGTGAAGCTAGTTTCTCTTCTCTGCTGTTCATTTTCCCCTCTGATACACCCGGCATCATTTTATGCTCCATCTCTTGATAGCCATAGTTTG